ATGACTGGCACTTGATGCATTCCATATCCTTCAGCTTCAGTTCGTCCTGAACGGCTGCGAGGTGTTCGTCGAACTTAAAGATGCCCCCGAATGCGGTATTAGTATAAGTTCTCATTTGAGTAAGCCCCGATTTATATCTTTCCAAGCTTTCTTTCGCCTCATTTTGAGAAAGAATTTGTTGAAGAACTGTTTGAGTGCCCGTAACTTGCCGTATACTATCGCGAAGTTCCTGGATTTGGGCGGCCTCTTCAAAATTGCGCAAAAGTCTCTCGATGTTATACGGATGTGAAATTAGATGTCTCAAGGACATATGCCTCTTTCTTTGTTGTGGTTGTACCACTTCTTTCTCGGATTCAGTTTTATCTTGTTCATCATCGGATTCAGTCATGTCGCTTGAAGACAGCTTTTTCATAAATCTAGTAGAGTTAGCTAATTTGTAATCAAATATTGAGAAATAAATAAGCGATACATGTAGATGGCTTCTTCTTCAACTGTCAGGGGAACCCAAATGTCGTGCGTCTCACTGCGCGGAATAGGGACAATCTGGTGACCAAGAAACGTGTCACGTTGGGTTCTGCGACGCCATTAGTTATAAAAGCAAATATGTATAATCTCGACTCTCACCTTCGATACATGAAGCTAGAAATGAGAGCCTCAAGCTTCTTATTTGCTTTGTTCTGCGGGTGGGTGAACCATGTTAGTGTTCCCGAGCTAGGCCATTAAGCCTTCGATGTTTCCTGCTTACCTTGTCCATATACTCTTTGGCAAAGCACTTTTTACGCTCTTCTACCTCAAATCCTATAAATCGCAGATAAGGTATAAACTCTGGTGCATCCGTTTAGCTTTTGTAACTTCTAACAAGATCAGACTGAATTTCTTTTACCAGTAGCAGAGTTTGAGAGGGGTGTTCCAGTTAGGGCCCAACGGTGTTTCGCCTTTAAAGTGCACATAGACTGCTTGGCTACACACACGTTAACGTTAATTTGTTGATGAATAATTAAAAGTACCAGACAGCTTACTAAGACTCTTCAAGTTCTTGATGCTATGCGCCTCGTCTAAAATGATCCTGTACCAATTGAAACCAAGTACTTCGTCTTCATGTTTCTTGCCACTTTGAAGCCTTCGATAGTACGCTAGGACTTCGTTCGTGGTTGTAATACTGCGTATCATTTAGCGAAGGTAAAGGAAAGATAAGTCCTGTACTGGACGGATGACTTACACTATCATTAGATTTTGGTATGATACGGCTGGTGCCTGATTTTTTGACTGATGTATCATGACAGTCTTTCCGAAGTCATCGCCGCAATGCTTCTTAACCTCCTCCCGCCATTGGTTCGCAATGCTAACGTTTGGTACAATGACCAATGTGCCCTTGGTATAAGTTTTCAAGTCTTCAGCTTCCGGCGGATTCCCTACGACGCAAGCCAGGCTTGTAATGGTTTTGCCAATCCCCATTTCATCAGCAATCATTCCACCCAATGGCTGCGCTCTATCGCACTCTCTCTTCAGCATCCAAGCTGCTGCAGTTAGTTGATATCCGTAAAGAGGAGTTTCCATCCCCTGCAGCAGCCAATTTCCAGACGTTGCTTTCACTTTCTTGTATCCGAACAGCTTCGCCGCTTCCCTGAGATCCCGATGCTGGGTCTTGGTCCGACGAGTGTCTGCTCCCTTCGGAATACTATCTCTCAATAACGCAAACTGCTTCTGGTGCGTATGCGCATCAATCTCGGGCATTGCCGGAGCTGGCGGCCCACCGTCATCAAATCCACCAAACATTGGATGAGTGAGACTGGCAAACAAATCCGATCCAGAACTAGCGTTTATTGTTTTCGGTCTCTTAGATGCTTCCTCGTCTGTAGCTTCTGCCTTTCGTTTATTCTGGCTCTGCTTTTGTTTCTTTCGAACCGCGTCATCTTGCTTCCGATGGAGCCTGGCAATGAACTCACGAGCAGTTTTTGCTGGCGCGGCTCGATTTCGTGAGGGCTTCTTGGCCGGAGTTTTGGCAACTCTGGGTTTTATTTCGCTCTCATCTTCTGAACATTCAAAATCACTATCATGTTCACCCTCCGTCCCACTATCACTAGACTCTTCGCTGTTGAGGCCATTATCTTCTTCGTTCCCCGTACCGGCCGTACCAGGCTCTGTACCGGGCTCTGTCTTGACCTGTACCTCATTCATGTCTCGCGCTTTATTTCTGTATTGACTGTTGTTCTCAGCCGACCTCGTTGTAGCTTCATTCAACGTTTGAGCATCGTGAGGATCATGTTTCGAAATAGGTGTTTCTATCGTCTTGTCGGCCTTGGCCATGACGATGAGTTTAGTATAGCCTTACAGAAAGCAATAAAGACGAACGTTGATGGGTAAGTTTGTTTTATGGAAGGTATGAATAGTGCCTTTGTTTCTGAAATTTAAATATTTCTATATTAGGAGGCTTCGCAAGACGGCCAATTTGTTGCAAAGCAAAATATATCCCTTGACCTCATGGGCGCAATTGGGGTTGGTGTCATGCGGAAGTGTGCGATGATTAAGGTTGAGATGTAGCAGGTGGAATTAAACAGAAGAATTTAAATACCACGGTAGATACGCCAGCTGGCAGAATAACTGGCAGCTGTCAGATCTATCATACTGAGTGCCTGAGTAGTTAATGACAACAATGTTTGAGGTATGATCTGTGAATGTTTCTCGCAGTGCCGACTTCTATCGAAATTTAAAACAAGCCTAAATCTAGCGACGTTTCTTCTTCACTGGATTCTGGTTTGTATTTGCCAAATAATACGTGGCACGTCTGAGCCCACGATGTTTGCATCCTCAAGGGAAACGAGCACCCTGTAGGGTAGGCACCTCTGCCTCGGCCTTTGCCGTGACTAGTAACGACAAACAGCCAGGCGGCAATCGTCTATTATGCAAGGGCGACTCTTGCATGCAGCCACACATCCGGTCTCTGGCAAGATAATTGAATCTATGGCAAAATAGCTGCCGTCATAAGCTATGACTTGGAGGCCCTGGCGCAATGCTAACGGATGGACCTCTTCCACTCCAGAGTTGCCGGCCGGCTGAAAATCATGGAGCTCCGGCAAACACGCCCTTGTTTCATGACGGCACTCCGGCACACAAGATCTGCGACCTAGGAAGATTATAAGATGAGAAAAGCGCCCCTTGGACTAAAAATAAATTGCCTCATCCGGCAGATATCTTTTGGTGGCGGCAAGCCCCTCGCCCGTCATCGCTTGATGGGAGGCAGGCCCGCCACGTTGCCACGCCATCAAATGCTTCGGAGCTCTCATTTCTTGGTTGGTGGCGGGTGCTGATGCATGGATTTGGGCTCATACAACCAGGGCTGCATGAAGGGCTGCATGAAGGACCGAGAGGACGACCGAACTAGTAGTACTCGAGAAATGAGCATGCTCGACACGCAAGAGGTGGGAAATACCAACTGGCCTAATTATGCCGGTATCAGCAACCTTTTCTCAAGTCGGAAGCGCCGAAGCAATCGACAATGACAAGGCAAGGGATCAATCTGGTCTATCAGGTGCGACATCTCACCTTCCCTGCTTCCAACTCGCAACTAACCGCCCAATCATGTTGCCAAGACTTGGCGCTTTCATGCACATATCGGCGCTACGCATCATCATGGTGCGCCTTGCTCTCACTCTGGCGGTTGGTTGACAGTCCGGATGGAGGCCATGCCGGGCGGGTTAAAAAAGGGCAATGGCACCTCGTCTCGTAAGACCTCGTCAAGGCCGGGCGCAGATTTGCCCAACAGACTTTGATCAAGAAGCCTGCATTAGTGTAGGGAGACGATCATAAGGCGGGCCAATATGAGATCTGACCGCTTGCCCTGGACCTGAAGCCTAAACGCCTTGACCACCAGCTGTCGATGCCCTCAGTTCTTCGTACCAGTCTGGTGGTTTGATTTCTGCACTCCGCTCTGTTGGCTGCGAGGTTCGTTTGTAACTCGTGGCTCGTGCTCGTTCTCGCGCTCCTTAAATATAAACGAATCGAGTCCGCCCCTAAAAGGGAATTAACCGCCTCAAAAGAAAAAAAAAGGCAGTGCCGAGTAAGGGAGGAAAGAAGGAAGGAAGGCAAGGCACCAAGGAGGGAAGGAATGACACGTGGACTGTTCCGTATGTCCTCGATGACTGGTATCGTCAGTTGGTACCTACAAACCACGCGTCTCGCACCGCCATGACAAATTTACATGTTGGTTTTGCAGAAAACGATCGTCTAGAACGCATCTAACAAGACAGGCACGAGCTGTGTCTGCCGCCATGGTGTCAGGGCGAGATGTCAAGCACCCAGTACGCCACGAAGGCATAGCTGCCAATGCTGGTTCCACGATTCCCAGCCTGGAGGACACTTTTCCCGGGAACCTGACACATGAACACCTACTCGAACTTCACGTGGCTGCCATGGTTGTCGGTTTCACCAGTCTTTTGGCGACGCTTGTTGCAGTGGCATTCTTTATACAGATGCGCCGTAGATTTCGTCACGAGTAAGTGGGAAACTAAATCTTGATACTCATTTTCGTTGGATGCTCGAAACTAAGGTATTCTGACAGCCTCATCCTTTTGTTAATACTAAGCGACATGCTGGCAACATTCTGGCTTGTACTTCTTCCTGCTATCGAGCTCGCGCATGGCCGAATACCTTCCAACTCAACCCTTTGTCAAATAAGTGGATTCTTCCTGTCCGTCGGAATCGAAGCATGCGACTTGACGGTGCTCCTCATCGCTGTCCACACAGCTTTGTACATATTCAGAGGACGAAGCGGACTATATCCGTATCGGTTTTTCGCTTATGCCCTAGTTGCAACAGGGTCATTGATGCTTACATCTCTAGCATTCATCAACAATCCGGGATTCGTCAATTCTGGCGCGTATTGCTATTTTCCCGCCAGGCCAACCTGGACGCTGAGGTTCCTGAGCTGGGTACCACGCTATGTGGTTTGCGCGGTGATGATATTTATATACACCTGTATTTACATTTATATGAGGTGCATCATGATCAAAGTCAATGAACCAAACAAACGGAGGAAAGTTGATGAACCGTTTTTCAGCCGACTACAGCAACTACCAAGACGAGGCTCGGTACCCCCTACGCCCCCGATAGCGTACCACGGACTCATCCCTCCAACACCACCAATCGACAACACGCAACCGGAGTATGGTTGGAACAGAGGAGCAAGATACAGCCAACACGGAGGATCGAGAAAAGGTTCCCTCGTTGGAAACGGGGGTGGACAGCCACTTCTGAAGCCACCTGTGTCGGCAACCTCACAAACTGACTGCGAGGAACGGAGTCTTATTGTAGCCAAAGATCCATTCAAAGACTATCCCCCAAGTGTCCACTGTCGAAATGGCTCAAAGGATGAAGCCACGACGCTCTCACCAACAGACCGCCCTGCCCCGACACAGCACATTATTGGCTGTTCGTGCATGGTTTGCACAGGGGCTGGCACGCCTCACATTCCGCCTCCGCTGAACATAGAATTACGACTGCAGGATGGTACCGGCGAGGCTGAGTTGCCGACCAATTTCGTTCTATCACCCACCACACTCATTGAAACAGGCCTGCCGAATCCACGGCACAAGATCCGTCGCCAGCTGAGAAGAAAATTCATCTATCCCGTGTTTTATATTCTGGGATGGATGGCTCCGTTTGCCGCCCATGTGTCCCAGGCTGATAGGACTGGACGCCCCTTCCCGCTGGTCCTGGCTGGGCTTATGAGCCTCTGCATTCAAGGCCTGGTGGACTCGGTGGTATTCTTGATGCTGGAAAAGCCGTGGCGTCATCGCAAGCGCCCCGCCTGCTTTATGCCTCTGCGCAAGTGCTCCACGATGAAGAATAGTTCGGCGAGAGTTGGCCGGACCAGAGAAGAGATGCTTGTTGAGGGCAGACTTGCAAAGACAAGAAGGGACCGAGAAGAGGAAGACCAACGACGTCAGCCACAACGGCTGGAGACAAATAAGCGCGAGTGGTGGGATGCTAAACTTCCTGGGATAGACGAGTCGGGAGACGAAGATTTATAGTTGGCGCTTTGAGTCAGCATTGTAGATGCTGCACGACCGTAGCGTTTCTTAAGAGGTAAATACATTCAGTTAGTGTAGCTGACGCTGCATTGGCACTATACGGTCGTCTATTTGTGCATGTATTGCTGACAATAAGTAACCCCCCGACATCGGACAGTGTCTCGACCATCTACATCCCCGAGCAATTGGCCAGGCTTGCTGGCAGTGTCTATTCGAACGAAACGGCGTCCAGCGTCAAATCATTGATGTACGCATCTAGTATCCCTCAACTCCAAAGTTTTGTGTTCGACTCCTGTGGAATCCAAGTTTCCTCCAACTCCATGCGCAGACTCGGCCATTCCTCCCATCCTTTCCCTTTTCCCTTTTATTTATTTATTTATTTATTTAAAATCATGTTTGTTTGGCACGTCATATGACGGTAGAGCATCAGCCCTCGCGGAGAAACTTTAAAAATGCTCTCCCAATGGCAACACCGTCGTGCGGGACGGGCGCCCTTTTTATCGCATCCTCGTACACTTCGTCGGTGAAGATGCCCACTGTGTGTCGGTTAAACAGTATCTCGGAGATGATTTCATTTGTGAACTCGGGGTGGCCCTGAACAGTAATGTATTTCCCCGGGAGATACATTGCCTGCACGGGGCAGAAGGCGTTGCCGCCGAGGGGTATGGCGTCGGGGGGGAAGTTTTGGACAATGTCGCGGTGCATTTGGTGGATGCGCTGCCGGGCTTGTTAGCGATTTTTGGGCTCTGGTGTTTTGCGCCGCATTTGTCGTCGCCGTCGCCTTACCATCTTGTCGAGACCAAACATCTCCTTGCCCTTGTCCGTCAAGTCGACCTCTGTGACGGCGACTTCCCACCCCTTGTCGCTCTTGCCGACGCCGGCGCCGACAGCGCGGCCGACGATCTGGTGGCCGAAGCATATGCCGACGACGCGGATGCGACCGGTTTCAAGGGCCCTCTTGGTGAAGTCGACGAGTTTCAGGATCCACGGGTCGTTGTCGAAGGCGGTGTGGCGCGAGCCCGTCAGCAGGAGGGCGTCGACGTCCTCGAGGGCCGGGTAGCAGTATAGGTCGTTGACGACGTCGTGGGCGGTGATGGTGACCATTTTGGACAGGTCCTGCGGCGGGCTCAGCGTCTTGGCCGCGCTCGATAGGAGGGCCGTGAAGACGCCCGCGTAGCCGCCGAACTGGGCGCGCGTTTGGGGCTGCGGCGTGTCGCATTCGAGGATGGCGAGGCGGAGGGCGGACGAGGAGCCCATTTTCGCGGCGCGTGCCGACGGCGTGGAACGGGAGTTGGAGGCGTGGAGGCGGATGTAGACGAGGAAAAATGACGAGCGAGAGGATCACGAGAGAGAAAGCGACGAGAGAGACTCGGAGGACCAGCGGGCTTCGGAGGGGCGGGACCGCGATTTACATTCAACGCTCAGGGACTCGACGGAAGGGAGCAGTAAGGATGGAGAGGAGGGGGGCGGGACGAAGTAGTTTTTCGTTTTAATACGAGGACTGAAGCCTAGCGCTGCAAGGAAATGTGGACTCTGGCGATGTGCCGGGCGGCGGTTTCCAAAGGTTGAAGGTTGAGGCGGGCTGAGGCGGGTTTCGAACCCCGGCGGCCCGATGTCGCGGGCGCACATGTGCAGTTGGCGGAGGAGGAGCTAAGAAAAGTACCTAATAAGTACTCCGTACTCCGTACCAAAGTGCGATCGAGTCGTGCATCCGTCGACAGGGGCCTGATGGTACGATGAGGCAACGGATGCAATACAAGTCTGTGGCTCAGCGGAGGAACTGTCGGAGCAGTCGCGTAGGATGCTGCGCAACTTGACGCTTTACGTACATACACGATTCAGTAGGGTCGATGGACTTGAACGTGGGATGCATGCTGGGACACGGAGCACAGACGTTTTGAATCGGGTGCATCTGCCGACGTGCATATGGTTTGTGCATGTTGTAGATCTTTATGTTCTTGCCGTGGGAGGTAGTTGATACCGAGTTGTGTAGCCTACAAAGCCTGTATAGCAGATGCGCATCTTGGCAAGATACAGCCGGAACAGTGACGGACATGGCACTGCTCCACAACGGGCTTGCCAACATCGTGTCTTATTAAGAGGCAGTGTTGTTGATATGTGCAATGTTTCTATTACCGTCACCAACTGCCAAAAATAACTTGTCAGTTGCTCCCCAGGCCCATGTGTAGGTACATACATACGTTTTAGCTGCCTCCGTAATTGTCTGACCTTCCGGTCGATGCAACGCTGGTTCAACAGAGTTTAATTGAAATCATATTTCGCCCCGTTCGTTGACCTGATTGGCCCCCCGCCAGATTGTCAAGTTTTAAACTCCAAAACCAGACCCTTGACTCTTTTTGTTTTTTTGTTCTGGTGTATACTATTTCCAGCAGAGCGCTTTATCTCGACTGCCATTCGTAGCGCCATTTAGTTGGCCTTTGCAAAATGACAATAATTTGACAGAACCCTTGTATGCTGTCTGTTGACTTGATTCGAATTTTCTCCCGCATGATTATTTGCCGTCTCTGATGCCTTTCTCTGAATGGATGACGGACAAATGATCAGACTGCTGAGCCGTATTATAGATCGCATTGCTTAAGGCAGATTGTTGGCGAGGGTTGATGCACATGCATAAGTCAATACGTCCGCGGTATTTTATTGGGACAGCCCGTTGTAATATATGGAGCCGCAATCTAAGCGGTCGTCCTGAATTAGGTGAGATGACATTTAAGAAAAGAAATGCGTACTATGAGGACTTGCACATTAAATGGAGTAATTTGAGTATCTCGCCAGAAGTCATCCCTAGGCTGATGGGGACTGTCGGCGCTATTGACCGTCGCTAGCTGAAGGGACACTCTCATATAGACAGAATAATTCCATGATGCTTTTGAACGGCCATATAATGTATGTTGTTGAACATTGTTCCAGATTTTGAGCAACGTTCCAACGTCAGGTAGCTTACCCAGATGCTCTCGTTGACCGGTCTCACCAGCCGCCGCTCCTGTGTTAAGTATTTAAAGAGGTTGTTCTCGTGTTGGTGGTCTCTGCATCTCTCCCGTGACAATCTATGAAAATAAAATAAATAAGAACTTGTATTAATATCGGTTAACGGTAATAAATCATCATGCGATAGGATCCCCATCCCAGAAACGTCGTGTTCGATCTGTTCCATAAGAGAGGCCCAGCATGTCAATATACCGTCGACCCTACAGACGCCCTGGACGATTCACTGTTGGCATAGCAACCGCGGTCACTGGTGGGTTGCTCGGTGCGCGCATGCAACTTGACCCTGATTGACGTCAGCCTAAGCGCCAGCGCCAGCGACATTGCCGCGGTGCCGAAAACACCATTGCCCCACCAAGCCAAAGTTGCCCATGCTCTCTCCATTTTATGTGCTCTGCACAATGCACCAGACCATAGGTGACGAGCTGGCAACGTGAACGAAACCCATCATGTCTAGATCGACGCTGCAGGCGTTTCTGACAACTGCCCGCAACGCCCTCCGGGCACCGCCGGCCCAACGTGCCAAACCATTGACGTTTGTCGTCGGCAACGAATCCGCAGGTAAATAGATGACTCGTGCCCAAAACTCCCCGACATCCACCTCGCTGAAACATTCCACAACTCGGCCAGACCTCGACTCGCTCTGCTGCGCCATCGTATACGCCTACATCCGCAGCCACACCGCCCCCCATGCGCTGCACATCCCGCTCTCCAACCTGCCACGAGCAGATCTCGGCCTGCGTCCAGAAATGGCCGCCGTGCTGCAACACGCTGGCCTGGCGCCCGCCGACCTCCTCACCCTCTCCGAGCTGCCCGACCACCTCCAGCCCGACGAGACGCGCTGGCTGCTCGTCGACCACAACTGCCTGACGGGCCCGCTGAAGCGCTTCCGAGACCGGGTCGTCGGCTGCGTGGACCACCACGTCGACGAGGGCGCGCTCCCCGGGGGCATCTCGCCGCGCGTCATCGAGCCCTGCGGCAGCTGCATGAGCCTTGTCGTCGACGAGTGCAAGCCCGCGTGGGCGCAGCTCCTCCAGGGGGCCGACGACGACATCCCGGCCGGCGAGCAGGACCGCCTCGTCAAGCTGGCGCTGGCGCCGATCCTCCTCGACACCATCAATCTGACGGCCGAGGCCAAGGTGCGGCCCAAGGACCCGCAGGCGGTGCGCTTTCTCGAGGCGCAGATCCGCGAGCCGGGCTTCACCACGACGAGCTACTACGAGCAAATCAGCGCCGTCAAGGAGGACATCTCGGGCCTGTCGTTCCGCGACATCCTCCGCAAGGACTACAAGCAGTGGGAGGAGGGCGGCCTCGAGCTCGGCATCAGCTGCGTCGTCCAGGGATTCGAGTACCTGCTTGAAAAGGCGGACACCAAGCAGGCCTTTCTGGAGGAGCTCGCTGCCTGGGCCGCCGAGCGCAGGTTGGACGTTGCCGCCGTCATGACTACCTCGCACCCCGGCGGCAGTTTCCACAGGCAGCTGTTGGTCTGGGGCACGACAGACAGGGGCAAGGACGCGGTTGGGAGGTTCAGGGACATTGGTCGGCCGCTGGGTCTGGAGCAGTGGGAGGACGGGGGCCTGGATGGCGATGATGGCGATGGGGGCAATACGAGGTTCGCGTGGAGACAGGCCAACTTGGCGGCGAGCAGGAAGCAGGTTGCGCCGCTGTTGAGGGAAGCCCTGAAGGAAGGGAAGTAGGGAGGTTTAGAACTTGGGCGTTGGAAAAGGGGGGTTTGGTGTTGGGTTTCTGGGTTTCTGGGTGGGTTGCGGGACATTCGGTTTGTTCGTGTTTGAATGATGCCAAACGTGGTTCGAGAATCCCTCTTCGTGATCTGTACACCTGCTTGCATGGTGGGTTTCGTTCGACAGGAACGAAAGGTTAACGCCACAACCTTGACGCCATGGCTGATGAAAAGATTGCGGAGTATCTCGAGGGAGGAGGAAACCATCAAAGACTGCGCTAATCGAAACCCTGTTCTGCAGGCTGATATATGAGGTATTATTTTTATCATTTATAGTACATGGTGAGGAGGACCCAGCCTTACAGTTACAGCTGTCATTAATATGATACATACATACATACTGTTATGATACAGGGGTTTAAAAGAACTTTACTCCTTTTAGTCTGGTAGAACAAAACTACCGGCGATGGCTCAAGTCAGCTAGGTGTGTTACCATCCGTGAATCGGTGCAGGGCTTGTGCTCGCTCCTCTCGGGCTTGAGTGCCGAGCAGATGGCGATGAGCGTCTTCGACCTCTCTCAGGACCCGCACAAACTCCCGATGCTGAAGGCGTCGTCGACCAACGAGGCCCAGTGAGTCCATTGATGGTGGGTTATGAAGCATCTCCTCTGCCGCCGGATCAGCGACCAGGATACAGGCCTTGAGCGCGTTGTAGACGGGGCCCGTGGGATAGACAGGCGGTTCCTCTTTCAGCATCTCCGGGTACACCCACCTCAACGCATCTATACACATCCTGGCGTCTTGTGTAGAAACCATGACGCGATACGCTAGTTCATATAGCTCTCCAGGTCGCGCAATTTGAAATCTGGCAGGCGCGCGAAACGTGTCCCAAAACCGATCCCAGGCTTGTCGCTCGGCGTAGGCTCTCATCAGCCGCAGTGTCTGGCCATGTTCCAATGGTGTTTGGAGATTGAGCAGTAGGAATTCAAGGTTGCTTTGCGCACGCTCCAATTCTGGCCCATACGCAGCTGACGTGACTATGGATTCAATCAAAGTGACCAGCATGTCTTTGGATTGGACCGAGATTCCTCGTTCCTCGGCCGTCTGGAGTAGTTGATCCACAAGGTCTAGGCGTGTGGATGCATCGCCCTCTGAGTGGGATGCGTGAAATGCCGCTGATATTAAGCGCTCAAGAACTTGTTGACTCAGAGACGTCCCAGAAATGTGAAGGTCCGTGATCCGTCGCTGGAGGGTTTTGAGCTCAGAGTCTTCAGGCTCTGCTGCCAGACTGGGATTTTCTGGTTCTTTGTTTTCGGAGCTGGCAGCTGCATAGTCTTGTGACTGCAGCCTTCTGGCATTCGTGGAAAAAAATCTCTGCTGCTGTGAAGCCTGCTGCAATTTCTGCCACTGAACACGCGACGAGTTATCGGGGAGCTGAATCTTGGACGATACCAAGGTCTCCAATTCGGTTTGGTCCTGAATGGGTTGCCCCTTGATCTTCATTGTTTGCTCCAAGTTCCGCTTCAACATGCCTTGCCACAGAGTTTCCAAATTGAGCTCATTTCGCCTTGGCTCCGTCATACACTGCACTACAATGGTGGTTCCAGTGGGAGAAGCGCCGAAGCCTGAGAAACGCCCGCTCTCATCATAGCTGACGGTTTCATCGGAGACTTTGTCGCTTGTAGAAAAGTTAACACACACCCAGCCAGTGGATATGCCATTGTCGCCACCTGGAAGAATCATCGTGTTGGTGCCCATTAGCTTGGCCTTCTTTCGCAACCGTCGCAGTTTGGTCTTCAATTCCCCAGGCCCGATGAGCCCATCAGCTCGTGCATCCACCTTATAGTTTCTTCGGAGCCATCGCACGAAACGTCCAGATGAAATGTGCAAATGTCGCTCGCTCCGGGCTGTCGCAAAGAGCATAATGAGATTCGGACCAAGAGCGGCAGGGGGATCAAGATCACGCAAGTCCATTAAGGAAATATCATCCAAGCCCATATCTTCAAATATATATTTGATCATTGGAGCTATGAGTTCAGGAGATTCGTTGGGCGCATTTGGTACGAAAGGCGCATGGAGACTTGGGGGGTGCCTAGGCGGCTCGACCTCGAGGAACCAAGGGTTGTCGGCAGCAGACTCGGCTTCGACTGTGCGCTCTTGGGGCTCTTCATGATTATTCGAGTTGGTTGAGTCTTGCGTCTGCGTCTGCGCTGAACTGGACGGAATGCTTCGGTCGGCAGAGAAGAACCTATGAGGTAGCCGGGGAATTTGGAGTGTAGAGCGAAGCCCCATATGTTGAAAGGTCGGCGTCGATCTAGCGACAACAGCTCTAATAATTGCACTTCTGCAGCCGCAGCACCCCAAAGTTGCGGCCGCTGGTCGTGAAATCATCCTGGCCGGTTTGGGGCACAACTGGGTTTTGAATCTGATGTTGCCACACGGAAGAACAGCTTTCCCTGCCTGGGGTAAGTACTGTAATTGAAGCTCTAACTTTTTTGTGGGACTCGCAGCGTTAGCACCGGGCTAGGCACGTGATGCATCCCCGAAGTGGCCAATCTGGGGGCCCTTACTTTGGAGCCCGGCGAAATTTTCGGATGGAGCTGTCCTCCTATTAGTGGCTGCGCGATCTTCAACCTTTGGTCCCTACCTTCTCTCCGCGCATTCGGTACTCGTGCTTAACCTATTCTTCATTCACCCAATGTATTTTTGTTGACTTTAATAGCTGTCATTTATATTCTCTAAATGTTTTGATTTCATCTCTTGCCTCGGCATTTAAGCAGCCTGTTGAGGCTACACTTCCCCCTTTAGCATCCGTGCTGTTTACCACTACCTTGAGAGCAAGATGCTCAGTCGACAAACAAGGAGCAGCGTACTTGCTCATCGAGTGGCAATAATCAGATCAGCTGGGCCATCGACTGGATTCCCTTCCATTGCGTCAATACGGTTATCAACACAATGCCAGAGATCAATAGTTACGCGCCAGTGTCGGCCATGGCGAAGACGTGGACCGGAGTCCTCCCTGGGCCATTACTTCCACGAAAGAAGCTTGGCGACGGCCGTTGACGACTTGAACTTTGAAGTTATGCCGTATGAGCACCTCACAAACCCTTCCATGCCGCCATTTCCGCCTTCCTCACTCCGTTCCCATGACATTCAGACATTCGACTCTCCGGCCCCATTAACGATTCCGGAACCTGGGCCTCCCAGGGCACCGACTAAAATTAATACATATGGCATCCCCGGCGAAATAGAAGATATGCTCCCTGTATTTGATGCATGCATTCGTGTTGGGAAACTGGACAGGGCCGCTCTGGTGCTGAAGAGATTCAATGCAGTCAGAGTTCTCTCCGGCGAGGAGCGTATTCTACTCAACAACCAATACCTGCGGGCATCACTCAAGCAGATGCGCAATAGCCCCGACCGACGACAGGCCGAAGAATTACACAAGTGGTACGAGATGCAAATCCGTAGCAAAGGCCTTCCACATACTGCCGAGACGATTGCTTGCATGCTCAAGGCGTCCCTTCTTTCAGAGCGAGGCTCGAGACTTGACCGCCTGGTTAACAGATACATGGGTATGGCCCCCGGCGAATCGGGTCTTCGGGTTCTCAGCATGGATGATATCCTCAGCGATCAAGATCTGGCAGTCATCACCGAGATTTGCCCAAAGTACAATTTCACCGTGGAGCCGGCCGAGGACATGGAAATGTCCGAGTTCACTGAAGAACATCCCGAATTAAGATCAACCGAAGCCTCTGTTGACGAGGCCGTCGATACCATATCGCGCGGCGCGGCAACAGAGCTTATACCCACCCCACAACGCGGTACGGGACTGGCGTCGCTGAAGGAAGGACTTCACCTGCTCAGGGACTTGCAGGACGTGGATATTTCGAAGATGTCGGATGCCGATCGACGTGATATTCAGTTGCAGCTAGAGCGAGATTCAATCGGATGTGCCATCAGCCGGTGGAGAGAAGCTAACAGGAACCTTGCTCACATGGGGATCAGCACTGTTGTCTCCGCATCATCGGCTGAAGAATCGCTCTCTTGTCGCATGGCAGGATGGCTTGAATGCTTAGAAGAGAAACTGAAGGAAGAATTGGCTTTGATCAAGATTTCTGAAAACAAACCTACCAAGTCTGATCAAGATCTCGAGAGGTGCCTGTACGGACCGTTGATAAGTCAAGCCGATCCTTCTCGGCTGGCTGCTCTTACAATTCTCTCTGTTCTCAGCCTTGGAGCTGCGCAGGGCGTGGACAAAGGAATTGTGGTGAGCAGGCTTGTAACCAACATTGCCAAGCTTGCACAGGAAGATATTGAGACACAAAGGATGGAAAAGGCCAAAGCAGATGCCAAACGCGCGGCCAAGAAGCTGGGTAATGGCATTAAACCCAATCGCCAAGTACACTTTACCGGCACTACAACGGACACAGAAACTCGTACAATTAGTCAGCCCAACAATGAAAATACGACAATCATCGACGATGCCTCTGAGACGGCCAAGGGACTGGAAAATGCAACTCGCGAGCCGTGGTCCATATCCATCCGTGCACAGGTTGGCTCATTCTTACTAAAAACGCTCATCGACAATGCTTTTATCAAGGTTACGATGGAGCATCCTACGACGAAGCAGCCCATTAGTCAAAAACAACCGGCATTCACACACATGCAGCAGCCTCGCAGGGGCAAAAAAGTTGGCGTGCTCCATTACAACTCGAATCTCGTGCAGCAACTGAAAAAGGAACCCATTGGTGACTACATTGCCAAGCATCTACCAATGATTGTTGAGCCCAAACCCTGGCGTCAACTGAATGAGGGAGGGTTTTTGGATAGCAGAACAACATTTGTTCGTGTGAAGTCGGGTGATGTGGAGCAAAAGCTGTACACCGAAGCTGCCATCAAAACAGGTGATATGGCGCAAGTTTTCAAAGGTCTCGACGTCCTCGGCAAGACTGCCTGGCGGATCAACAAGAATGTGCTCAATGTCATGATGGAAGCATGGAACAGTGGAGAAGAAATCGCCAATATGCCGCCCCTGAACCCTGAATTTCATATCCCCGAGGAGCCGGATTCCTCTGCCGATCCATTGCTGCGAAGAAGCTGGATGCAAGCTGTCAAGGCGATCGAGAATGAACGGTCCGGTATGCACTCTCAGCGCTGCTTTATGAACCTCCAACTCGAGATTGCACGAGCGTTTAGGAATCAGACCATGTACTTCCCGCATAATATCGATTACCGAGGACGCGCATATCCGATGCCGACGTACCTTAATCATATGGGCGCCGACCACGCAAGAGCAGTTCTCAAGTTTGCCAGGGGAAAGGAACTCGGAGAGAGGGGCCTTCGATGGCTCAAAATCCACCTTGCTAATTTGTACGGGCTGGACAAGTCGAGCTTTGACGAACGAGAGGCTTTTACCAATGACAATATCCCCAATATCATCGACTCTGCCTCGAACCCTTTGAATGGAAGTCGATGGTGGCTCAAGGCGGAAGACGCGTGGCAGTGCCTGGCTGCATGCTTCGAATTGAAGGCAGCGCTGGAACTTCCAGACCCAACCAAGTTTGTCTCGCAGCTTCCTGTCCACCAAGACGGCACTTGTAACGGTCTCCAGCATTATGCCGCCCTAGGCGGTGACACGTGGGGTGCCAAGCAGGTCAATCTCGAACCCGGCGAGCGGCCGGCGGATGTTTATTCTGCAGTGGCAGATCTTGTTAAGCAGGCCATCGACAAAGATGCCGAGGCTGAGAATGAATTTGCGCTGGTGCTTCAAGGCAAAATCACAAGAAAGGTTGTGAAACAGACAGTCATGACCAACGTTTACGGTGTCACGTTTGCGGGAGCCAAGAAGCAGGTTTGCAAGCAGATTGATGCCTTGTACCCTGATCTGGGAAAGGAATGTGGTCTACCCAACTTGGTCCTTTCCACATATATCGCCAGACTCATCTTCAACGCTCTAGCAACCATGTTTCGCGGCGCCCATGATATCCAATACTGGCTGGGTGAAATTGGTGGCCGTGTCTGTCGGGCATTGACACCAGCCCAGCTCAAGGAAATCCGGGACAGTTACGAGAAGGAAGGACGTAAGAAAAAGGATGAATTAGATGACCTCATGAAACAGTTTCGCTCCTCTGTTGTTTGGACAACGCCTCTTCGCATGCCAGTCGTCCAGCCGTATCGAAAAAGCACAGCTAGGGAGATCCGGACCTGTCTCCAATCAGTGGTCTACCCAGTCAATGAACAAACCGACCCGGTCAACAAGAGAAAGCAGCTTCAAGGCTTCCCACCTAATTTTATCCACTCCCTGGATGCAAGCCATATGCTGCTATCAGCCCTACAGTGTCACGAACAAGGATTGGATTTCGCGGCGGTCCATGATTCATTCTGGACACATGCTGCTGATATTGATACCATGAATGGTATTCTGCGAGAGGCCTTCATTCAGATTCATGAGGACGACGTTGTTGGTCGCCTTGCAGCTGAGTTTGAGGCCAGACACAAGGGCTCACTCTACCTGGCTCATCTTGACCCTTCTTCTCCCGTGGCTAAGAAAATCAAACAATTGAGAAAAAATAGCAAACTCTGTCCAAAAGAAGAGCTAGTCTTGGAGTACAAGCGCAATTCACTCAGACTTTCGGGCAATCCCTGGGATCTGGAAGCTGCCAAGAAGATTGTGACACCAGCATCCGTGTATGAGGAGATGGCTGGAGCAGAAATAGACGTCAGCATCAGTGAGGACGCCAAAAACATGGGTTTGGGTGAGATCCCGCAAGATGAAGTCGATAACGACGAAGGGATGACTGCAATCGAGATGAGCGACGACATGGCTGCTGATGAGGATGGTATAACGAACTCTGACGATCCACATGACGCCGCAGTCTTGTCTAAGCGCCTGATGGAGAATATGAAGATCAGCCACTTTGAGTCACAGTTAATAGGTGCAAAAAAACCAAACAACTCGACCAAACGAGTTACCAAACGTGGTACTGCCGTACCGGTGTGGCTGCCTCTCACTATCCCAGCCATCCCTAAGAAGGTAATGCGAACGCAGCAACCCATGCCGACTCCCACACTTGACAGACAGCTAACATATGATATAGGGCGACTTTGATGTGACGCGTCTTCGAGAGAGCAAGTATTTCTTCTCTTAAAACACGTTTCGTGTTGTATAAAATAAAAAGCGACTGGAGTTGGCATTTGGTGTATTTTATTGAGCGTTTACATTTATCTCGGGGAAGCATTTACATTGGCGTTTTATCGGCATTGCCTTGAAAAAAGAAGGCACTTGATTCACATCACCCTGGCTTAGTCAGCCTGGCGTGTACGCCTCTCAAATACTTGCATATAGCGGCGGTATATGTACTGTATATTAGACGGAGTATTTCGAAAAAGAGGAAACTCAAATAATTCAGATACAATTGCGCATTGTGCCAACCAACGATGTAGTGAATGCCCAGGATGTGAGTTGTGAGTCGAGTTTTATTTATTGTAGGTCTAATTGCGCTTTTATTCATCCGCATGGTTCTATGTGACATCTATTTACCGCACAGCAGCGCCCTTCAGGGTCTGAACAGTGCAGACGCCGCCAGACTCGGTGACCAGCTTGCCAATGCCAGTCTTGCCAAGCTTCTCAACAACAGCAGCGTCAAACACAACCTCCAAGTCACCAGTGGTAGTAAACCCAGGTTGGAAAGTCTCCCAAATCTTCTTCTTGGGATTCAGCACACCCTCAGGCTCGCCCGCCCAACCCTCAAAGAAGACACGGTCACCAGCCTTGGAGCCCTCTGGAGGGGCAACCAGTTCCACCGGGCCCTTATCCTCGTCAACCTCGCCCTCCTTGACCTTGGGAGAGGCTGCCAGAACCATGGCGCAAGACTTGATTCCTCGCATCTTGACGGGCTTCAGGTTACACACAACTACAACCTTGCGACCCTGCATCTGTTCGAGGGGAATAAGGCCGTTAAGACCAGAGCAGACGGTTCGGCAGATTTGGCCCTCATATTCAGTGTAGTCCTCGTTGCCGGCCGGGTCGCCCATGGCAATGGTTGAGACGTACAGAGAGTCGGCGTCGGGGTGCTGTATGGCCTTGAGAATGTGACCGACACGGAGATCAATCAGGCAGGGCGACAAGGGAGCTGCGGCAGGGGCAGCTTTAGGCTGCTTGGGAGCCTTTTCCTTCTTTTCCTTCTTGGGCTTATCACCACCAGCACCACCGACGGCGGCGGCGGCGGCACCCTTGGCCTCGTCAACCTTCTCCTTCACCTTTTCCTTGGTACGGTCAACCAAGCCGGCCTCCTTGTTTCCATCAACGGCGGCAGCAGCAGCGGCCTTCTCCTTCTTTAAGCGCTCCTTCTCAGCCTTGGCATCCACGGGGGGCTTGACGTAGCGAACGTCGTCCTGGTCAACCTGGATTTTCTGGTCCTCTTTGAGCTCAAGGCCAAATAGAGCAGAGTTCTGTACAAAGTCAAGGTGACGGACGATGTGAGGGTGGCCCTTCTCGCCGGTTCGCTCATCGGGAGACCATTTGGCGACGATGGGGGAGAGGGTCTCATAGATTGCTACGTCTGCCTTGCTGGGCTTGCTGCCGAGAAGGGTGGTTCGGCTGGCGAGATGGCTGTTCAGGGTCCCAAGGATAGTGGCCTTGTCCTCACCAGACTTGAGGCGGTCTGATGTGGTGAGCCACTGCTGGATTTCGGTCTCCTCGGTGGGAGTATATGTCTGGTTGGCGATGGAAGCCATTCTGCTCAATTGGGTGAGTGGAGCGGGGGAGAGGGCCCTGATAGTAGGACGAAGAGCTCGAAGGAGAAACAGTTTCGCTACGGTGGGTAGAGAATGTCGCCGGTTCTGTATGAAGGCGATTTCTCTCAATTGTGGTGTGGGTTATCTATGTCTGGACTGATATTTTTTTTTAAAAAATGTCAAGTTCCAACGGCGGGGTTGTTTGACGTTGGTCAGCTCGGAGGGGCCACACCCAGTTGCACCATTTTGCAACAGCCAGTACTCCGTACCCCGTACTGAGTCAGTTCCTGGTGGCAGGGGGTGGCATGGCTCCTGCCTCTTGCGTCGCATCTGCAACCGTCCGTCACGCGAAGCACGTGACTACGCGTGACTTCGCGTTACCAGCGCCATGACTTTTAATTGAGACTGGCGCGTGCGCCATTCACAACCCGTTCATATGCGCCGGAAATTCATTCTGGCTCACAATTGCTTCAATTTGGCGTCAACTTTTGGATTCGACGGAAGACGTCATATTTTGGAAAATTTGAGTTCATTTTGTGTTGAAGATACAAACTGTCAGCACAAATTCTCGGCTGAATCTCTCTTCCTCCCCGAGTGGCAACTTGGGATCTGACTTGAGCCCTGCGAGTTTAAACGCAACATCCACCAAGACAAATACTACTGCGTGCGTTATACTGTCTTCCGCGGATACCAATTCGCGGCCACGACTATATCACCATCGGCATTACCACTTCATGATGGATATATTGTCGTCATTGGACGTTGAATCAGTCTCATCAGAAGCCCCAGCCATGACGAGCCCTCCGAGCTCGCCGCCTCCCGTGGAATCGCCTAAATCTGACGTATTAAATCACATTACTGAAAATAGTCTCCTGAAGGAAGAGCGGGACGCGCGTGATGAGAACAGAAAGGCAGAGGAACAAAGGGCAATTGCTGCTCGGAAACCAAGGAGGAAGAAGAAGGCTGAGACTAAATCAGAGCGCGAGGCCAAGGCTCGAGAGTTGGACGAGTTGCTGATGAAGAGCGCGGCTTTCAGTGATATCCTGACCAAGAAGACGCAAGTTCTTGGACGAGTTGGCAGTAGTCTTGATGGTAAGACGCTAGGCGAACATAATCTGCAAATGGCGAAGCAACCCAAATGCATGGTAGGAGGAACTATGCGCGACTACCAGTTAGAGGGCCTAACTTGGATGTTTGAGATTTGCTCTCAAGGCATGAGCGGGATTCTTGCCGATGAAATGGGATTAGGTTTGCAGCTGTCCCTTGACTTGCATATCTTTTGTGATGCTGACTAGATTAGGCAAAACTGTCCAGACCATTGCTTTGATCGCACTACTTCGTGAACAGGAAAACTACCTCGGACCCCATCTCGTCGTCGCGCCGTTGAGCACGCTGTCGAATTGGATGGACGAGTTCCACAAGTGGACTCCATCCATTCCCGTCATCATGTATCATGGAAATCAAGCTCAACGCCAAGAAATCTTCCGGACTAATATGCTGAAGAACCTCAAGGGTGGCAGGCCGACGGCCAAATTTCCGGTTGTTTGCACTTCATATGAAATGGTTTTGCGAGATCAGCATAACCTGTCCCGGATCCAGTGGGAATTCATTATTATCGTACGTGCTAGGAAACCTAGCTGACAGGTCTACATATCTCTAATTTCACTACAGGATGAAGGACATCGGATGAAGAATGCAGAAGCCAAGCTCTTTCAGCAACTACGGCAATTCTCATCCGCGACAAGACTGCTAATTACGGGTACCCCTCTGCAGAACAACTTGAAAGAGCTTTGGTCATTGCTACATTTCTTGCTGCCGAATATCTTCACTGACTGGGAAGCATTCGAGTCATGGTTCGACTTTTCGGATTTGGAGGACGAGAGAGGCACCGAGGAATTTATTGCCGATCAGATGAAGCAGGACCTAGTTAAAAAGATCCATCTTATTCTACAGCCCTTGCTGTTGCGCAGAATCAAGCAGGATGTTGCGGCGTACCTGCCTAGAAAGCGGGAATATGTTCTGTTCGCGCCCATGACAAAGGAGCAGACGGATCTCTACAATGTCTTTACCAACAAAGAGATTGATACGAGGCAATATCTTGAACAGAAAGTCACGGAAAAGGTCAATAGCGCGATGGCATCGGGCAGTTCAACTCGCGCATCCTCGCGATCTAGTAGTCACACTGCGGCGGTTGCCAAGAAGAATGGAAGCTCAAACAAAAGTACCATTTCTCTTCCCGTACGGCAAAGCCCCCGTGGCAAGAAAGCGGAAAACAAGCCAATATCCTCGATTCCAAATGCTTTTAGCCTGATGATGAGAAAGCGTTCAGCCAGTCAACCACTGAAGGGCGACGCGCAGAAAACCCCGGCAACCCCGGCAAAGCAGGCCACAAAGAGGAAAAGCCCGCCAACCTCTGTGAGATCAGAGACAAAGAGTGCGAGATCAAGCCGTCACTCAACCCCAGCTAGCACTCGTGGTAGATCACAGAGAGGAAAGACGTATGCAGAGGCGGACTCTGATGAGGAAGACGCCCTGTCTGATGATGCATTCGAAGCCAAGCTCGCAGGTGAGGTAGAGAGCGAGGAGGAGGAGGAAGTCGATGAACTTCAATCACCGGAGGAAGTCGAGCGAGCCCAGACATTAGAACTTGCCAGTAAGTCTTGGGTAGCATTATGTTCAGAATCTAGCTAATTCCGTTATCCAGAAAAACAGTTGGCGCAGAAGAAACTGGGAAACCCGCTGGCCCAACTGAGACTCGTGTGCAACAGTCCTCACAATTTCTATAACCCCTGGGCTACATCCACACATATTCCTGTCGATGAATCCATTATTACTTGCTCGGGCAAAATGCTGCTTCTCGATCGACTCCTGCAGAAGCTGTTCGATAGGGGTCACAAAGTCTTACTATTCTCCCAGTTCAAAACCCAACTGGATATCCTGGAAGATTATAGTAGAGAGCTCCGAGGTTGGAATGTCTGCCGTATCGACGGATCTGTCCCGCAAGACAGCCGTCGCCAACAAATACATGACTTTAATAATGACGCTGACTATAACCTCTTCCTACTATCAACCCGAGCCGGCGGCCAGGGCATCAACCTGGCATCAGCCGACACCGTCATCCTCTTCGACAGCGATTTCAACCCGCAGCAAGATCTTCAGGCGCAGGACCGGTGCCACCGCATCGGCCAAACCCGCCCCGTCATCGTATATCGCCTCGCTACAAAGGACACAGTTGAGGAGTCTCTCCTAATGTCAGCGGACGCCAAGCGCCGTCTAGAAAAGCTCGTCATCAAAAAGGGTGGATTCAAGACCATGGGCCAGAAGATGGAGAATAAGGAACAACTTGATGCAGAGACGCTGCGGGCCTTGCTACTAAAGGATGGGCAGGTGTATGAGGCATCGGGGGGCGATCAGATCCTGAGTGACGAGGATCTTGACACGCTGTGTGATAGATCAGACGAGGCATATGAAAGAGCGGCCAGTGGTCTGGATGACGCAGATGGGTATCGTGTAGTTGAGACGGGTGCGGATTCTATAAAGATGGCGAGAAGGGAGTAGATGTGCATTCCTGAGGCATCTGAAGCAATCAAAGCCAACCCCACAGTTTCCGTTTTAGAGTCATGAAGGAATTCCGTGAAAATCTTTCTCGTCAGCTCCCCAATGTTTGTTCTTTCAATTGCCATCGCATCCCTCTCTGATGCAGTCACGGTGCTGTTAAAAAGCCGCCCCTCTTTATCTGTGACAGCAGAATACAGTGAACCGGGCCTATAACGATATGCTTCGCGAGGCCCTTCTTATCGTTATTCGGCGACTATCGTAAAGGTGCGACTATTATGGGGCATATATCTTTACACATATTTATTATGATAAGGTACATTTACAAGGATAGGTTTTTTTTTGACCGCGTCACGGCTGGAAAAACGCGCTGTAGGCCTTAAATGTGGGCCCCTGTAGGCCTCACATGTGGGGCCCTGTAGGCCTCAGCAGGCCCCTAATAACGATAAAAGCCGTGATTTGTATGGTGACTAAGCCTGATGCCGACGATATCGTCAGTAACCCGACTATTAACGATTTACTAGGGAAAAACCTTATATGACCGTGAATTATCGTAATAACCCGACTATCGCTAAGATACAGGATCGTTATAGAGCAGGTTCACTGTAGTACCATCCCTCGTGGCGGTACAACATCGACATGCAAGCTACAGGGGTCACATGCCATCGTGTTTGTATTGGCGAGGCACTGCTTGGCTAGTTCCGATCCACGTTGGCGGCGTCGACAGGCCTCACACCTGTGAAGTATGTTGCAATCTCCTGTTTATTCCCGGACGGCCTTCTAACCATCTTTGTTTCCAACTCCCTAATCATGGAGTGTTGGGCTGGGCCAAGCTGGGCTTTGCATACTTGGTCGACGCTGACGTTGTCAACTTTGAGACACTGCCCCTTTACCTATTGCCGCCAGCTATTATCATTTATTTTAGTAGCATCTCACTCCTAATCACACAGACGTGGCTTGCATCCTGCAAAGACTCTTTCTCCTTGGGACACTAAAGATCAATATTCACATGCGTGATGGGTGCAATCCGGAAACTCCCGAAAATGGCCTGATTCTCATCCAGGGGCATATTGGTTAAACTTTCCACACCGCCTACTCGGTACATGGACTTTGTTCCTCTATTAAGCCTGTTTTCGTCCTTTTCTGCAGCATCCAGGTACAACATAATCCATACGCTACTCCGTACTTAAGTAGTTATATCTCGTCCGCCTTGATTGAGGACACAACAGGCATTGCATCAGAAACCCGGGGAGAAACTCGTTCCTGTACTCCGCATACAACAATCCATATCGCCCGGCGTCAACTCACCTAGCTCTCAACAAGGGCCCCAGATCACGCAATGATATTCACGCGCGCCGTTTCCGCGACCAACTTCCTAGTAGCCAGCTCGGCACTTGGTTTCCAGGTGTTTGTGCTGTACCCGTGGCACAAGGAGCTGGATACCGGATTTGCCGACCTCAAGAGAGAGCATCTGAAGGTCCTCGACGCCGTAGGGACGAGCCTGAGCGAGCAGCAGCGAAAGACATTCCTGGATAACTGGAACGATTTGAAAAGTCAAAGCTCAAGAAGGTGGTGGTGGCTCTGATGACCCCTGTAAAAGATCATCTCGACCTTTACTCCTACATCTGGTGCACAGGCTCATGGTGTTGAACAGTTTCCATCTCATCGCCGAGCACGCCCCAAGTCCTGGCGAAGCGATACGCGCCACCAGAGATCGGATCGTAGCCGCCAAAGGAAATTCGCTTGTTGGCGCCGAGGCGACCGAAAAGATCGCGGGCGCCTCTTTGTACGCCCGATACGCCCTGGCCGGCTCATTCTGCTGCGCATTCACTCATGCCGTTCTGACTCCTGTCGACGTGTAAGCAAAGATGAACAGATCCCCTCCTCTCATACTTGCACGAGGACACAATAGCGTGATACTGGCGCCTATTTATACTCCCGACAACGTGGCTTTGAGCTAAACTATTCCATGTGCAAAGTGTGAAAACGCGAATCCAGCTGGAGCCGACGAGATACAGCAGCAGTCTGTTTAAATCTGCGCGGCAAATTGCGTCGCATGAAGGGCTGGGCGCCTTTTCAACCGGACTAGGTCCGACTGTTGTCGGCTACGGTCTCCAAGGAGCCTGCAAGTTCGGCGGATACGAGTTTTTCAAGGCCCGGGCCGTCGACCACCTTGGATATGAGAATGCGGCTCATAACCGAAGCGCCGTATACCTCGCGTCGGCTGCAACAGCCGAGTTCTTCGGCGATATTGCTCTTTGCCCCTTCGAGTCTGTCCGCATCCGGCTCGTGTCCCAGCCTACCTATGCGGACGGATTTGCGAATGCACTGATCAAGCTGGGCAGAGAGGAGGGCCTAGCAGGTCTATACTCTGGCCTTGGACCTATCCTTCTTAAACAGTATGTGTACCCGAGCAGCCCACCATGAGGGCGATGTGGCCGGTCTGTTGCGGTGTTTAACCCCATCTTCTATATAGGATCCCTTACACCATGGCAACTTTCTTGGTTTACGAGAAAGCTATACAGACGGCATATACCTACGTAGACAAGGCAAAGGTTTCCACAGCCGGCGCCACCGGGATGAACCTCACCGCGGGGCTTGTAGCTGGTGTTGCCGCCGCAGTCGTCTCCCAGCCGGCGGACACGATCCTCAGCAAGGTCAACAAGGATAAGGGACTGGCGGGCGAGAGCGTCACTCGTCGCCTGGTCCGTATTGCGACTGGGCTTGGGTGGCGCGGTGCTTTCACTGGCATGCAGGCCCGCTTGGTCATGGTTGGTGGCATGACTGCCGTGCAGTTTGGCATATATGGCGATACGAAAAAGGTGCGTTTGTACATATCCCATGATGCACCTGCCGTTTTTTCGAAATTGACTAACAAGCACGGATGTAGCTTTTCGGGGCCGTTGACGGGGTAGAGTTGAGATGATGGTTCAAGATGTAAAATGTAGATGGATCCGTTGTATAATAGACGCGGCACTCAACAAATGCTTTTGGAGAGAATGGTATCGGCCAAGATCCGGTAGGTAGGATTCATATAAACCTCTTTGAATTAATAATTACAAGCAAGGTAATATACCACAGCGATAGTTCATACACCTTGCAACTAATGTCCAGCTCCTACTGTCAAACTGCCAAGGCGTTCAACACGGGGAAACAAAGTGGAAAACAAACCAACCACATTCCGCCCCAACATCGCTCTTCAACTTCATCCTCCAACTATACGCTACGCGAATTCGACCAGCGACGAGTTGACTATTTCCTGTTGTAATCCATGCACCACCAACGTCACTGTGCTGCAAGTCCTTCCTCAATGGGTAAAGAGAAAAACTCACCTTACTTCTTAACCAATCTGTGGTTGGTGAACGAGCCACACCAGCCGAGTGAACATGATCCAACTCGGGCTTCTCTCGACGTCAAAGCATATTGACGGCATCAGGTTCTTTGTTTTTGATGGACGATATTTAAAAGCCAGACTACTAGAGAATTCCTCGTACGAGAGTTGCCCACACAATCAACTGCTACCCATGTACGCACAACTGCATAACCACAACCGCGGCCAACACTCGACACAAATTGACCAGTCGGACATTTTTTTCACTTCGAAATGAAAGTCTATAAGCAACTACTACTGGTTTTCGCCCTTGGCGCGACGGCCCAACAGGCATCTCCTCTGCCAACCGGCCAACCGCCACTGCACATGTTCCCGCCCGTCATCCATACTACCGAGCCGGTCCCCAGCGGCGCGAGCTTGCCCACGACGCCAGGTACAAAGGTGACTGGAGCGAGCTCAGGTTCCGGCTCTTCTGCCACCGACACGACCGCTGCTTCTGCGTCGGGGTCGGGGTCGGCCGCAACCACGAGCGGCACCCGGACGTCGACGGGCTCGGCGGCTCCAACGGCACAGGTTAACATTGCGCCCATTTTGGGAATCGCTGCCGCCGTTATGGTGCTCTAATTGTATTTTGTTCAAGGAAATAGAGCCTGTACCTTGTGCTCGGTCTCGGGAACAGAATCATGCAGCAGAGCCAACTCTGCCTGGACACTTATATCAGAGGGTAACAAGAGGTCATAATTGCTAGATTTCCTATACAATAGCAACGCAACTCTATGACGCAGATTTTAATTCCTATCCGATCCCATATCTTACACCGGACTCCTGCACCCGAAACTCGACGCAACGCTGCTCCCTGAAAACGCCGCAATCAGTCCCTCGATACTCGAGTAGACGCCCAGACCGGTCGTGGCCAGCCCGCCCAGCATGTAAACCAAGTTGAAAAGGTTGAAAAACGGCCTCTTCAGAAACCCCCTCCTCCATCGAACAAGCCCTGTATCGACGTAATTGTACGTTCGGGTCTGGGGATCAAACTTCTCCTGCTCGGGAACCATGGCATCCTTGTGAATCCAGAAACCCAGTGCCATTAGCGCAGGAAAGGTATAGCTAAAACTGAGCACGAAAAAGGCACCAATAAGCCCCGAAATATAGGAGAACTGCGGGATGGCAGCGGCGACAATGAAGGCAATGGACCAGTACACGGGGACGGTGACCGCCCACATAATCTTTCCCTTGCGCACCGTCAGAGGCGGGAACTTGAACAGGCGCTCAAAGACCTCGATGTAAATGACTTTGAGGCCAATGTTTCCGTACAGCCCAGCGGCAATGAGGCCAGTGACGAGGTTCATGACGTTGGTCGCGGTCTGGAAGCCGTACGACGAGAGGCCCTGCATGACGGGGTTGAAGGCGAACTGGCCCTGGTACGAGTAGACAAAGATGCCAAAGAACATGTAAAGGCTGTAAATGAAGACCTGGCCACACAAAAGACCCTTCCAAAAGTCCATGGGGTGGCGCATCTCGGCGAGGAAGGCCGTAAAGGTCATGCACCCGCCGTAGGAATACACGGCCTGGTTGAGACCGTTGAGAGAGGCGACGAAGCCGGTACCGCCACTGGCGAAGCCGTCGGGAGGAGTACCTGCAAAGGTGCGAATCGGACCAGGGCCAAAGTTGTCGCCAAATGAAGCTTGCGTTGCCTTGAAGTTGGGGGGATAATGGACGACGACGCCGACGCTGGGTAATTGTCTTAGTCTGACGGTTGCTGCCGAGAACAGAGGGACAACTTACCAAATGAAGATGATGGCAACGTTGATCCAGACGGCAAAGTTTGCAATCCACCCGAATCGCTGCAGCGTCCTAATCTGGCCCAGGACAAACCCGGCCGCCATGAAGATGATAAGGCACGCTACAAAGCATATCCCGTTGCCATTCGAGCCGTTGTTGCCCTGCGAGATTTGCGAAATGGACTGTCCGTTGCTCAGGATGAGACTGCACACGGACAGGAGCAGCTGCAGGCCAAGCATGATGTTGAGAAGGATTTGGGGAATGCGCCCAAAGATACGAAAGTAGATGTCGCCATAGGTATGCATGGGGTAGCGGTCGGAATCGAGGCCGAGGAAGGCTTTCCATATAATCCAGCCCGAGCTGACAACCCAAATCAATCAACACTCTGATTTCACGGATACTTGGCAAAGACGGAAGAAGAAGAACAAAACTTACTACCCGGCCATTGCGCCAAAGACAGTGTACAGCGCCACGCCAGGACCGTAGCCCATTTGCGCAAAGGCCCAGGGAGTCGAGAAGGGTCCCAGTACATCTGTTGTGATCAGGTAGAAGATGGATCCCCAGGAAGCCGTGCGGATGGCCCGGCTGGCTTGCTTCCATTCCCTTTCGGAGATGCCCGTGATGATTTCCTCGTCGCTGGAGTATACATCGGCTACCGACGTGGCAGGGTCAGTCTGGTGGCCCTTGGAGAAGCGACTCCGAAGCGTGTTCTTGACAGTCCGGGGCCCGCGCTTGTCAAGCAAGGCTTTGTTGGTGAGGGCTTCGTCGGCACGGGTTCGTTCCGCCCAGTACATGAACTCTTCAAAGGTGATGGTCGAATCGTTGCCGTGGATGGGCTGATGAACGACATCCTGGGGCGGTTTTTCGGCGACAGACAGACGAGGGTCGCCCTCGGCGCTGATCAAGCCCGGCGGCACGGACATTGTCTCTGGATCTGGGCAGCACGAGTCTATACGCTCCTCTCAATTGGGCTGGCAGGGTCCTGGGGAGAGCCCTCGTCTCGGATGTTGGACCTCAACACAGGGATTCTGGGGATCTAGAAGACTTGCACATGGGCGGTCAGAAACACGAGCAGGGCGTGGGCTAGATTAAAAGGAAATCCTACATGACGAAATGTCCCGTGATGAATGTAACGCTGCTGCCTCTACCCCCACGACCGTTATCTATAACACGCCGTACGTTGATCACGATAAGTGGCATCGGAACAAGATCGGCGTCCACGACTGAGCAAAGGTTCCCGACATGGCGCTTTTGGGCTAGAGAGGCCACTCGGATAACTCGGTACGCTCAGATGGACCTGTTTTCAGTTGCGGATAGGCCGTTGAGTGGCGGCGAAGGGGACGAAAATTCGCCATTGTTGAGTAGTCTTGGTGGAGAAGCTTAATTGCAACACCAGAGTCATGACAATCGCCCTGACTTTCCGCACTCGGAAAAGCCTCGATCCACAGGGGCAGAGTGAAGTATCACGCGAAAAAAAAAAAAAAAAGGCGATGCTGCTGAAATGTCCGTTCTATTGCTGGCGGATTTGTAGCAATGACGCGACAGTAATCCGAGGGAGTTTAGGGACCAGTTGACATGGAGGGCTCGTGAGTTGGCAGTAGCCACCCAGGCCCTAGAGGGGTTTGGAAGGCGTGACTACCAACATTGAAGGCTAGTCTGAAAAGGTAATTGCAAAGTAGAACTCAGACCTCTGATCAATTTTTTCCTACCTACTGCTGTTGTAAAAGCGACGGCGCTTCGACAGAGGCGCCGCGCAACTCTCGCGGGACAGAGCCTCGGGAGGTGACTCGTGAGTATTCCAACGGCTTCTAGATGGAATTGTACAGTAATTGCCTTCAGAGGGTAATCCAGCCGCTCTCGGTCATACCAGCCCAAGTGCTCCGCTCACACACGGAGGAACCCGATCCGCCAGTACCATGGTACCATGTGGCATAAAGAGGGAAGCTTGGCTAATAAAATACAGTTGCGCCTTTATACATGTTTAAAAGGGCAAGTGCAACGACAAATGCTTGCGGCAACTCAGCTGCGTCATTGCCTAGCCTCTAGTGTTGGTTTCAATGTTCCGACCTCCACGGAGATCAAGCGTTGCAGAATACAACCCGCTGTAAGTGGCTGGGCTGGCGTTCCCATGAACCTGACTAGATCGACGAATCATGGAACCTCCCATTCAACGCCTTTCGCGGCAAATCTGTGCCGTCCGCGGATCCGACGGCGGCTCCCTCGGCGCAGACACGTCTTGCTCCACCTGTCGCCGTTGGCTGAGGGTGTTTCGAGCACGCAGTTTGCGGAGTAGCCATAAGAGGCGTGCTGGCTAAAGAGTCGGTTTCTCTTTGTGATACGGACATTGCTCTCAAGGAGCTTAAGGGGGGATGGTTGGTGACAACTAACTAGACAAGCACATGGGTCTCTGCGTAACTCGACAAATCCATCCCGGAATTGAGAACATGTCGGCGAAGGGAATTTGATACTATATCCAGTCTTGGGCGTCGTCTCTGTCGAGGTATTACATGCCGTTTTGCCATCTCTCCTCAGTCCGCTGTTGGTAGGTTATACAGTCTCCCATGCCGAAGCCTCAGACCATGGACCCCGATACCTCATACAAGGTTCACCCAAGGACTCTCGTGGAGACAGCTGCCATCCAAGATACAGTTGACGAAATTGTTCATCTACATACATCTCTCTAGTCGTGCTCTAGTCGCGTGATTCGCATTGGGATATTACTGTGGTACATGAACCATGCATTGCAATAGTTCCACTCGTGATTCGGGTCGGGCAGCCGGATCTTTTGGTTTTCAGACCGGATTAGCAAGCCTCGTTCATCTTTGCAGTCACAGTAGAAGGCAACAAGTATTGTACATGCATGCGTGCGTGCTCGGGTAGCAGCACAGCGAGACATGTCGCGGGTAACACTTACATGGAACATGCTGTACAACGTGGCCATGAGCTTGTACATTTCCACCTTGGCGAAATGCTTCCCCGTACAGGCGCGGCTGCCTGCACCGAACATGAGATCCCCAGCTTCCTCCATTTGTCGCCGACGCCGGATGAACTGGTCGCTGTCCTCATCGCGCCTTTGTAGCCAGCGTTCCGGGACAAACCGGTCGACGTGTTCCCCGAAAACGCCGACATCCCTCGTCACAACGGCCGGGTTGATGCCGACGTTTGTGCCAGCCGGGATGAAGCGGCCATCTGGAAGTTGGAAACCGGCCGCGGGCACCTCTCGCTCAAACATCAAGCCCACGGCTGGATTCAAACGCGCCGCCTCCCGGATGACGGCATCTAGATAAGGGAGCCTGTGGATGTCCTTCCACTGGGCAGGCAGAGAGAGCCGGGCCGTTTTCAGCTCGCTTTGCAGCCTCGTTTGCGCTTCGGGGCATTTCCCAAGATGGTACACGATAGGCCTTAGAGCTCCAGCCGTCGAATCGCCTCCCGCCAAAACGTTGAGCATCAGCCAGTTGACTAGTTGATTGCTGTCCGCAATATCGGGATGGACGGCTCTGAGCCCGTGGTACTTGTCTATAAATGTGTCTACCTTGGCTCGTGCCAGGCTTCCTTCAGCAAGCCTCTTTTGGTAGTCAGCCAGGCGGGCAACCGTGTACAGTAGACCGTTGACTAATGGCTTTGGACCGATTCGGTAGAAGGGATTCTTGTCGAGCCAGTTATCGAGCCAAGGCGCTTGAGACACCTACCCCGTTGCAGTGAATCAATGAGCTATACTGTCGAACAACACTTGTATTTTCCGGCATCTTACTTACCGGCGCAAAGTAGCGAAGGCCGTCTGTCGATTCCTTAATCATGCCTTGGACATCTCTTTCTTCCTCGATGAAGCCGTAGTGCTCCCCGAAGGTCACATTGGCGGCAAAATCCCAAGCAACTGATAAGCCAAGTCAGCATCTTGTGAAATACCACGACACCCTCAAGTTTGGGCTATTCTCACAATATGTAAGCCAATCCTCCATCATGCAGACCGTATCCGGGTTAGGGTCTTCGGCGAACTTGTTCCCGAGTTTATGGACAAGCTTCCGAATGGTTTCGTCCATCAGCGGCTCAAGCTCGAGGATCTTGGTCAAGGTCCAAAACCCGGCAATTGGGCGGGCATATGTTCTGTGAAACTCCTCATCGTGTGTGTTGAAGATGTTGGAGATTCTCTGGCCGTCGACAACCACATCGTTGACACTGTACATTTTGCTCTAGCCACAACAGTAAGCTCATGGTTTGTTTCTTTTTTTCTTTTTTTTATTCTGACCTTTTTCCATGCGTTCTTAGTTGTGCTGGCATACACCTCTTTGATCAACTTGGTATCACTTAAACTAATCGTATTGGGTCCAATCCGAACGGCCTGGCCCCATTTCCGATGCCATCCTCGGGTAACCGCGTCCACATTACCGCGGGTTGTTAGGAAAGCCCTCCATGTGTCGGTGAATTTGGACGCGAATGGACCCGGGAATGTTCCAAGAGGCGAGAAGAAAGCCCGCCAGATCAGTTTACCAATGACATAGAGCAAGAGTATAGAAACGAGTTGAAGCATGATATTGGTCGGAATCGACATTGCGGATGAATGTACGGCCACACTGGTTCTCCGTCCTGCATTTAGACTACGCGTGTAATAGGAGGCCAAGGTGTCCTGGATTTGCATGATCCTGTCTGATCAGGTTGACTCAAACAACGAGGCGGCGGGGAAGGACACAAACTGTCCGAACAAAGCATTATACCTTACCCACTTTCCGATATGACAGGTCTTGCAGCCATGTGAATCTGGGAAACCGCTTTTCCCTACTCGCACTTTGGAGGGGTTGCCCACCCTGTTGGAGACATTCTGACCTGATTGACTAATTGCGGCGCGTAACACCAACATTGCAACCCGTCTGTTGGTTTCAACAGGTCTCGGGCCTGCTAGAGAGCACTGCAGAACCGACGGGATTTATTGATAGAAGCTGTCTCTATGCTGGCCGGTATTCCTCGGGCGCTGATTTGGGATAAGGAAACATTCCGAAGGCTGCGGACTCCGGAGTATAAGTTGCGCTCATTCTTTTCTGACCTGTGGCTAGTAAGGAAATATTGACTTTCCAGGCTCAAGTCAAACAATAGCAGAGGTCTTTCAGCTGCCCCGGCCTCGTCGCTGAGCCAGGCTCAAGCTGATGGTTTGCTCAAAGTCCGTGTACAAACTCAGCTTGCTTTTGGTGTGCCACGGCTGTTGTCTGACGTCGGTCAATTGTGTATTGACTACTCCGTACACATAAAGGGCAAAGAGAAATGCCCCGCAGGTCGGTCCGACTTAAGAAACATTGAACCAATAAACTGGGCTGACATGACTTATTTATAATATGACAGCCTTCCGAGCTACACATGACAGGTTATCCTCTATTGTATGGCTGATCCGTCGTCTCTAATATGGAATGGTCCTGGTCAAAGATTGCAGCAAATGTCGTCTTCTAGCTTTCCTAAGAGTGATTAGCTAACCGCTGGAAGATTCCTTGGGATATCATCAAGTGTGATGAATTCGCAATCTGGCAATGACGTCCGGCCTTGCAAACATTGAAGATTCGCGGAGCAACCAACCATCGGAGGAGATGTCCACCCTACAACTTTTAAAGGTGCCGTTCAGCATCGAGGTGCCGCATTACTAGACAGCCCTTTGAGTCGACCTCATGGAAGGTTAGGCTGATTGGCGCCATCTCAGCTCGCTGTAATGGTTGCCTCAGTGGATGAAACTAGATATAAATGAATTCTTGGGGCGTTTTGAAAGCAGCCTCAACAGCCCTGGTACCTTTCTTGATGCTCTGGCCTGTAGAGAAAAACTGCCTGGGTGACAAGTGATCTTCAGCCGTGGACGCCTGGAGACAGAGGAGAGGCGGCTGAGCAATTGCCACCAAACGGTGAGCCATAAAAAATACTATCCAACTCTGGGAGCAAATGTCCGGCCAGATCCAAGAGCTCCCCGACTTCCGAACTGTCTTACCTGAGTGCGTTGGCAACTATAGATCTAGAACTGATAATACATCACAGGCGACATGCCTTTGTCGATCCCATTATGAGCTATCCGGTAGATTAGTTTCGTATTATGTTGAGTGTAAACTTGCTGAGAGTCGGAGATCCATGAACAAGCTTGAACATGGCAGTGGTGGGCTGTTGTATACCCGGGAACCAGCCCTCCTGGAACAGTATTACCCATTTGAGGCACACCCTAGCTTGCAAGCCCAGCACTCTGCAACATTGTCTTTGCTAAACCAAGACTTATCGTGGAGGATGTAGGTCTGACGAGAACATGTTTGTGCGGCTATAGCGTGCGGGTTCTCTCGCGGCTAGATAATTTTCTCGGATTTTATGACCCGCCCCAGTGAGCTTCTCGTTTTGGATCAGCTTCTTCTCGACAGATGGAGCGGTAATCTCATCCTCGTCAAACTCTGTGTCGCAGTTATCAAGTTCAGTGCTGTACTGAGGTCCATGTTGATCCCAGCACAGCGGTTAGGAGGGCAGTCACTCTGGTGCGCTCTGCAGACATTCTGCCAGATGATGTGGGAGCATGGGAGATTAAGCGCAACTGTATTGGGTAAGATTTATCAGACGGAATGACTGCTGCTGGGTGACTTGTTCCAACTTTGCCGGTTCATAGTATGGACAGGGTACTTGTCTTGGGTCGCAACAACAGACTGCTACGAGCAGTCGTATTTTGCTCCATTTTCAATTCTCAGGATACAATCCATTTGGCCTTGAACTATCACTATCAAATTGATCAGCAACACTATTGACACAAGGATTGTGGTGGGGGGGGCGGGACGGCTCACCCGGCCCAGGACAACCCTTGCTAGCCATGCTGTCGCCTGTGTGAAAAGTGAAGTTCCGCCAAACTATTCGACGGGAACTAGAGCCGCCTCAGCCGTTTAACATTTGAGCCACTGAAAAGAACTTGTTAGCGTTGAGCGGTCAAGGCTCACCCGGCTTGTACCTAGATCACGGCAACGCGGATGGAGTTGACAAAGAGGGGCGATCAACACGAGGACTCACTCCGTACTCCGTACACTGCTCTGCTCTTGCCGGTCTATATCGGGGCCTGGTGAGACATTGGTTTGGTGCACTTGTGACAGAAGAGACGTTGTGGCACACTGAGTTGCTACTCCGTAGATTGGTGCTCAGGGTTCACATGCCACATCTCAACTATACCTCTTGAACAGCATCGTAAGCTAGTATACAATCATACAGCAGCGTGATCAAGCGGAAGCTAGTGTACACTGTACACCTCCTCCGTACACGGATGCTGATTCCGATGACCCAGTCGGCGCCGCCACGTGCCAACACCGCTCTGTGGCTAGTTGACTCCCGTCTCCAAGTCCCACTTGATGGCCGTGATGGCGTTCGGAAATCTGGTAATACGTAGTACTAGTAGTAGTTACTCCTAGACACGGGTTGGGATCTCGGGCAGAGACACTGACAGCGGGCGACCGTGCGCGCGTAGTTGTGCGCTCGACTCCATGTACTCCGTACAGTCTTGAAGTTGCCCACGGCCAAGTAGTTACATGCTAACATGTCCCCGTATCTCATGATGTAGCTCGAGTTATGCAAAGACCTCACTGGGTCAAACATGTCCTTGCTCCCACGGTGTTGCCCGTGTAATTCGAAATTCAGGACTGGGTGCCACCGTCTACCCCGGCTGGCTCATGACTGTGGTCAAGATTCGAGAATCCTCAGGATGCCCGCAAAACCAACGACGAATCCTCAGACCAATCAACGAGTCGCGAAGACATGTCCAACTTTTTTCTTTCTCCTCGTTCGCAACCACTTCCGTGCTTGCTCAGAAAGTGGGCAGGGTAGAGGGCTTTCCCGCCCACAATCCAGAGCCATGGATTGGATATTGCATGCATCGAGATGGAATGGAAATCAGCGCCCAAGGCTCAGCTCAGCGCAGACCCTGCCCAGCCAAGAGTCAAGATCCAGCGCGGTGGATATGGTGGAGGCCCAAGAGTGGCATCTGGTTGCCGGATGAGGTTCCGCTGTCAAAAGCAATTTACATACGAATCTTCCGAGGCAACCTTGTCCTCCCCTTGCTGATTAGCTGTCGAGGCAGCTCCAATCCCAGGGTCCGGCATGTCTTTGACAACGGGGGTGGAAAATGACCTGTCTACTATGCCAACTTGCACATGTCATGTTGTGGACGTGCCACCGTCGACGAAATCGCCTCCGAAGCCCATCCCCAACAATGCAGAGTACAACTGTGTATAGCACCTGGAACAGCCGAGTCTCCCTGGTGAAGCAGAGACTACTTTTTCGCACGGAGTACGAGTAGTGATATACAATACTACCCTGCAGGTGGACTCTTCCGTCTGGAACGGCGGCGCCGTCTTTTCCCTCCCGAGCGTCTCTCTGCTCCCGCCTCGGGGTGCTGTGTAACAGTGTAACCAGGGGCAAGCAAATATGGGCCGTTGATCTGCGCGGAGGGCCTTGGTGCACGGCAGAAGTTGGCTACGAGGTACGGAGTACTAGTAGTTGCATGCCTTGGTCCAATTTGCAAATGCGAGCTTGTCCATGTATCAAGGGCCGGTAGATTTTCCTGTGTAACCCAAGAGAAGGCATGGCTTCTAGAGATGGGGCCCCAATATCGCTTATAGATAGAGTCGGGTTGGCATCTTCAAACCATGCCTTGATGGCTTGGCCGACCTACCGACACAGTGACTCTGTACAGCCAAATAATGGCGTCGATGATGGCTCAAAGAGCAGAGATGCCAGCGGCGGACGCGGACTACCTAGCACAAAGCAAGTCCGGAATCCTAAAGGTAATCGTTTGGGTTGCTGCTGGGCTGCCGACCTTGTTTGTCCTCATGCGCTGCTACACGCGGATATGTCTAAGGAGAGTATTTGGCGTTGATGACTCTTTCATGGTGGCGGCCGTGGTATGTCGAGCCTCTTTTTATTCAACCAATTCAACTTTTGACCCCTCAGAAAGGCATTCTCCTGACGGTTTCCTCCAAAGATTCTCTTAATTGCGTATGCTGCCGTCCTTACCGTAGCCGCAGATAAGGGGCTGGGCCGGCATCTTGAATATGTTGCCCAAAGCCCAAAGGATGCAATGGATGTTGCGCTGCTAAGCTTTGTGTCGCAGCCGCTGGTCATCATGTCGTGTGCCTTTGGGAAAACCAGCTTTGCCTTGACTTTGATCCGGGTGGCAGCACAGCACTGGGTCATGGTGTTACTTTGGTTCATCATCATTTCCATGAACATTTTGCACATGCTGATTTCCATTTTTGTCTTTACTCGCTGCGAGGACCCTCGACACCTTTGGAATCCCAGTATTCCTTCCAACTGTTGGTCAGCCAAGGCGTTTGACGACCTGTCTCTATTCATAGGTTGTAAGTGTCATTTGCATATGAAAACTTGCCTTCTTCCTCGCTGTTCCCACTAATGTTTCTCGTTCTCGTAGCATATTCGGCCGCAACCGACTTTATTCTCGCTTTGCTGCCATGGGTAATCCTCTGGAAACTCCAGATGAAGAAGCGGGAAAAGTTTGGAGTTGCCGTGGCTATGAGCCTCGGCATTTTGTACGTTGTTCCTTATGCCACGCCACGTTCTTCCATCTCAGATAGATGCAGAATCGGGGTTCCGTCGCAAGATGCCCTCATGCGCCCCTCAAGTATACGCCGGGATATTGCAGATGCAAACTAACCAACTTCTTCCCAGTGCCGGTTCCATTGCGATCATCAAGATCCAGTATCTTGTCGCAAACACTGATGGCAAGGACATCACTTACTCCCTTGCGTCGCTTCTGGGGTATGTCGCCGTCCCGGCGCGCACATGACATGATTGGCGTCTGTTCGCTTGCTAACTGCCCTGTAGATGGGCTGGAGTAGAGAACGGCGTAATTCTGCTAGGCGCCTGTGTTCCAACCTTGCGGCCATTGCTCAAGAAGATATTCCCCGGGTCTTCAGCCAAGAAGGAAGAGCCGTCCAATGACAGCAGCGAGCTCATCACCTTTACCAATTTCAACATGTTTGCTCCAAAAGCCAGACGAGGGCACTGGAGTACTACAGTCGGAACCGAGATTCATCAAGAGGCAGACGACCAAAGCGAGCGGAGCATCCTCAAACGAGCCCCTGAAGAAGGCGAAAACATTGAGGTTGCTCACCGTCTAAGTCGAGGAGCTTGTAGGACGCAGTCCAACGATTCACCGCATCACATTAAGAAGACAATAGAGGTTGACGTCATTTACGATCAACCATGAATCTTCTGTCACTTCGATTCTCGATATTGCGCGATTAATACCTACATGTATTTCGAATGCGGACGAGATACACAGCTGTGTATTTTATATACCTGCCGAAGCTCAAAGGCTGGGCTTGCCCTGTGATTGTGCTGCTTTTATATAGCTGGAAGAGCAAGCATTGCACCTAAAACGCTAGAGATGTTTAGCGATCTAGACAAGAATTGAGTTGATTTCGGTTAGGTATTTTGATGAACTCTGGGAGCCGACTTTGCATGGCGTCCCGGACCACTTTACGTCCCTTTTCCTGTAGGCGAATGACAAAAGTTCGACGGCGACATGGATCGTCAGGGAGCACAATGTTAGTGTCGCCGGACTGGATTGTTGGTTTACAACTCCGCATTGCTGACGAGCCTGCCATTAGCCGGAAGCTGGGGAGAGAATCAAGGGCCTGTGTCTAGAACTATCTTCCGCGATTGCCATTGAAATGGCTATGTTATTTAAATGTGTCTGTTTGTTGCTCCTGCCCGATGGCCCACGGGAAATATCAGTCTCATCTAGTCCATCATCGACAAGTCTATAGAACTGGTTGGAGGCTCAGTCTCCTGACGCCAGTGACGAAGACAAGACTCGCTTCGAAGCAGCTTTTGACGCAGAGCTATGGTTGATTCGCTGGAAGTCGATGACCCTGATGCGCTGGTTACCGCGTGAATGACAAAACATACGCCCAAGACGCCATACATGAGTGAGTGTATATTCTTCGGCAGTACAAGTACAGCTGCGAATGACTCTGGCCAATAGAGCTGGATTACGAAGTACGTGGGTGTACGTTCGGGCCATCAGCGGCAGGGGATAGGCAGCATGCTCGTCCAGTCTGGTATCAAAGAGGAAACAAACTCGGCATTGGCTTGTACCTGGTGACTATGGGAGGCAGTGCGTGCAATCTTTAAAAGAAGTATCGGCTCGAGGAGCTTGATTTTCGGAGCCAAGATCTGATGCAATGGGGTGTCGAGGGGACTTGTGACACTTGGATTTTGAGAAAGCACAATGAGGCGTGAAAATGTACTTATGTTCACACTGTGTACTTGGTACTGTTCTGGCAGTAACAACCTTGGAATCTTGGAAATGCAGTAAACGACATGGACGTCTATAACGATAACGATACGCCAGACAGACCTAGCCATATAGTTGAAAGGTGACTATCCTTACAACACGACCAACAGTATTGCCACTAAACTATATGTATAAACGTTAGTACCTCTGTTCATATTTAGCCGTGGCTTAACCAGCGTTTAACCAAGGCCGGGCCCAGTCGACCGAGGGGTCTTGCAGAGGGCTACAGGAGGGTTATAGCTTGAGGGCACATGGGGCTTACAGGGCGTCATCTAGCCTCAAGCTTATATAGCGATATATATTACTGAATCATTCACTTCCCTGCAATATCGCAACTATTAGCGATTTGCCAGGGAACACCGCAAGTCGGGCGTGAAATATCGCAAAAGCCCAAATATCGCTACTAGGGATCATGGTTCCAACCATGGTGTACCGTAATCACAATTTGTCAACTCACAAACAACCACACCGCCACCGCCGCCAGAAAACTCACCACGGATAGCCACGTCAGGTATCTCGAAGCAAACAGAGGGGGGGGTTGGCCATTTCTAGTTGCAATGCAATACTCCCTGGGCCCACGCGTCCCGAGAACTTGACCACTTTGAGCGAGGCGATCCTGCTGCAGTCGGATTCATGGCTCCTCGGGCCAAGGGGCCTGGACCTCTTCAAGCCGCTCTTGAGGCCGCTTGGAAGGGAGTCGCCTCTGTGCATACAGAAGTGAGCCTTGTTCGAATATCTACCGCTGGCACCCGCCGAGAACGACTCAGAGCACTGCTTTCTGAGCTGCAATTCCTGTGTGGCCTCTTGAACTGCATCTTCTGTCTGTCTCTCAACTTGCAGGCACCAGACCAGGAACCTGTCAGCGGCCCGTTCGACTATGCCATTTTGGCCGGCATCGCGCATGTGGTCAAGGACATTGCGGATAACTCGGCCACGGCCCCGGACGATGGATTGGTCACGATGACGGTGAATGTGAGGTTTTATAGAGACCTAGTTTCACAAATCGCGACCTTTGCGGCCTACGACCTGGCCACCCTTCACCAAACCCTCCTAGAGGGACGTCCCACCCCGCCCTCAACCTCGACAGCTCCCACCGTGGAAGATCTTGTTCCTTCTCTGGAGAAATGGCTAGACGTGCTAAACTCTAGGCACTATGATCGTACTATGCTCGAGTGGGCTTCCGAGCGTGGCTTGGTTCGGGCCCGTCGAGAGTTTGACCCCGGGTACCAACGTGCCGTGACGGGATGGGTCAAGTTTGCGAGGACCAACTGGGAGCCCATCAGGGCTTCTGTGAAGCAGCTTTTTGCTATTCCGGCTACCAATAATTTCATACAGTGGGCTGTCGAGTTCGCCAGATCTTCGTGGCCTTGCGTCTATGACTTTGATGCGCCTACAGCTCAGCCCGTCGTCGCGTTGGTGAATGATGTATCCTTGGGCAAAGTCACTCCTCTACATTATGCTTCCATGATGGGGCTGACTGGCGTTGTCACGGATCTCCTGTCTAATCTCCAGGACACCAACCTCGTCAATATGACTGGCCGTTTCGGGACCCCGTTATACTGCGCTTTGGTCGGGCCTCGTGTGATGCTATTTGGATGCGAGCCATCGTCCTGGGGCTCCTTGATTGTTGAAATGGAGCCTGCGGATGCAGCTCTCATCAAAGAACTATTGTCAAGCGGCGCTTCGGGAAACGCCAGCATCTGTATGCCAAACATGGAGAGCCCGATTCCACTGGCTCATATCGCATTTGTGGCGGCCACTATCCTCGAAGACCCCGACGTCTTCACCAAGGCCGTAGACACAACCCACCCCCTTCAAGAGGACTTCACCCTTATGCTGATTAGCTCCTCCATATTTGAAGACAAGGCTGGCTCAAAACCCTTCATGATGGCCAGGCTTGCAACTGCAGCCTTTGACCAGGCCATGGTCAACGCTGGTGACAGTTTGCCGTGGGAGGGCGATGAGGTTTGCGGCGCTATTTGGGAGTTTATGTACCTACAAGACCTGGAATTCGACACGGAGGAGAATGTTTCGCTACCGTTTATCAGCGACGGCGACTTTGAGTCTGTGGTGCGGCAGTGCGTAATTGACGCTCACGCCGTCATCGGCGAGAAGGCCGTCTACCTTGAGCGACTGGTCAAGGACAGACGCTTCGATCCGAATCTTCTTGCTCGCGAGGATGGCGATGAAGAAGGCACCATTTTGCATTTGGCCGTCAGTGGCATGAACCACGTCGTGCTGGACGAACTCTACCTCGCCTACGCTGATTTTACCGCCGTGGATTCGCAGGGCCGAACTCCCCTGATGGTCATCGAGCACCCGGCAACCTTGGAAGTCCTCGTAAAGCAGTACAAGGTCACGACTACGGCCAAGAATAACGACGGCCAGAACATTTGGCACCTCGCAGCTGCCACGAACGACGCCGCGATCCTCTCTTGGCTCTGCGAGAATGACCCAGACAAGTCCGCCAACATCAACGTCGTTAGCAACGCTGGCCGCACACCGCTAGCCGAAGCACTCTTGTGCTTTGCGATTCTCGACCGAGGTGGCCGGCACAAGCCAACTGCGGCGGCGGCCAAGACGCTGCTAGACGAGGAACTAGTCGACACCAAGCTCGGGACCGCGAACCTGCCAATGACACTGGCGGACATTACCGCTCAGTGGGGAGATGCCGAGCTGGTCGCCAAGCTCATTGCCGCTGGTGTGGACATTTAAGCTGTCTTGTTTTGTCGCCTTTTTAACACAGCCCTTCCTCCCCCCTCCTTGAGCACACGAGAAATATGATCAATGATGCCACGAAAAAACAGCGGCGCGGAAAAGTACACTACTATGATGAGAGTATCACGAGGAATTTCATGTTCAAAAACAAATGGCATAGGAAAGGAGACTAGAGTTGGGCAAGGTCCTAGATTATGGTTTAGACATTTGTTGGACTCGGGTCGACACAATACCTGTGGGAATAATCTTTTGTAATTTGACAATTTTCTAACAACTTTAATGTGACGGCCTTGTAATGAACTTCTTTTATCGGGGCTATTTTGCCTGTCTGCTCGAGTTATAAAGGACGTAAGGTTTTTGATGCGGCCGCGGAGTACTTGTTTTCGGATATACTCATCGCGCAGCATAAAAACACCCACTCAACCCGACGTTCTCTCGTGGGAAATGGCTGACGGACCATGGCATACAGTAGGTGTTTGTGGTGGAACTGAAGGTATTTCACGTAAACTTGCCGGTCCTCGCTGACTTGCATCCGGAGACATTGACTTTGGCTTTTCGCCTCGAGGAAGAGTCATGACCCCTTTGGGATGTATCCCTGGTACTCGCCGATTTCGTCTCACCCCTAACCGCCATCTCGTCGACTGCACTAAGATAGTTGGCGCATCGTCCTGGCAAGAGTTTAGATTCCAATCTTGTTGTGGTCATGGATCAAGGCGGGATTGTGAAATGGGCACGCCGGAGAAGTTATTTCACGGTAGAGGGTGGTTCAGTCGCCTACAAGTGACGAAATCTAGACCCGTACGAAAGACATTTGTTTGTGCATCTCCATCTTCATATTGTGTATGAGCTTCATCGTATATCCCGTACAAGACCATCAACCTATATCCCATGCAAACAGTCGCCCATATAACAAACACCCAGAAACGCCAAGCAATGCCATAATGCAACACATCGTCTGTAATAGTCCCGTTGTTTAACCCCATGTGCCGCCGCCGCCGCCCCTACCACCTCTCCTCTGCGCACTCAATCTCCAGTCATCCTCGCCCGCAAACTTATTATACAGCGGCTGAATCCTCTCGGCCTGCTTCCGCTTACTCAGTCTATCGCTCGGCGCGACCTTGAAGAAGGTGGGTGCCGCCTCCACCAACCACTTGGGCTCAATGGACGACGTGCAATGCATGTACTCCTTGGTGGTCAAGACGAGATCGTGGTAAATCACCCACTCGGCCTGCTTGCCAAACAGCGCCGAGCTAGGGTGCAAATACACGGGCGTCCCCTCTGTAAGAGTCTTGTATCCCTCCTGGGGGTCCTTGCGCGCGGCGTTGCGGAAGAACCCCGAGCACATGGCGCGACGGACTTTATCCGTGTTGCGGCCGCACGAGACAATGGGGTGCTTGTAGCGTTCCATGATTTTGACAAGCTGGTCTCGGACGTCCTTGGCGCGGCGCATGGAGCGCGCCTGGATGAAGTTTTCAAAGCACCACGGGTTGGAGTAGGCGTTTTGTTTCCATGAATTGTAGACGTTAAGGAATGTGAGGTGGTCGCCGTGAGGGTCGTGGAACTTGGCCTTTTTCTGGTCGGCCTGTGTTTGCTTTTCCTTGGGCCGATAAAAGACTGCGCCTTGGAGGGAGAGCATGGCAATGATGCTGAGAGCTTCGTCAGAGCACTGGTGGTCCACAGCGGAGAGCAGTACCTTGGCAGAGGCAGGGTCCATGGGGAAGTCTGCCATTTTGCGACCAAGGCGCGTTAGCAGACCTTCGTCGTCAAGGGCACTGAGTGCGTAGAGCTCTTCCAGTGCCGTCAACATGGTGTTTACGGGCGGAGGGTCCATGAAGTCAAAGTGGAGGAGGTCGTTGATGCCCATGGCTTTTAGCATGAGAATCGTGTGTGAGAGGTTCTGCCGCTGGATTTCAGGAATGGTCGTGGGCAACATTTCGGATTGATACGCTGCTTCGGTATAGAGTCTGAAGCACTTTCCGGGGCCTGTTCGGCCGGCTCGGCCAGCTCTCTGATTTGCTTGGGCTTGAGATACTGGTGTAACGACCAGCGAATCCATGCCTAATTTGGGGTCGTAGGCGCTTTGCTTGACGAATCCAGGGTCGACAACGTAGTAAATCTCATCAATAGTAATGGATGTCTCGGCAATGTTTGTGGCAATGACGACTTTTCTAGTCCCCGGCGGCGCGGGATCAAAGATCTTGCTCTGCATCTCAGCAGGCAGACTGGCATAGACGGGCAGAATTAGAAGCTCTGGAACCGACGGTCCGAGAGCCTTCATCCGCTCATACAAAATTTCGCAGGCTGTGTCAATTTCCTCTTTTCCTGTCAGGAACAGTAGAATATCGCCCTTTGGCTCAGTCAAGTGGATTTGCATGACTGTCACCAAGGCTGCATCCAGATAGTCAGATTCCGGTTCCCTTGAGTAGAGAATCTCTACCGGAAAGGTGCGACCAGGAATCGTGAAAATTGGACATTCATGAAAATATGACGAGAACTTGTCCGCATCAAGAGTTGCCGAGGTGACGATAATTTTGAGGTCTGGCCGGCGTAATACAGCCTTCTTAAGCAAGGCGAAAAGTACATCTGTTGCAATTGTACGTTCGTGCGCCTCGTCCAACATGATACACGAGTATCTCTTCAGGTCCGAGTCCATTAAGATTTCTCGCTGCAACATACCATCCGTCATGTACTTGATTCTTGTCGAGGGACTGGTACAGTCATCGAATCGAACCAGGTAGCCCACTTCTTCTCCCATGTTGCAGCCGACTTCTTCGGCAACACGCTTGGCAACTGACATGGCCGCGACTCTTCGGGGTTGTGTACAGCCAATGATGCCCTTGTCCGCAAAGCCTGCCTCTGCCAGGTACTGAGTGAGCTGAGTAGTCTTTCCCGAGCCAGTCTCCCCCACTACGATTAGAATCTGGTTCTCTTGCACAGCTTTGATAAGTTGGCTGCGGAAAGCGTACACAGGCAGGGACTCTCGCTGCTCCTTGATGCTGAGGTTGGTTCGCTTGCCTAGAGACTGGCCCTTGGGTATGACGGCCTTCTTCCACTCTGGAACATCCTCTGACTCGGCTTGCATCCTCGCGTTCCTCAAGTCACTAGCAAATGTCCGTTTGTCAGGGTCGGCCATGGGATCCTGCCACTGTGATGAGAGATTCTGGTTGGATTTCTTCTCCTTGGCGGCGGCATCTGCTTCTTGCTGCTTCAGCTCCTTTCGTTCCTTGGCAATGGAGGTGCCAGACATGGCGGCACGGTTCATCGAGCCATCAGGCGCCTTGACGACGCGGATAGGAGACAGTTCCAGAGACTGTTTGGTCTGGCCAACCAAAAATGGCGGTTCTTCTTCACGAACTTCGATGTCCACATCTTCTTCTAATGCCATCTCTCCATCGCCTTGGAGGGTAGCATTATAGTCCTCTTCCAAATCCGGGTAATCGGAGGCTTTAGCAACTCCCGACGCAATAAGCTGCCGAATTTCCCATCTTTCAGGGGACGTCATGCGCTTCTTATGCCGTCTAGGTGGACCAAGTACATCTCGTGGCATGGCCGATGTATCGTTGACAAAGCCATTCTTGACACCGCCTCCAAGAGCCTCCATATTGGCTCCTGTTGTCAGTCGCGCTTGCGGTTCCAGATCCATTCCGGTCTCTTGATCCACGTCCCTCATGGATAACCCGATTCTATTTCCTTCAACGCTGGTGACCTTGACCCACACATCCTGACCTTTGGATAATAGATCGGAAGGATGGTTCACCCGTTGTCCAGCGATTATTCTCGAGATATGCACCAGACCATCTACCTTTCCTCGGACGTGGTGTAAATTGACAAAGGCACCAAAGTCCCTTACACCAGTCACATGTCCCTGGTAAACCTTGTGCAGCTTTGGCGCATCGTCAATTTCAGGGTACGGCGCTTTACGCAACCGGTCATCGCTTTCGTCTTCATCGTGTCTTCTTCGGCCCCTTCTGTCGTTGCGCGACTCTTTGAACCCGTCTCTCCAGTCTTCGTCACCTCTGTCTTGTGACTTGGATCGTGACCTGAATCGTTCTCTTGTGCGCCGGTTGCGCGAGCGTGATCTGTCCCGCCGTCTCCTCCGTGACTCCTTGCCATCGTACTCGGGACTTCTGCTGCGCTTTCTCGACGCCTTTTCTTTTTTTGCTTTGCCTTCTAAACCTTCTAGCAATGCAAGGGTGTCATCTATCGCATCTGCGCCACTATCATATGCGACCGCTTTGTCTGCCAGTGCGAGACCACTAAAGACCTTTTCTTTCTCCTCAAGTGTTCGAGAGTGGTGTTCCTCTCCGTTGATTTGATCGCCGTTTCCTTTGAACTTTGGATGCATAGCAAGCACCAGGCGATCCAGACTGTCCACCAGACTGGGCGGGAAATCCGCACCAATCTTGTCGAGTCTCTTGCGGAAGTCATCGGTGCTGGAGCTTTCGAGGCGTTGCGAGATGAGAAACTCGGCAAGAGTCTTGTCGCTGATGCCGATGTGATTCTGTAGTTCGGATGTGACCTTTGATACGAGCGATAGTAGCTCGAGGTTCAGCAGGTCATCCATGGCAGGTGAAGGATGTTGTCCTGCGCGAGCATTTGAAGGGGACAAGTTGGAATTTCAGAGTGAGTCGCCGTATAGGACTAAACCAGAAAAAATGATGGATCCTCCAGTGACGGCGCCGGATAAAGGCCGGAGTTCTGGCTACTAAGTAGGTGGCGCACTGTAACCCTAACCCTGTAATTCGGCCAACCACCTTGTAGAGTCCTTCAGCTTCGGAGTTTGCAGTGTAGAATGTGGTCATTCCTGGTACTGGTGACATTTGATCTCCTGTGGAGTTCCTTTCCAAAATTCACGCAGCTCGTTTGCGATTTAGCGGATATTCAGAGAGGTAGGGAGTAGTGTGGTGGGAAAACTAAATAATGCGCTGCCATCTCGCAGACGTTCAAAGTTGATACGGTCGGGCAAAAATGCTCCAGCATGGATTCAGCATTTCAGACGGATGAGCATTTGGTAAACATCGATGGTGGGCTCTAACGGATCCAGCATGTTCAACGGCGACTAAGATGAAGTTGATGGAGTAGGGCCTGGTCTTCTTGTCTTGCCGCCAGGATAACTGTAGTGGTATTGTCGGAGCGGAAGGGAGGACGTGAATTGCTCGGCGGGCTCACTCTTTTTGCTAGGTGCGCTTATCCCCCTATTATTTAGTGTATTTAAACTTGACTCTTTAATATCCCTTAATATATTTAAGTAATTTATAATAAAATATTTTACTTACCTAGGTACTAATTTCTTATAAAGTATACACTAATATATTATAATATAAAGCCTGATAGCCAGGTATCTGGTAGGGCGTGAGCGCACCTAGCAAAAAGAAGAAGCCCGCTGAACAATTCACAACCAGACTGTTTCCAAAGGTCGATTGGGCATGGATTTGCATGTTGTGGGAGCATGGAGGTTCCCTACGTAAGCCCCCAAATTCTATTCATTGTATTAGCATTTTAAGCTAGTATTTTTGTTTCTTTATTTTTGGATTAGGTTATGTCGACGAGGCAGGTTTCGGCGCCACAGTAGATTGACTCAACATTATGTTTGGCTGTCACAGTAACACACATTGCAAAATTGAGCTACCACGTATCTGGGGGCTGGCTCATTGGAAGAAAAAGAGGACAAGGAAAAAAATTAATTCACCGTCATCTCTTCAAGCACGCGTCCAACCCACAGCAACGTCATCCTCGCATGCGCTGAAAGAATGGCTGCCTAGCCAGGTACCTATCAAGTGGCAACAGTGAATCAGTCTTGAACCTTGCCTCCAGTCAAGGCGACATTGAACCCACCGAGTCACCCAGGCAGTTCGTGTACTGTACCATGCCATGCATCTCATGCGTAGAAAATGCGGGGTTCTCTCCCGTGTCATCCAATCAAGCAGCGTGGGTGCCACCAGTGCACACGCAAGCCCACCTGCATTGCCCCTCCTTGCAGCAACAGCCTGAACACTGGCAGCCGTTTTCGAGGCTCGTGACGTTTTTGGCTACCCGCCGTATAAGCTGTGTCCCACCTTTTGTCGTCGTCAACACCCGATCTCACCTGATATTTTCAACTCAATCTCTCCCGATCCAACCTTGCGCTCTGTATCCCACGGCTACTTCCAACCATCGCAGAATCCATCTTCCAAGTATCGCATTGTCGATATTGTGTGACAATGTGCTCCGCCGACATCTTTCTCGCCTTGTTGGCCGTCCTTTTCCCTCCACTACCTGGTACGTCCACCATTATCCACCCCAAGCCTTGTCTTCTTCCGACGCACCCTCGCTGTAGCTCAACTCCGTAATGATATGAATCGCTAACATCAATACTCTGTAGTCTGGGTAAAATGCGGCATCTGCAGTGCCGACTCCATTATCAACATCCTCCTCTGCTGCCTTGGCTTCATCCCCGGCCTCATTCACGCATGGTACATCATCGCCAAGTACCCCGAACCGGCATACGAGTATGAGTCGCTGCCCCAAGAAGGCGGCCACATTACATATGTCTACGTCCAGACTCCGCATGGACCTCAATGCCGACCGCCCGCGCCGAATGGGGGAATGAACTACGGAACGCAGCAGAACGGGAGTAACAGAAACCAGCAGCAGCAGCAGCAGCAGCCGCAGCCACAAGGTTCGCAACAGCCGCGGGCCCAGACCGGTGCCGCTTCTGCAGAGAGCGCTCCGAATCAGCAGGGTGGTGTGCCTCCCAGTTATGCAGAGGTTGTTGCTGGTGACCACAAGGTTCAGAGCCAAGATTAAGACGTGACCTCTTTCAGAGACGGGAATTCAAGAGTATGGGCGTGGAAGGAGACTGGGAATTGGTGTTGTGGCTTGACAAACGTTACCATGAGCTAGTCTGCGATTTGAAACAGTGCCGGCACTTTTAGGAGCTCATTGGGAGTCTTATAGAACCATTCGCTTTAACTGGTTATGGAGTACTGGGCCTGATCATATCTGTATATTTACTGTTTTAATAGCGTACCAACCGTTTTCTGCTCATTTATCAGGGACGCCGGTGAAATTTTACCCGAACCTCCTTTCCCCTTTCCCGAAAAGCCTCAAAATGGCTACTCTGAGCCGTCGTCTGCGCTCTCCACAACCTGCTTTCTTTACTCAGTAGACTGCCCTTCTTCTGTGCCTGTATCATGCACTGACGGTGCTGGTCGATCGTCATCACGAGGTTGTTTGTAATGCCTCATCATTTGCTGAGGCAAAAATGTGTAGAAAGATGGCACAATCTGGTGTATAGTCTTGATGAACCGGATCCCGGTATTCAACTCAACGAGGGTGATGTCCATCTTCATCTTGGGCATAACATTTGTGAGCAGCGACCTTTCGAGGTAGACCCATATATTGGCGTCCTGGGGCGAGATATGCATGCTTGGTGTCTCCCACTCATCCTCGATGATTGCAGGTTTGAAGAAGACTTTTCCCACGGGTGAAACGCCGCAGTCGCTGCCTTCAATTAGAAGAGAAGCAAACTTGTCCAAAGTGAGTGAGCAGGGTCCTTCAACACGAGTAACTTCCAGGGTGTAGGTGCACTCTTTGGACGCCTCAACGCGGTCTTGATGGAACTCGTCCAGGGTGAGATCCTCGTCGCACAATGCGCAGACAGCAAGAAATACCGTCTTGGGATCATACCAAGAAGGCTTGGAGAATGAAAGAAACGACCAATCCCCGACGGCCACCGAGGAGAACAACTCCGTAGCGGCCAGATTGAAGTACCCAGGCAATTCAGCTGTTAGTTGATTCAGAGCCGGCCACTCTTGCCGCGCTTGATTGCAAACTTGCAAAGCGGACTCAATGTTGTCTTTGTACTCGGGACAGACTTCGTGTAGGAGGACGTATCGCAGAAAGTTCTCCACGAGGCTAATAAGAGATTCAGTCTTCTTTGGCTCGAAGCCAGTTAATTGGCCTAGCGATGTAGAAAATAGGCCAGCTGCCACACCAGCAAAGTCGACAGACCAGTGCTCGTCGTCCCCATTATAGAACCGATCGTCAGCTCCGCAGGCGCCATTCACCGTGTCGGTAACTGTTGCCTCGCGGCGTTGTGCAGGCGTGAGGTCTTTCAAGTCACTGGTATCGAGTCCAGAGAAAGCATTACCACTGGTGTCAATACCGCCAAGGAAGAGATATTCGTCGAAATAGCGAATTTGGTCTCCCTGTATGCGTCGCCGTGCCCGGAAACGACGAATACAAGACTGAATCCGTCTATTTCGTCGTTGTTAATATAATGAGAACCACAATGTGAATGGAGGGACATACTCTTCGAAAGGAAGACAACTAAAGAAACATCCACGAGCGTTAGCAAAGAAAAATCCAGATAACTCTCTTGGGATTCTGAGCCCATACGTACTCGGCGTATATTTCGAGTTTTTCTTCAGCTGCTTCATCTGGGGTCATTGGCGGATCGGCAAAGTACTCTGACGGACGGTTAATCATCTACCCAGACGAAGCGAGAAGAAGCCATTAGCCTATAACGTACCCTCAAAACCTGTTCCACGATTTCGTGGTAATGCAGTTGGACCTCGCTGGGCGGTAGACTTGTTGCCCCTGGACTTCCCCTTTTTCTTCTTCACTGACGCCGCTTGATGACCCGGGTTCATCGAAATTGTGTCGTCTTGATCGTGAATCTGCTGACTGTCGGAATCCCCTCTATTGTAGTGACTATCTGCTTGGTCAGTCACGCCGGTGGCATCACTGATCAGAGGCCCTTCATCAACCTGGGGCGACATGTTGTCAAGAAATCTCGGGAGTTTTTGGACAACAATCACCCATGGAAGATCAAGATGCAGAGGAAGTGAATTAGCACGTCAGAGCATTCAAAGACCGACAAAATGATTGCCAGCTGTTGCCGGACCGTTCCAACTAGCGGCAAGAGGACTCAACCAGAGGGCAAAGCTGCGCACAAGGCATCCACCCGGGTATGTGTAAACGACACTTAACGCACATTTCAGCCCCTCCATTGTGACATTCCCAAGCACTTCATCACAAGAATTAATGAGCTTGATTCAGGCAAGGTTTCTGACTTCACTAATCATCACGATGAGAAAGTCCCAAGTGGAAAGAAGACGAGCAGCACAGCCATCTACAGGCGTCCGGTAGGTGCCCTGGTCTGCCAGCACAACTTGACGACGTCAAAGCAACCACCACACCTATCCAAGCCCTGTTCTATGCATATGGTCACAAGCTCTCAAGTTCAACTTAAATGTTACCGAAATTTGCGCGCCGCATCTTTGACGCTTTGGCCAACCGAGTAGTCGCGGTCGCACCACATTGTCGCACGTTGTGCGTGCCTTTTGCTCGCCCAATGCCCAATGTGCACTGCACACGCGTTCGTTGGTGCACAAAGATGATGTACAGAAGCTGTGTAAGGGTATACATGCTAGCTTTGCAATGAGAGCACGGACGATGACCTGCAGCGGCTGATGTCGTGACTCCGGTGGCTGAGATGGTTGCCCGCAGGGTGGTAGGCGAGCTTGTCAAATATCTCGGAGAGTGATGGTGGCATGGTGTTTGAGGGCTGGGTTTGTCGTTCGCCTGCCTGCCTACCTACCTACCAACCGGTTGTTTTACAGATGTCTGCTCTCTGATTTGGACTGTTTGTGCGGAACAGGGTCAGACCAGGGAGTCCGGTAGAGCACAAGTTCAACACTCGGCCATGTCGGCAGGCCTTTTGTCAGATCGCATACGAAGTTGACATAATATGACGAAGCCTGAGTAGTCGCATCGGCCACGTTGAACTTGACCTGAAGTAGAAAAATTGCGACTAAGCACAGGGCAGCGATTTTGGATTGGGACACGCATCCCGAGCACAAGCCCGCATCAGGGACTCGCAGCGTTGGGCGTGCACGAAGAGCTGCGCTGCGACGCCCAGCTGCCTCAAGATGGTTGCAGGCGCCTCTTTCCATGCAGCAGCAATGAATGCCACATGTATGAGCAGGGGCCAGGCATCGGCTTGCTGTCTGGTCGTTGCGCAGTTTGACAGTGCTCAGTCCTGACAAGAGACACGCGACATATGTATGAACAGATACAAAACAGAGACCAGTGACCCCCACAATCAAGTCTGCCTTGCAGCAATCACACCGTGGTGAGTGGCACTGGCACCAACTCAGCCTCCATCACACAGTCATGGTGGCAGCCTGGAAGCTGACAGGGATCAAGTGATTGGACACCACGGACGGTGTCGGCGTGTGGCTCGGCGGACTGCGAATGCCAGTCCTGAGCGCCTCAAGATGGACAGCACAGGAATAACTCCTCACGATTGTCCTGGCGCAGGAAAGTATTTCGGCGCGTGGCGAGTAGAAACGCGGTCGACTGCAGGCTAACCTGGGTCCGCTCGCAAGTCCGTATGCTACATACTCGGGTTAGCACAAGAGAGGATGAAGCTGTTTGATGGCCCACGACGCCTGCTAGGCGGTGCGAAAGGCTGGTGCTTGGCCAATGGTTGGCTCAGCGCATTGTGCTGGTGCAGTCGAACATTGGACCCAGCGCCTTGGGCAACTGGAATGAGGACATCTGGAGCCATGGTAATCTGCATCTCATGCCCACGGCCAGCATGCGTCTTCAAAACCTCTGCTGCCCGCAAACATTCAAATGCGGGCACCTCGAAGGATCAGTGACGTCGGCAACGAATCCCCGCGCGCCCTGGCTGATCGAATCAGCACCAGCCCGTGCCGCCGCTAAGCCCTGTTCAGCTAGTGTTTTCCACCCTGGGGCTGTTTGTCGCTTGGAGGTCCACTTTGCCGGAACATCTGGATGTTTATGGATGTACTACTCCAGAGTAGATTGTGAAGATTTGCATGGTCTTTCTGCCATGTTGTGTCACCATTGTCTGTAGAAAGTGCATGATTACTGTGAAAATTCGTCCACTGCAGCGCGTGCAGCAGCAACGTTGGAGTGGAGTAGAACGTGAAGTCATGTCGGGCGTAGTCCGGATGCTCTGGACCTGCGTTATACTACGTAATGACTGCATGTGTGAAGTTTGGTCTGGTACCTCAAGCGGCCCACAGCCCTCTGACCTGCGACCACGGTCAGCGTTGGCAGCCCCTGTCTCCCCTGTGTCATGTCTCTAGACCTGCACTGGCATCTGGCACTTGGCACTTGGCACTTGGCCCATTCGCGCCAGGCTGTCTCGCACTGCCTGGGTCGAAGCCTAAGGGTTTGTGGCTGCGTCTTGCCTTGTCCTAGTCCTGTACAGATTCCTTTGTTATTTTCACTTCTTCCACTTGGCGACTCTCGCAGGATGCACTGAACAGCGCAGGCACTAATGGCGTTCCTCTCTGCCTGGCGACATAACTCCCTACCTCGACATATAAAGACCTCGATTCTGGAACGCCATTTCCCTCGGTCCCTGCCAAGTCATCGGCTTCGTTCGAGATACCGAGTACGCAACAAGACCATCCACCTCTCGAGCCAGCAGTGTCAAGCACCACCCTCTTGACTTCAAACTACACTTGCGAGTGCTTTACCCGCCCGAGAGACGACTTTGCCACCTTGGCAGACCTCCCTCTGAACCTTCCGTCTCGCCCACGCCTGTGCGCGCTGCATCTTTCCAGTAGCGCAATATACAAGTCAACCACGGCATAACTGTGTCGTATCGTCTCGCCGAGATCATACTCGTACCCCTACAATAGGGTTGTCTGCCTCTGCCCTCTGGGCTGGGCGGCTATTCTATCAAAGATGCAGCCAGCCAGAGATGTCCCCCGCTTTGACCAACTTCAAGACTATCCCCATGCTGTGGCTGGACAGTAAGTAATTTCCATGTCTTTCATCCTTGATCCCCCTAGCTTTACATGTGGTGGCATCGCAATCCAATTTGCGACCTCCGACCTTAGGTGCGTTGCTGACCTCGCCTTGTCGCAGTGCTGGGACCTTGTGCGACTCCGACGGCCAAGTTTTTGTCAAGCCCTGCACTCAGGCTGAAATCGACTTTTATGAATTGACCAAGTCGAAGTATCCCGATTTTGCCGATCTTATGCCTTTGCATATCGGCAATCTAGTGTTAAGTGGCCCCGGCGAGATGGACATTGGAGACATCGGGGACGGCTTACAAACGGATCCCGAACAAGTCCTTGCAACAATCCAAGAGCAAGTCGCCAATGCCGCCCGAGAATCCCAAACCGAGGATACCATAACGTGGGTGCCTTCTCAAGGAAAGAAGATTCAGACAAACATGTCGGTCGTGCTTGAGAACCAAACCAATGGTTTCAAGAGGCCCAATATTCTCGACGTCAAATTGGGGACCCGTCTGTACGCAGACGACGCGCCCAAGCAAAAACAGCAGCGATTTCAACAGATTAGCAAAGAAACGACACACCACAATCTTGGCTTCCGCATCGCCGGCATGCGTGTTTTCCGTGGGTCTCAAGATCCTTCCGAATTGGATGATAGGGAGTACAAGAACTACGACAAAGACTATGGGCGATTCACCGTCAACGATGACAATGTGGTCAATGAATTGAAGCGATTCGTCTTCAACGAAGCTGCGGGTATTGACGAGGACTTGGGCAAGGCCGTCTGTGCGACTTTTGCTAGAGAACTCGGTACAATAATCGATGTCATGTCTGATCACAATATCCGCATGTACTCGTCGTCACTTCTGTTCGTGTATGAAGGCGATGGCGAAGCGCTTAAAGACGCCATCCGACTCAACACGGAATATGCAAAACGCTCGACCGGTCCTCCAGCTACCAAGCGAATTGATAGTGGCATTGGCTTGGACGACGAGGACCAGGCTCTGGAGCAGTTGCCGCCGCCAGTACTTAAGCTCAAGCTCATCGATTTCGCCCACGCGACATGGACGCCTGGATCAGGCCCAGACGAAAATACTATCAAGGGAGTGAGCAGCTTGGAGGGGTTCTTTAAAGAAATGGCAGAATGAGCCGATGTTGCTCTTCCCATTTATGACGCTTTGATTTTTAAGGCCAGAGCGATGAACGTATACGCAAAACAGAAACTAAAGAGCTCAAGGCCTATCACCGCGAGTTATGAATATCAGCAGGGGCAAACCATCAGCAGTTCAGGGCCCGAGTTACTCAAGGGAGCTTTGCCAATGGAGAATAGCATACTTGTATCATTACACAGTAGAGTGTATTAGAAACAACGGGACATGGGGGCATGGCGAGATCCAGGTCTACTGCGTGAAGTAGCGTATGGAGTTTATTTGGTGTTGGACGTGTGTTTGGTAAATGGGTATAGTATAAATCAGCTTATGGCGGAGCGCATCACTGGAGATTTAGATGCTCCCAAGGACACAAAACAAAACGAATTCTGCACACTACTTTGAGTAACTTTAGTAATGTGACGAAATAACTCTTAATAGTACTGCCCGCGCAGGAAATCGAACGTCCACTTGGAAGGACTCGTGAAAGTATTGGTGTCCTAACTGCGCCCCACATCCGATTCGACGCCACCTCGCCCAAAACTGCAAGCTTCCAGACAAATGTCAGTAAACATTGGCACTTTTTGTTTCTCGCGTCACCAGGTGCTTCTTGGTCTCGTCCATGTAGCCCCGTCATGTCAATTCCAGGCTTGGGCCAGATCCCGGTGCAGGTAGTATTTCACCACGCCGCAAATCACTTAGAATTGCCATCAGCCTTCCGCGCGACACATGACTGACGAGCCAGCTTCCTTAGACCGTCCACTCCTCGACCCGCATCATCGTCCTCAAACCATCCTGGGAATGGCGTTTCGAAGTACCTGCAGGCCGCAAAATCACTGTCAAAGCCCTCTCTGGCACCGCTGAAAAGGATGGCGTTGAGCTTGCTCTTCGGAATGCCTACTCCTTCAGTGCAATAAAATCCAAGATTCTGACATGGCACGGATGCGAGCTCGAAGTCGATGGACGGACTGACGACGAGTTCGTAGCGGAATATGCTTCGCCCGCGGCGAACCCCGCGAATGCACATGTGAATCTCCACGCCAGACTGAATGAGATGCGGACTGCGGCTGTGTACGAGCGGAGAGAAGGCCCGAGGGTGCTGATTGCTGGCCCGCCGACGACGGGGAAAACTACGCTCGTGAGGACGCTCGCGAGCTATGCGACGCGGCAAGGGTTCGAGCCAATTGTCGTGAATGCCGACCCCAAGGAAGGCATGCTGAGTCTGCCAGGGACGCTGAGCGCCAGCGTCTTCGCAACGGCGATGGACCCTGAGGCTGTTGATGGATGGGGTACCACGCCGACGAGCGGGCCGAGCACTGTTCCTGTCAAATTGCCGCTGGTGTACTACTACGGGAGAAATTTACCGGATGACGACCCCGAATTCTATAGAGAGTTGACGAGCAAGATTGCCGGCACTGTGAGTGGGCGGCTAAGTGAGGACGAAGCTGTCCGAAGCTCCGGTGTGATTGTGGACTCGATGGGCGTCAGTGAGAAGAGTAAAATTGGAGAAGACTTGCTCGCTCATATTGTCGACGAGTTATCTAGTAAGTCGTCGCTTCGTCCGACTTGGACGCCATGGCCTGGGGAAACTAACGGCGCCAGTCAACATCATCGTGGTCCTGGGCTCCAACAGAATGACAGCCGAGCTCTCGAAACGCTTTTCTACCGAGAGGACTTCCCTCGGCGAACCGATTCAAATCGTTGGGCTCGATCGCTCAGAAGGCGTGGTTGAGCGGGATGAAGGTTTTTTGGAGTATTCGAGAGAACAGGCTATTAAGGAGTATTTCTTCGGGGACGCCAGGAGAGCGTTGAGTCCGCAGATTCAACAGACTGATTTTGATGCGCTCGTTATTTATAAAGCTTCTGACTGTGAGTTTCTCCCTTGTATCCTTCATGCTATGTTGCATCATGGCTTTGGGTTTGTCTTTTACAGTCTGCGTTTGTGGACATCACTATGCCAAAGGCGACTCAAGTGCCATGGACACTCCACAGCGAGAAGGGAGCACATGTTTACGATTGCTAACTGTTCACAGACTCAGCGTACGAAAAAGCAACACTGTCCCGCGATGAGCCTTCATCGGTCATGCAGCACTGGACCCTTGCCGTCATGCACGCTTCGCCCAAGGACCCCCCCGAGGTGGTAAGGGCTGCGGCAGTGATGGGATTTGTCTATGTTTCTGATGTCGACGAGGACAGAAGGAAGATTAAGTTGTTGGCGCCGGTGGGTGGTAGGCTGGGCGATAGGCCGTTGATTTTGGGGAGTTGGCCGGAGCCGTATATCAATCTTTTGGGATAACCAGCTGGTTCGTTTATGTTGGAGTTTGGGACGCAAGTGCGGTTGTCATTGGATTTTGCAGGAGGCAGGTTGCCCTGACATGGGGCCAGCGTAGCATGCTAAAAACAGTGCTAGAATAACACATACCTTGGCGATGAATAGATATGCATGTATCTTGCAAGTTCAGAGGACGCACATGCCCAACATATATCATAAACGCACCATATGAAACAAGATCTGATTTTCAGATCTTAAAGCCATCGTTTGAACCCAATAGGTTGCCAGTCTAGCACAAACCAGCCTGCATTTTCATAGGCAGCCATATGGCATCGTCGCACACAAGGTTTGTCTTGAGGGTTTGTTGTGTGTTCTCATCACTTGACTCGGATAAGACGCGATGCGGGCGCATTTCTCGGCACCCAATCTGATTGGCTACCAACTCGCATGAGATGCCGTGTGACGCAAGCAACTACGGATTAAGCAGGTGTCCATGACAGTTTATTAGCACGACATGGTAAATTATTCATGATCTCTCAAAGCCTAAATGACATGATTCCTTTCCCATTTGTTGTGCCTGCAGATGCGGCTCCAGATGCGGCTCCAGACGGTGGGACCTGGCCAAGTCCAGGCTGCTTGACTCAGCGTGAGTCTGGTCCGGTACTCTGTACATTGGCAACAGAGATCGAAGGGCTGGGTTATGCTTAAAATGCTAGTGCGAACGTGGTGTTTGGCGGGGGGGTCAATGAGGGGCAATGCCGCGGGGAAATCAGATTGATCTATCGAGTAACGGCTGTTGGATAAGGTCAACGGCGGTCCTGTGAGGCAAAGCCGCGCAACCACAGTTGCCAATTTCAAGCTTTAGTGGCCATGCCCAGGGCTTGGCCTACGCTTGGATGTGGATGGCCATTCAACCGCGGCGGATGGAGGCAATGCTCCGGCCGCTGAGCGTTGGCGCAATATGAGAATACGTAAGGATTACGATTGTCTGGACTCTGGACTCTGGACGCCACAAGTGCCAAGACACGCTGTGCCAAGCGCTGGGTGGACGAGGACGAATGATGGGCATGGCATCTTGAACGAGGCGAGGGGCACACGACAAATCGGCTAGCACTGCATACAATTTGGTTGGCCGATCTTGGCAGAGTCGATTGGGCCACGCGGAGGACGGGGAGAAAGGCGTCAACTGGGTCATGGGACCATGTTGTTTGAGAGGTGCTTACTCCGCAGAGTGGCACTTCGATTCCAGGTGAGCAGATTGTGTCCTAGCTTGCCAGACAGACTCCCAAAGACGTTCACCTCGACAGTGTGTGTCACACGGTCAAGACCTGCACAAAGGTATCGGACATCAAGGGTTATTGACACAACAACAAACGAAGGTATCACGAGAGCCCAGAGTCGAACCTTAGCGAGGGCTTCCTCAGGCCTCTTGGAAATCCAAGGACCTATGATATCTCAAAGTCGAATATTAAATTGATATTTCAACACACGTTCCAGGCCCAGCTACCCTGCCTGCCCTTGCCACAGTGTGTCAGGATAACGACGCTGAAGAACTTGGAAACAGTGCCGAGGACCGCCAGCACCGCCACGGAAGAAACCTGTCGCTGATTGGCGAAATTGGAGGCACTAGAAGTTTGATCTACATGTGGGTGTGTCGTGGGACACTGCAAGGACAACTGTTGTGTAATCGTTCAGATCGTGCCGTTTGATCGCGGATTAGAGACATGCTGGAGTGGTTCGATACCATATCTTGAGACAGAATTCGATATCTCTCCGGTATAGATGATGCATTTCAGAGACGGTATGCCGCATATTTCGTCTGGTCGAAGACGAAGTATCCCCTTCTCTCAGGCTGACACAGCCACCTTCGAGCAAGGTTGCCGGTGGCCACCCTTTACAAACCAGCACCGCCATCACACCAAACCTAATCTCGACAATCCTTGTCCCAAATGCTATCGTACGCAACGGTTTTCACAAGCTGAAGGACGAAACAAATGACAAGCCAAGTCGAGTTTAGGCCTTGAGCTTCAACAGTAGTGATGGAGACCATGGCACTTTCTACGAACGGAAGGCGCCAGTGGGCCAGTTCTTTCCCCTCCCGCAACAATCTCATTTGCTCCTTCTCTCCGCCGTTATCATCGTCACCACTGCCGGTCATGCTTAAGACAAGCAAGCCACTTCCTGGCACATCTGGGCCATTTGCCCAGCTTCAACCCCCCAGGTTGCTCATGCTTGTGACCAGGGTGGATTCATCCCCTGCTGCCAAGTGTCGTGTCTTTCGTTCGCTGTCGTTTTGGTTTCTTCTTCTTTTTCTTCTTCTTTTCTTCCATCGCCATCCTTGGGCCTTCATTATTTTAGTCCCTAGTTATATCTATCACACATCCGGCTCGCCTCTGTGTGGAAGTCGACTTCAGCGCCAGCATCCCACTGACCGTAAACTCTTTGTCCTCTTCGACTTTTCGACCTCACAGGCTCTTTTACTCCCCCCCTCATCCCAGCATCCCTTGTTTGCTAAGTCTGCTCAGAGCAGCTTGATATACACGTTCGATGGGAGAACCTCTTGTTGTCAGTACGAATGGTGCAGAACAGGCCAACTCCTCTTCGGACTCGGAGGCCCTTGCCGGTCCCGACGACCAGCCACCTATAGCGGAGCCCCCTGATATTCCCTATACAAGTGAAAAGCCAAATTGCCATCATACGCATTCTGCCCAGCACGTCGCTGAACTGCTCGCTACCGACCAAGATCATGGACTGAGCGACGAAGAGGCGGCCGCCCGGCTAGTCCGGGACGGTCCCAATGCTATCAAAGGAGCCAAGGGTCTCTCCATTGGAGAAATCTTTTTGCAGCAAGTTGCCAATGCTCTAACTGTTGTCCTCATTGCTGTCGCCGCAATATCCTACATTATTAGCGACTATGTCGAGGGCAGCGTTGTAGTTGCTGTAATTGTGCTCAATATTGTAGTTGGGTAAGAATGACTCGTCACTACTTTGGCCTTCTGTCTAGCAACACAGCGCTGGCGGATCAAAGTTTGGCTCTTCTCTTTCTCACTGACACGGCCCAGGTTGATTCAAGACTACCGTGCGGAGCAGACCATCCAGTCTCTCTACGCGCTGTCTACACCCAAATGCAAGGTTATCCGGGATGGCCACAGCGACACCGTTAAAGCCGAAACACTTGTCAAAGGCGACTTGGTCTCTCTTGCAACTGGTGATGTAGTGCCCGCAGATTTGCGCCTGGTTCAGGGCATCAACTTGTCAACCGACGAGGCACACCTGACTGGCGAGTCTATAGCTATTAGCAAAAAGCCCGAAGCGGTCTTTACTGAATTTGACATGCCTGTTGGTGACCGCATCAATTTGGCCTTCAGTGGTAGCTCCGTCACACGTGGTCGTGCCACCGGCATTGTCATATCGACCGGAATGGACACAGAAGTTGGCCAGATCGCCGAGCTCTTGCGCAAGAAAAAGAAGGAGGCCAAGGGCAGTAATGCTGTGGCCAAGGCCCTTTACTCGTTCTACCAAACTGTTCGTAGTATCTTAGGTCTTGAGGGAACTCCCTTGCAAGTGACTCTTAGCAAGTTTGCCCTGCTTCTTTTCGGTTTAGCCATTCTTCTTGCCGTCGTTGTCTTCTCCGTCAATCTATGGGAAATTGACGATGATGTCCTTCTCTATGGTATCTGCGTCGGTGTTGCGGTCATCCCTGAATCTCTTCTCGCTGTGCTGACGGTGACAATGGCGGTTGCTACAAAAGCAATGGTCAAAGGTCATGTCATTGTGCGCCAAATGCCATCCCTCGAGGCAGTAGGTGGCGTAACCAATATTTGCTCCGACAAGACGGGGACGCTTACCCAAGGCCGCATGATTGCCCGTAAGGTGTGGCTTCGTGATGGCCTCACTGGTACGGTTGATGGCACATCCGATCCTTACGACCCAAGCAGTGGGACCGTGTCGTGGTCTGGTTCTCTCGTCGGAACTTGCATCAACCCGTTCCTCAATACTCTTGTTCTGTGCAATAATGCCACCGTCTCGGATGGAAAAAAGGAGCCAGAAACCGATTCCAGCAGCGTTACGACGGCCTTGGAGCCAGCAGACTGGAAAGCTATGGGCGAGCCCACAGAAATAGCGCTAAAGGTGTTTGCCATGCGATTTGGAAAGACGACTGGGAGCGATCTCCTGACAGCTGAGCATCCGTTCGACTCCTCGTGCAAACTCATGAGTGTTGTTTACGGTAATGGCTTGGAACGGCAACGCCACGTATATACCAAGGGCGCGTTCGAAGTTCTTCTTCCAATTTTAGCCGAGGATGATGAAATGAAAAAGGCCATTCGTGCCAAGGCTGAAGAATTTGCTGGAGAAGGTCTTCGAGTGCTGTGCATCGCGGATAAGCTCATGGAAGGAGGGGCTGAGGATTTCCAAGATCGTGCCAAGGTCGAGTGCGATCTACGTTTCCTCGGACTCGCTGGACTTTATGATCCGCCTAGGTCTGAAACCGCTGGAGCTGTCAAACAATGTCGCGAAGCTGGAGTCACTGTTCACATGGTCACGGGTGACCATATCAAGACCGCTACCACCATCGCCTACGAAGTCGGCATCCTGCCCAAAGACATGCCACTGCGCCCAAACACAGTCATGTCTGCTGCTGAACTTGGCAGCATGACTGATGAGCAAATCGACGCACTCGACTCCCTTCCTCTGGTAATTGCTAGGTGCAGTCCCTTGACCAAGGTCAGAGTGATTCAGGCTCTTCATCGTCGAAGGGCATTCTGCATCATGACTGGGGATGGTGTCAATGATTCGCCGGCTTTAAAGCAGGCAGACGTTGGCATTGCTATGGGTGATCGTGGAAGTGACGTTGCCAAGGAGGCCTCTGATATGGTTCTCACGGACGATAACTTTGCTTCTATCGTTACTGGTATCAAGGAAGGTCGAAGACTGTCTGATAATATTCAAAAGGTATGCCCAGCTTAGCACCACTTGTCGAATCGTTCCGCTAACATACATGATGTCTAGTTCTTGCTGCATCTGCTTACGTCCAATCTGGCTCAAGTTATTTTGCTTTTGATAGGCTTGGCGTTTAAAGACAATGAAGGAGTTTCCGTGTTCCCACTGTCTCCCCTAGAGATTCTGTGGGCAAATCTCGTCACATCCTCTCCTTTAGCTCTTGGTCTTGGCCTGGAGGAAGCTCAGCCGGATATTTTGCAACGACCACCTCGAAGCCTCCACTCTGGAGTCTTTACGTTGGATCTCGTGCGCGACCAGCTCATGTACGGCACTTTCATGGGTTCGTTATGCCTAGCGGCATTCATGTTGGTAGCGTATGCAGCATCAGGAAAGGGTTTCCATAACCTTACTCATGGATGCAATGACGGTACGGGCGGAATCTGCTCCGCAATTTTCCGCGCCAGGGCCGCGACATTCGCAACGTTGAGTTTCTTGCTTCTTGTTACCGCATGGGAAGTGAAGCATTTCCATCGGAGTTTGTTCAATATGGACAAGCGATGGTCTGGCCCATTTTCGGTATTCAAGACTGTGTATCACAACACATTCTTGTTTTGGTCGGTTGTGGCCGGTTTTCTGGCGACATTCCCAGTTATCTACATTCCATATGTCAACACTACCGTGTTCAAGCACACTGGCCTTACGTGGGAGTGGGCTGTGGTAGCGGGATGCGTTGTCACGTATATTGGGCTCGTGGAATCGTGGAAGGCTGTCAAACGAAGATTTGGGCTCGGGATTACGAGGCATCCATCAATTCCGGGACAAGTCTAACGTTGGGGCGCTCATCTGAAGAGGTGGGTGGCATGTGATGGCGGCGGGGACAGGTTTTTGAATATAGTTATGATCATGTCTAGCTTACAGCATAATTAGTATCCTCTCAATGTCAAGAATTTCCTGTCACTTGATGGATATCTCAGACGACCCGACGAGCTGTGTGGTCAATGAATCCTCCCTCGGCTAACATGAGCTCTGGACCAAATAAACTTTGACTATTGTAGAGCCCATAGCTCAATACGATGTAAACCAAAAAAAAAAAAAAAATCAATAAAAAACGAGCAAGCGGACGTAAGGAGACTTGAGGTTTCAGTTCGAGGCCCTGTCTGTAGGGTAGCTCGAGGTATTCTGTTCAGTCTGGTGGCATGTGTCGCCGGGCAGGACTCGCACATGAGCGGAATCAACTGATTTCTCGTAGATATTTCATAGGCTAAGAACCTTGTGTGACAGTTTGTCTGCGTTCTCCAAAGTGCTAACTTACAAGACCATGAGGTAGTTGGAGGCTGCTTCCCCCTGGCCAGCCAGTTGAGCCATGAATTGCAGTTTTGTTTTCTAGGTATTCTCATGATTGCGTAGTTTATTTGATTTGTTATAAAGAGAAGGTATTAGCCGATTCCAGAAAAAAGCTCCCGAAAAAAAGACAACCGTAATTGGTAGATGGTCCGCCCCGTGGCTTTAAAAGGTCATGTACTCGAGCATCAGCAGTCACCAATTTACTATGACACTACAATACATGGGACACTCAAATTAGCACTAGGTGGGAGAGCTTCACCTACCAGGTTTTATTCAAGAGTTTATTGAAATTCTACAGCTCCCTGTGCGGGGTATCTTTCATAGTGTGAGGATGGATATGTGCGAATTGGCAAGAAAATAGAGGGATACCAAAGGTCCTAATCCCACGGGGTCGTAATCGTCAATGGGCTCACTGAGCACTGGGTGATTAGCCGTGACAAGGGCAGGTTAACCGGGCCTGGAATGTGTGTTCAAATATCAATATAATAATTGACTTTAAATCAAAGGTCCTTGGTTTTCCACGAGGCCTCGAGGGACCGGAGGTCTCTATGTATGGAAGTCGGTGAGGGCTAGTGCCTGAGGCAGCCCTCGCTGAAGGTCGACGGTCCGTTTCCGGACTCTCGTGATACCTCTGTCCAGGACTCCTGGCCCCTTTGCCGTCCAGTGTGACATTGGCACTCATGTTGGCGGGCGGAGAATCACTCTGACGAATGCGACAAAGCTCAACTTGCCATGGACTCTTTTTTCCAAGAGGCGAGATTGCGATGCTGCCCGACTCCCTCCGCTCCTCGCTTCAGGACAATCCGGCTCACGGGCTCATGGACCTTGATGGCCACCCTCCTCGCGGTGTCATCGACCTTGATGGACTGCCATCGCCAACAGCGTCGTCTCCCCAGGCCGTCATGGCGACAAATGTCTCAAGCGTGAATGGGTGAATGGGGCCGGGATCAACGACGCATGGCAATCTGTTTTGAGGCGACGATATAAGGGCGGCGAGACCCCACGTCGACGGGTGTTTGAATTTGATTCTGTGTTTTCGCCTCCCCTCTGCGCCTGGCCGACAGTGCGTGTTCAAGGAGTGGTGAAGAGTTTTGAAAAAAAAAAAAAAGAAGAAGAAGCCTTGAAGCGCACCTCACTTTGTCGACTACCGTCTGACCTGGCTTGACCTGGGGCATACGGCCGTTTTACTACGGCAGCTCGACGCAAGAAGGAAGGTACTCGCAGTCTTGTTCCATTTGTTGACCGGAACCAACACACAGATGGCGCCCTCTCGATGCCAAAAAAAAAAGGTCTTTGGCTTTGTTTTGTGCCTCGTATCTGCCCTCAGCGGCTCGACTTGCTCCTCACAGACAGATCGCCGGCTCTCCTCTCGCATGGGCCTCTTTGGCGTTTTCCTCTCTGCAGCTACACAGTTGAGTCTGGTGCATCTTTGTTCCCTTCATACTATTGACCTTTTTTTACTCCTCCCCCCTTTGTCAGCCCGCCTTTGCGCCCTTTGTTGCCTCGCCAGTGCGAGCGCCCTCGGCATCGCCTCCTGCGGCAAAGCACCAATATCATCCATGGCTCACGTTGCTTGCCTCGGCATTTTTGCCTCGATTGACTCTCTTCCCCGCCGAGTCGGTGGTATGCAGCCCCCAGCCGGGCATATCCCTTTCAATTTTTTGACACATCACTTGCGCCCGCCAGGGACAATAGCATGGAATCCTCAGCCTCGTGGGTTTGATAACAGCTGCCAAACACCCATGGCTTTGGGTCACAGGTTCTGTCCCGCCCTTCAGCTGTTGGGGGCGGGCTTTGCGTGGGATCGGACCAAGGCGGCCAACATGATCGGACGCATCTTGCGGTCTTTTTCTGCCTATCAGTGACGGGCGGCTAGGCACGTCCTCCTTTGTCATTTGCCTCGATCTCTGCTTCTGCTGTCCACGCGGTGCGTAATCATGGCTTCGCCACTGGTGGATTGCTCATGCTCATGCTCATGCTCATGCGGCCCGTCGGCTTAGTGTTGCTACTCTGGGTCAAGTGAGTCTCGGCTGGACTTTCCCCATTGCTCCAAGAGTCCAAGCTGAGTTGGCCATGTCTTTTTTGGCGTCTTTTGTTTTTCCTTGTTGGTTCCCATCGCCAGAGATCAACTGACGATCTTGCTGGGCAATCGTCCATGGTGGCGCGCTCGTCCACGTTGTCGCCACTGCCGAGAGCTACACGTCTACGTGTTTAGAGGCAAAATATCAATATGCCGTGACGTCAAGCGCGTCTCGTGGCCTTCAGACCCGGATCTTGTCCGGGATAGGCTACTGGTGCCTGGAAGCTACATGGAAGCTGGTGGCCACCAAGACTCATCCGGCTTCTGTCGGATCTGTCTGCCCGTCCGAGAGACGAGAGGCAAGCCATGTTCGCTGTTGTGTTCCCAGCTGCCGCGGCTGCCGTGAGAAATACTGGCCCGGCGCCAAACCATGATGCTCTCCTCGGAGCATGGCTGTTGAGGGACACGCACGTTTCCTGTTGTTTTTGCGTTGCGGACACAGGGGACATGTCACATGCCGAATCTTGCCCTTGCGTCACTTTGATGGCCTCGCATGGTTATTAATGTATGAAAATATCATACTACTATCATCAGATAACCATTTCCCCGTATGACATGTTCCATCTTCCCACAAGCCATCCCCATCTGGCAACCCGGTCTCGCAAGAAGAGCATCTCCCACACCAGCCAATCATGCCCTTTCCAAACCCTACATGACGCTGATGGTCCATGGTTAAGCGGGGAAAAGGCGACAGCTACCCTTGTCGGGCTGTTCAGCACTTTCAAGTCTCGACAGCTTCCAACCTACGACAAGTGTTTGCAAGCAGGATATTGTACTTGGATGGAACGTGGTCGGTGCCTCCCCGTACTCCGTACAGGAAAAATAATCCCCGCACGCTTGCAGCTGAGGGAGCATCAGACCAGCCATGACCCGATATTGCAGCAGGTAGCATTTCTGGTTCGGTGAGCTGCACCCTCACTCAACCTTGCCAGAGTGGGGGGTTGAAGCAGCCGTAGTCTCCCGTCGCGAGATGTCTCCAACTTGTACGGAGTAGTTCGTAGCTTGGCGCATATGCTCCGTGCGGGAAAGGGTTGGCAAGGCCGGGAAGGGGGGGGGGGAAGGGGAAGGATCAAGAAGGAGAAGAAGAAGGAAAAAAAGTATAAGTAGAGGCTTCAGGATCCGACAAGATGCAGGTCTTTCTCCCCCTTCTTCTGTATCAGTAAACAACCAATACAAAAACTTCAGTATCACAACTACAATCCATCTTCTCAACGAGAAACCACCACTTTTTGAAATCATTTCACAATGGCTCCCTGGTAGGCACTTGACGCATCTCGTCTCGTCCCGGTGTCCTCAACACCAAAACCGTCACTGGCGATGCAAGAGGTCTAACAAGTCTATAGCAACTGCTCCACCTGCTCCTGCTCCGGCTCCTGCGACGGATGCTCCTGCGCCAGCTGCGGCGTAAGTTTTTGCCCTGTCCCCCCGTCCGGCTATTACCCAAACCCGACGCTGACTCTTGTTCCCCCGACGCGCAGCACTAAGTGCCTCCGAGACGAGCCCGCGACCGCGCGCCGCCAACTAGAAGCCCGGCGTGCTCCTGCCCACAAAGCCGACGACGACAAGTGGTGTAGCGAGCTGGATGGGAGGCTCGGGTACATTCCGAGCGCGGGCGTGGGACTGTTAAACTCGGCGCTTTGAGTCCTAGGGGTACACCGTACTACGTACTTGTCAATACACATCTCATTTCGTTGACCCGTGCCATGGCCGCTCTGAGGCGCTTGCTCCGTGATGTCTTGTCTACAGGCCAGCCCAGGCCTCGCTGGTGAAGCCGTGACTTTGAATGGGCGTTTGTGTTTCTCCGCCCGCAGAGATGGAGGGAACTGTCAACTGTGCCGCGTCGTGCCCGGGGGACGGGCCTAGTCGTCTGATGGTGTGCCGCACCTCTGTTTTGTGCTTGTGCCCGTGACGTGGCAGCCGGCGAGGCAGCCGCTGCTGGGGTCACACGGCGCCCGCTGTATGCGGAGTGCGAAAACTGCTGGTCAACTGGTGTGCGTGGCCGGCTTGGGTGGTGAGGTGTCGTCGTGAGGGATTTTTTTTAATCGCGGCAGGGCGATGCGTGGTTGGGCCGCCATGGGCGTTAGTGCTGTCGCATTGTTGGATGTGCACTCTTGGTTGCGATATTGGGGTTTTTTAATGCCCGAATAGTCATGCGTTCAATGTTGGGTTTTGTGGACTTTTATCCCTCGGCTTTGGCGGCTGCTGGCTTGCCGGGTTTCGGTCCGGGCCGCGGAGGTCCGGGTCGAGTAAGATGAGATGGACGCCCGTGCATCCGCTGCTTGGCTTTGATTTTGAAGACTTGTTGAGTTTTGGGACTGGTATACTTGGACAGGAGCAGGCTGCTGATACAAGCTGAAAGGCTGCGTCTGTCAAGGAGGCTGTATAGCACTGCTGCGTCGTTGCAAGTCTTGTAGAAGCCGCTTGCTTGGCAATGACTATCCGTGGACCATGACTGTCATGAGATTTGAGTAGCGTGCCAAGAGCAGATACGACTGGACAAGCGAGTCATGGGGCGCCCAGCACGCACTGCGCTTGTTTAGATACTCTATGCTTCAAGTGCACGAATAGGGGCCAGAGGTGCGTTTAACCCACGCAATCGCTCTTCTCACCATGCCATGTCGAACCAAGACATTGTACAATTCGTTTCGACCAACCTGCCTCATCTGTCGGTGGCATCGTCAGCTGTTGCTTTTTGTGGCAAAGTGTCGGAGAACAAGGTTGTCTTGATCCAGATCGATTTCCTTGTCCGGACCAACCAATAGAGAACCCATGTTGGTCACAAAAAAGGCATCTGCATTGGCGGTGAGGAGGCCAGTGCAAGGAAGCAGATCAGGGGGAGAGGGGGCCCGTCATTCAAGCTGATTCTAGAAATGTCGGCAGTTGCAGATGTATATATAGATCCGGGGTGCTCCCGGTCAAAGTTGCGTGGCGCGAAGATCAGATTCCAGACGTGAGGTCCAAGCCAAGGTACCCAAGGCCAGACCATTACAAGGAGTTTGGCAACGCCGATCATCACATGTAAAGTGTAACAAAACGATGGCAGGAACAAAGACTCCGGCGGCTGGGATGAGGCAATTGTGGACAAGGAGAAGAACTAAACCTCCAGGAGACCAAAGATAGGCAGACATGACGTATGCTGACGAGAATCTCCTTGTCCATGCCAACATTTCTAGTCCCTCCTAACTCGAACAGGACCCAAAATCCGATACTGATGGCCATTGATGGGCGGCGTAAATACATGTCAAATAACACTTGACAGCTGCAGGCTTCCCAATGCCTCCTTTGCTTGCCGTTGCCTGGAGGCCAGGTGGCTGCATGCGGGCCATCACAAAGCATGGCTGCTTCGAACAAGCTTGCTCCATTGAGCAAAGCTATTTTGCCGCTGCGGCCGAGATAATTGGAACAGAACTCGTTATTAAAAAGTAGGTGCATTATGAGATCCTAGATGGGCTTGCTTGCTTGCTTGCTTGCCATGACATGCCGATGCCTACTGGTGGAAAAAATGAGCAAAGAATAAGGGGCCTTGGGGAACCTGACATGGCCAAAGTTGCACAGGCCGGGACTGACTTGGATAACATATTGTCAGAGTACAATGCAATCCTGGCCAAGCAAAAATATCTAGCGGCAGACACCATTTCCCTGGCAGACTCGTTTCATCTGCCCAACGCGAAGGCGATGAAGGCGTTTGGTTACCACTTGACGTTTGAAAAGTATTCCAACGTAGACGAGTGGCTCGCGGGCCTCGAGAACAGGGAGACTTGGATCCGGGCTACGGCAGAAGCTTCAGGAAAACCGAATTGAGAGGTGTCAAGAGCTGGAATACGGTCAATGCCCAGCCAGGAATCAGCCCGTAGGCATGTCAATGCTATTTGAATCAAAAACGTACGCCATTGTGGGGGTTTTGACAGGTGATGCCGCTTGGTTATATCACGCGCGCCGCAGTGTCCCGGTCGTGGGGTTTTATTAAATACAACATGGAAGGAAAAAAGAAACAGTCTTGCAATACATTCAAGTAATGTCAATTGGATCGAAGGCGGTTGAGCGAAGCCCCGATACATGTAACATGCATATTCAATTATGCGGGTCACGACTCCTGACTCCTGACAGGGACAATATTCGCCCGACGCGTCACAACAGTCACGTACATGAGCTGAGTGCCAATGATACACAACCGACTCCCTCATACTAACCCTCACAATGCAGCAACACCTCCGCCATGCCAGCCTCGGCGATTCCACACAATCTCCATGATCAGCTGCATCCTACGCCGCCACGTGAGCTTGGCTCCGATCAGTCGCAGTCACACAGCTCCGGGTCCAACCCATCTGACTCGCAATCGCTGCAAAGAGCTCTTGCCGGCGACGACAATGCTCTGGTTCCAATCCACTACCCAGCTCTAAAAGAGGCATTCCTAACATCCCTTGAAGAACAGCAGGATGTTATCGAGGCAACAGCTCGGCACTGCCTAGGCGTCCGGAATTGTCACCTGGGCGCGCGGGAGGTCTGGCAATCTGGCTCCTTCAACGTCGTCCTTCCAATCCATATTGCAGCCGGCTGGTCTGTCTTCATGCGTATCCCATTCCCGTACCGCCTTGGCGAAGACCGGTGCCCGGGCAACGTTGAAGAAAAGCTCCGGACCGAGATTGCCACCTATATCTGGCTGCGTCAAAATTGTCCCGATATCCCAATCCCCGAATTGCACGCCTTTGGGCTGCCAGACGGGTCAGCGGTAAAACAATGAAGCCCAATCATAGCCTGGCTAACCAGTTACGCTCCTGTCCTCCGGGACTAACAATTGATAGTTTTCACATCCCCTCCGCACACCCCTCTGGGAACGAACCTGGTGGGCGTTTAAACGATTTGCTTGCTTGCTACTCGGGCGCCCGGTGCCTGTCCATCATGTCAAACGGAAAACTCGCCACTCAATCAATCCTGGCTTTTTGATTATAAGCCGAGCGCGCGGCGAAAAACTAGCCTGGTCGTGGCTAGATCGCTTCCAAGACAAGGCGTACCGAGACCGCTTCTTCCGCAGCCTTGCTCGTATATCACTCTCGCTAAATTCGGTTCCCTTGGCGCGCATCGGATCGTTGAAGCTTCAGCCGGACGCGTCTATCGCCTTGTCCAACCGGCCGCTTAGCCTCTATTTTCAGATGCTGGAGAACGAGGGCATTCCGACCGGCATCCCGCGCCATCGTACATACGCCCAAGTGGAATCGTACCTCTCGGATCTTCTCTCCAGGATAATAAAATTCGTCATCAGCCCAACGCAGTCCATGATCAAGAGGATGGCGAGAGACAACTCGCTGCGCTTACCGCCCTGCGCGCCATCATGCACCACTTCATCCGTCCAGAGCATCGCGATGGACCATTCTTCCTTCACCTGACAGATTTACACCAGCAAAACATCTTTGTTGACCAAGATTGGAATATTGAGACAATTATCGATCTTGAGTGGGCGCATACCGCGCCATTGGAAATGCAGCTTCCCCCATACTGGCTCTCGTCAAGGGTATCAGTCGACAGTTTCGACGACCAGGCTGCCATTACCGACTATGAGGCCGTACTGGAAGAATACTGGGCAATTTACGAAGCCGAGGAGAGGAAGCGCAACGATACCGTCGTCCAGGTCCCACTTCAGCGTGACATGTGGGCAAGAGGGAGCTTTTGGTACTTTCACGCCGTCGGCATACCAAAGGGCATGTACACGTTGTTCAATAGGCACATCCAGCCGCTATTTAACAAGGAGCATCCTGATAAGCAAATATTCGATACTGTCTTTTATTGTATTGGGGATTTGGCGCGCAGGGTTTGATAGACAAGAAGCTTGGAGATAAGAAAGAGTACCTGGCCAGCGTGAGAGAGGCGTTTGCGGAAGACTCGTGAAAAAGACGAACGGAAGTCTACTTTGATCTGGCCAGGCCCTACCTTGGCCCATTACGTCGTGAGCTGAAGGCTAGGTGTGATGGGGCTGCGGATTCTGGCCTTGAAAATATAAGGATATCTGTTGCTATGTATATGTATATTATTTTGTATCATGCTTGTATCATCATTTGCCATCAGAGGGAAACAACAATCAAATCAATTAATATTCATATTATTTAATAGGATGCCCGTATGTATATACAATCCCACTAGTCTGTATCATCCCATGCGACCAGACACCCGTCATTTCAATGTCAACTGTCCCCTGCTGAAGCAAGCCACTGGAGCTAGCCCTGGCCAGCTCCCCATCTTAATTGAGCTGGGTTATCCACAAGGATCGGCTGCTCGAGATTTTTCCCGTCCCTGCAGGTCGGGAGGCTTTTTTGGCGTCGGTGGCTCCGGAGACTCTCCCGACGCCGAGGCTGTTCTCCTTTTATGCTTGCTTTGACGACAGTCCGCGGCTTTCCTTGTGTGTGTGCTTTTTGTTTCTTTTCTCTTTTTTTTCCCCTTCGCCCTCGATTCAATTGTCAATTCACCCCAAGTTTTCTCTGCGTCTCAAGGCTACTGACTACCCGAAAGGAAGGAACTACCTGGGTAACTGTTACGGGCAACTATGCCCAAGCGCGCTAGTCGGCAATCCAAGCGACCATAATCGTTACCCAATCTGGTTGGTCCACAAAAAAAAGAAAAGCAAAACGACACCATCTTCAACGCGGCTGATCTCACATTTGACATCACAACAGCCACAAACAATCCCCTCGCAAGCACGCCGCGACGGCCGCCTCTGCAACTCAGCGCGCCATGTCTGCTGCCGACTCGCCGGGCAGCCGGCCGGGCCCCGACAAGGCCATTGACGAGGCTGCTGCGGAGCGGAAACAGCAACTTGGCCGACCGGCTCGATCAAGGCTGCCGGGATGGCTGAATCACTTCAACGCCAACGACCTCAAGGTCGCTTTCCGCTGTTGGGTCGCGGTGTGGGTTGCCACGATTCTCATCTTCATCGACCCCGTGCTGCAAAACATCGGCATCGCCACCTTCTTCGGCGCCATCGTCCTGTACATTGTTCCGCCGGCGGGCATTCTGATGGTCTACCTGCTCGCCTCGCTGTCGCTGCTCCTGGGCATGTGCCTGGCTTGGGCTTGGGGCCTCTTGTCCATGAAGGCGGCACTGGCCGTGCGGCCGGACGAGGAGACCCAGGCCCGTCTGCAGTCTCTCCAGCAGCAGGCCGGCATGCTTGCCAATCAGACCGGCCAGCCGCCCGCTGCCATCGTCCAGAAGCTCGTCTACGACGGCTTCATGCTTGACGCCCGCGTGGTCGTCATTTACTTCGTCATGTGTTGCGTCTTCATCTATGCGCTTGCCCGGCTGCGGTATGCCAATGGCAAGATGATTTTGTTGCAGCTGTTCGGCACCATTGTCATTGACATCTTCTTGCTGACCGGCCCGATCCTGACCAGGTTCAATTCCAAGCTCGCCCAGGTGTTTGTGAAACCGGGAGCCATCGGGATTGGCTTGGGGGCAGTGTGTTGCCTCTTCGTTTTCCCCCAGTCGACGTCGTATGTGGTTTTGGGACAAATGGAGCAGTTGATCCGTATGCTCGAGGCGCCCGTGGACTCGACACGGCGGTACTTTGCTGGCGATGAAACGTTGGATGATGCACAATTAAGAGCATCTAAAGGCTCCATCATCAGTCTCTTCAAGGCTATGGAGCCGGGGCTTGCCTTTCTTCCACTGGACCTTTCACGGGGCAGGTGGAACGCCGACGACGTTAAATGTTTACAGCGACGGGTCCGCGACGCCATTGCCGCCGGTGTTTTTCTCTTAGATTTTCACATCACGCGCGTGTCAGCGGCTGCCAGGGCTGAAAGGCTTGGAATGGCTCAGCCGACACCCACTGCACAAGACCCCGACGATGGCAGCGACAAGGAAAAGACTTCGTTCGACACTGGTCTCGTTGACGCCTTGAAAAGCCCGGAGCAAAGCTCCATCCGCCACGGATTGCTAGAGACGCTCAAGGATACGACAGCCGAAATCCTTCAAGTCAACTCGCGGGCTATCAAGGCCGCCGCGGACACAGTTCACATCATAAACACGGGAAGATGGTACCTTGGCACCGCGCGTACGAAGCGGCTCGACGGCCTCAAGGAAGAGCTGGCCGGGCTCCGGGCTGAGCTACAGTCTGTCCGAGAATCGTGTGTTATCAATACTAATGATGCGGTAGTTGGTGCCCATGCTGACTTGTTCGACGAGCAAGGCCAGCTGAAGAATCGAAAGGACACCAACCCTCTGTCTCTCAACGGTATTGTTCTCGCCATGGTGCTCGAGGAGCGCATTGTGGCCACGGCAGCTACTACGGAGGCTATTGTGGACTACATCATGGAGCTTCTTGAACTGCGAACTACAACACGCGTTTGGGCCCCGTCTCAGCTTCGTTACGCGTTTTCTTGGCTATTTAGTGGCCGCGTCGCAGCCCCGGTTGCCGGTGCTTCTACGGTGCCCGCTGAAGACCCCGACGATATTTTAGAACAGGCCGAGGAGACGCACAGGCGGCTGCGTCTTGTTCGCAAAGGCAATGCTGCGCCCAGGAAGCAAAGGGGATTTCTCACGAGAGCGGTGATTGGCACATACAAATGGCTTACCAACCCCGGAGGCATGTACGCTCTGCGCATGGTCATTGTGACCGTTGCGCTGTCCGTTCCGGCTGTGCTCCCGAACACGGCTGGCTTCTTTTACCGCGAGAAGGGTATCTGGGCTGTGATTATGGCACAGACGTGCCTCCTCATGTACATGGCCGACTTTACCTTTTCCCTCGTATCCCGAGGACTGGGCACCATTCTCGGCGGCGCCCTGGCCCTGGCAGCTTGGTATGCAGGCTCGGGCAACGGCATCGGTAACCCATACGGCCTTGGGGCCACCACTGCGGTCGTCTCATTCATCCTCATGTGGTGGCGTCTCTACCTGCCACCAGCGTTCGCCCAAGCCAGCATCATGACTGCCTCAACGTTTGTGCTGATTATCGGATTTAGCTGGGACCAGAATCACGTCACGCAGTACGGACTGCCTGGCGTCGGCTACGTGGCGTTCTGGAGACGCCTCGTCACGGTGCTGGTCGGTCTCGCGGCCGCCCTCATTGTCCAAATCTTCCCCCGGCCTCCCTCGGCGACCCGGTACGTCTGCAAAACGCTTGCCAACACCGTTCGGTCTCTCACCGACCACTATGCCCTGCTCGTATCACAATGGAGCCAGTCAGATCGCGAGGGACAGAACCTCGGTGCCGCGGCCGCAGCTGAGAAAATCACCCTCAAGGTCTCGGAAACGCTTCTGGATCTCACCGACGCTATTAGCCTGCTGAAGGTGGAAATCAGCTCCACGCCGTTTGACCAAAAGGTTTTGTTCACCACGAGGGAGCACTGCAGCAGGATGAATCAATGCCTGGGTAAGCTGCTGGTTCTGTCATCTACATTGCCGAAACGCCTGCAAGATCGTCTCACCAAGACGGTGGGCGTGATTGACGACGGCGTTGTTGGGAATGTCATGTCCGTCTTGACGATTATCGAATCGTCCTTGCGGACAGGTGCGCCACTGCCGGAGAGACTACCAGCGCCACTGGTGCGCAGCTGTTTTGTGACGTGGTATACCCAGCATGAGCGTGCCGAGTTGAATATTGATCTTATTAAGAGCGAGGACTACAGGAGATATTGTGTTGCCGTATCGTGCTACGTGACCTTCCTGTCTACAGTCGACGACCTGGTGGACGCGCTGAAGGAGACTTTGGGAGAGGCTCACGTCATACACCAATGGGAGGAGGCCGTGTAAGCAAAGCTGACTGGGTGTATGATTTCCTGGGACATTGGGCAAGGGGGGACAAAAACTCACATATAAAGAAAAATGGTCACACGGCCAAAATCTGACGTGAACAAATCTCATTAATAATAGTTGAAAATAGCTCATAATATTTCTAATACATTTATCAATCTTGCGTTTCATCATCTATCGGTGTATCCCGGACCCGTCCGCAACATGAACATCCAAAGTGTTATCATGCCAGTCCATTCGGCAACCATCTCAGTCCACATTGCCATAGACTCTCGTCATCCCCATTCCCCAAGGGTACATGAAATGCGTCTCCATGCATGTCATGATACATGTCAGTCCCCGTAACGGCACACTGCATACCGACGTCCACGCCGAACAGGAACTCGTCGCCGGCATAATGCTCCAGCCCCGCGTAGTGCTGGGCACTCTCGTGAACGTGCTGCAGCAGCAGGGGGTCAATGGCGAAGTTGGCCGCGGCGCTCGCGGCCGCGGCGTCAAACACCTCCAGCGGCCCCGTTTGCCACGGCACCGGCGATACAGTCTTGTCCGAGAGGGTGTCGCTGGAATCGTCGTCGGCGCTGCTGCTGGCGGCGCTCGCGCGGACAAGGCTGTGTTTTCGGCCAGGCTGGGGACGGGGCTTGCATATCGACGACGAGGACGAGCCCGGGCTCGAGGAGCTCGACTTGGAGAGGCGCGGCGCCCTCTTGGACCTGCCGCAGCTTGTGTATTCGCAGGCGAGGCCTTTGCAGCGGCATCGATTGCAGGCTTTGTAGCCGTCGCCGTCGCAGCGGGTCTGGAGAGTCGAGCGTCAGGACAATTTTCTCAGCACCGTTGGGCGGGATGCCTGAGTTTGAGGGGGAGGGCAGACGTACCTTTTTCTCGCGGCAGATTTTGCAGGCTTGGATTTTGCTGGACCGGCCGTTGGCGGGGTCGTAGGACCGCGGGACGACGACCTCCTTTGTGTCCGAGTCGTATCTCCACGCGCTGAGCATGGCTGGTGCTGGTGCCGGTGCTGGTGCTGGTTGTTTTCAAGTACTAGTCAAGCAGCGGGTTGTGTTGTGTGCAATTGAGCTCTGGGCAAGGTCAAACAAGAAGGAAATCTTGATAGGAAAGCATCTCCATCGCCCTGGGGAAAGGACGACGAGATGACGATGTAAATATATATACTCTGGCCGATGTGGCGGCCCCCAACTCGCGCCTATCTCCTCGCCTCACTCCGTCTGACGGCCCCTCGCGATCCATCAGCATCCGAATGGGAGGACTGGGGACTCGGTGGGTTCCGCTGGGGGTAGGGGAAAAAAAAAAGAACAAAGAAAGTGGTGCACGCCGTCCTACATGTTGTCAGGATGAGCCACGCGCCGTAGGGCTGGGCTTCTGGTAATGGGAGAAGAAGAGGTGTCAACTGGCGTGTCGACTTGCGCCTAAACGGGCGACATTTGGCGATGACGAGAACGAGAGCGGCGGCACATAGGGGCCCAAACACGGAAGGTGGTGCGGGGCAGCGGCGATCCGGGCCGTGGTTGGCTGGAGCGAGACCCCGAAAAGATGAGAGGCTTACCCAGGGACAGGGGTGTGACTGAGTGGGGCTGTGGGGGCTCGTTCATACAATAACGCCATTGGCTGGCGGGTATTTTGGGACGTGGTGTGGGGTTCTGCGACCAGTCCCGATGGGGAACGGACCGACGGGAAGTGCATGGAGAATGGAGATTGTTGATGTTTGTCATGCTCCGTGCTTCCGCAAGTCGCACGTAGCTGGTCCGTCAAGGGCCAAGGCCAACCGGGAGGCAGTCTTGGTGATCTGGATGAAACCACTCTTGATTTTTCTTTAAGCAGGGCTAAAAAGGCGGACCGCAGCTTGCTGTGACGGCCAGAGCGGGTACTCGGTACGGAGTACTATACGGAGTAGGGACTGATGCAATTGCTGCGCCTTTGAATGCGACCTCGGCTTCAGGCTCCCGCAGTGCCTCGCCGACCGTCGTCCACCGGGGGGGATATTAACGCCGGTTTTCCTGTCCTCCGCACTACTCTGCTCTGCTGTGTTTCTCGTAACCTGCGTGGTGGCTTGCAACTCGCAAGACGGGCGGGCATACATACACTTTAACCTCGACTGTAAGCATCATCACCATCTGTCAGCTGCCAACCTCTACCAGAATTGCATGTACACAATTCATCCCCCTCGAGGGGCAACATGAGCAATACTCTCCTCCTGAAGAAGTTCCGCCCCCATCCTTGTACGAACAGATGTCATCCGAATTGGGAAAACAAACAGAAGTCCCGTGCTTTATTCCCGGCCTCGGGCGTCAAGTTCTATACCATCGGCAATTCTTCGAAACGCGAACGCCGCTACCAACGTCTTTACCGATTCTTAATTCCGCCATTCTTTCCTTTGTCAATTCGGACATTGGGCTGAAGCTCCTCCCAATCCTCACCCCAACAGCACAGGGGGGCCCCTTCCCCAGGACATGGGAGAAAACGTGGCAGCCCTGGGATATAGAACCCTGCGTTTATATGCCTGGCATATGGGCAAGTGTAAAACGCATTTGATGGCACATGACGAGATGTGACCGGCCTACATGTTGAAACTATAATTTGATTGGTCCATTGTCGAGGAAAAGGTATTCTACAGAATACCTAGTGGCTGCCGGTGTAGGCTATTCGTACCTTGAACTGCCGCCCAACGGAGAAATTCTCTGGGGCAATTCACCAACGGAGGAGCTCTACATGCAAGAATATCACCCTGCGTCAGTCCCAAGTGTGTCAGAACCAGGGGGAAAGGGCATCTTACTATAGTATCGCGTGTACCGTGGCCGTCTGTCTATGTGCTTCTCAAGATCCACTCAGCTCGCTGCTTTTCTTTTCTTTTCTTTTTTTGTAGGGAGCCGTTTACGAGATGAGATTTTACAAATACCTGCCCCAGAGTGAGTTTCTTCGCGGGGCAGGGCGCGGCTCGCAAGTAAGCCGGTTCAAAACCGCCTCACACCTCCATGAGAATACTGTAAAAATGCGCCGAGGAGGCTCCGTATTGCCAATGCCGTACACCAGCCTCCGGTAAGTCCGCCATGACAACCGGGCATGGGCGGAGGCTCAAGTTGGACGTTTCTCGTGACAAACGATCCATCAGCGCTAGGGGGCTACATAAGCCGCGACGTTGGCTGCTTTGCCATGCAGAGCCGCACTTGCGGACGTCTTGGCATGAGCCCCGTGTATGTAAACTAAACCCCGAAGCTGGACTCTGCTGCAGATTTGTAGTCTCATTTCACTCCCGTCCGGGCGCATCCAGGTGCCGCCGCCGTGATACTCAAAACAATTTCCTTCCTTTCCAGATGCCTGACGGGCCATCTTGCTGGCCGCCACCTCCGGCACAGCCTGAGAGTCGAGAAAACAGCCCACTGACAGAGGGCCGCCACGCTCTGGATCGAGGGCGTGTACTCCGTAGACGCTTCAGCACGTTGGCTGCATGAACTCGGCCGATAGGGCTGTATTTGGCCGAGACTGTACTCCATACAATGGCCCTCAATTCCAGGCCCTGCTTTTGCGGAGGTCGCCCCGGTAATAAGACTGATGGTTTGGTACTCGGGTACGTACGGATGGCGTCGGGTTACATTTGGCTTCATGTCTCTTGCCATCTATCGTTACAAGTCGTACAACGGGCGCCTTGTGGCGCTGGCAGTAGGTGAAGATGATGGTGTGAGTCAGAAAAAATACGAGCGGATTGCAGAGCTGGGAGCTGAAATACGGTGAGACGCATACACGCAGGTGGACAGTCTGTAGGACCTTTGGAGATAATCTACTCCAACGCAACGCGACTTTCTAGATCAAGGCGGCAATGCATGGCACTCTTCATGTAGAAAGGCCCCCATATGGCGAAAAGGTCTTATTTGTTTTGTTGACAATTTGGGGACGGTGGGATCCTGTACTGTGATGCGTCGAGTGGACGAGGCGCCGCGAGGCAAGCACAAGTAATGGTGTCACACCCTCCCAGAAAATGAGTTATCAACAGGAGAACATGTAACTGGCACGGTGGTGAGGCAGGGCTTTATGTGGCTGCCAGACGAATTTGCGGCGCGAGATTGAAGATCTGGGTAACCGGGGGGAAACGACGGTGGTCGAAAGCGCCACAAACGCCGGTCCGTTCCCGTTATAGCATCAATGATTTCATCCAACAGATGCCCCAACGACGGGGGCAGGGCTCTGATGCGTGGAGGCTGCCGGTGATGCGGGTTGTAGTAAGGCTGATGGCTGAATCTTGTCTTGGCTGCCGCTTCGTCATCGGCGTCCACGTAGCCCATGATGTTTTGGTGGATTATCAAGATTTGAAACTTTGGCGCCAACAGCTAGAAATTTGAATGAGTGTACGTATCATACGGCGCCGTTCTTGAAACATCGCCATGAACAAAAGGAATGAATGCTTGGTAATGCCAAGAGTCGACGTACAGGGCATTTCCCGTCACACAACATTCCCCTAACTCAGCTTTTCTCATCAAGATGACAAATAATATAATGAAATCCCAGGTCTGCAGGCCTCTCTGTGTTCTGAAAATAGGAACTGGAGATAAAATTACCACATCAGACCAAGGATGCTTGAATCTTCAAACGCCGTCCTCGCTCAGCTCACCAACACCGTGACTCGGCATGTCCTCCAACTAGCATATCAACTTCTTTGGCATGACTTCATTCCTTGTTCCTTCCATTGGGACTGGCATCTGTATGAGAGGCGGCAATCCAGCATATGCAGCGCAAACGACCTTCTCCTCTCAACTCGATAAATGCGGCCATGTGTGGTGGCTTTCGATAATAGCGTATTTGACATGTTTCTAGATTTTTTTTTCTCAAGGTTCAAGATGCTTGTAGATAAAAGCAGATGCCCAATCGATGGCGGCCTCTGTGAAGTCGATCTTCTTAATCCTTGGGGCATGCCTTACAGGGTAGTGTTGTCTCTGTATTTGGTAATCAGTCAATTGTCCAGTGCAAAACAATAATGTGGGATCTTTGCAAGCCAGCAAGTCTTTAAAGAATATGGAAGAATGCTTTAAATGAGATTGGGTATTCTGCTGCCATCTTTTGCATTGCTCCTGGGAGTGACCTTGGACACTTTACAAAGTCGACCTTCATCCATGGCAAAGTCCAGGAGTCGAGAGGCCAAGTACCAAGTACCCCAGCCACTAAAGCACCCACCCCACCTTCTGGCTTACCGCCTGCCCAAACAAAAATTCTCACCGCCCGGTAAAAAAGTTGCGACTCTGAAAATTAATTCAAAAGCTTCATGTTAAAGGCCCCTCCCCCTCCAAGGTTGCTGCAAGATCGTACCTATTCACCACCTTCGCCATGAAGAATCAAAAGAAGAGCAGCAGCTCTTCAGGCCGCATCACCGATGCCCGATTTGCCAGCTTCGAAACCGACCCCCGGTTTCGCCTTCCGTCCAAGAAGCGCACCAAGACGACATTAGACAAACGATTTGCTGGCATGATTGATGACGAAGATTTTACTGCCGTTGCCAAAGTCGATCGATACGGACGCAAACTCAAGTCTGACGCCAAAAAGAAAGCTCTCCAGCGATTGTATCAGCAAGAAGAAGACGAAGACAAGCCCAAGGACGAGGGCGAGGGCGAGGGCGAGGAGGATAATGACGATGAAGTCGATGATGACGAGCTTGTCCAACGGGAGCTTCGAGCCGCCGACGAGAAGGAAAGGCGAAAAGCCTACGACCCAGCCCGACATGGAGGCTTCTCCGCCTCAGAGTCTGATTCCGACTCCGATGAGGATTCGGACGGAGACGAAGACGAAGACGAAAGTGGTGTCGCTCTTGCCTCAGAAGGCGACATGCAAAGACTCCAAGACGAACAGGCCGATGTTGAAACTGGCGAAGTCACGAATCGCATTGCCGTTGTAAACTTGGACTGGGACCATGTGAAATCCACCGATCTCATGGCACTGTTCTCCAGTTTCCTGCCCGCCGATGAGAAGGGCCGCATTCTCAATATTTCCGTCTACCCCAGTGAATTTGGCAAGGGGAGAATGCAACAAGAAGAGCTAGAGGGTCCTCCCAAGGCTTTGTTCAAGAATAAGGGCAAAGATTCCGACAACGAGAGCGACGACGGAAGCGACGACGGAAGCGACAGCGAGGACGAGAAGATCAAAAATGAGCTCATGCAGGAGGGCGACGACGAGGATTTCGACAGCGATGCCCTACGATCATATCAATTAGACCGATTGAGATACTACTACGCTGTCATGGTGTGCTCAAGCCCCGAGACGGCCCAAAAGATTTACGAGGCTACGGATGGGACAGAATACCAGTCTTCCTCAAACGTCATTGACTTGCGGTTCGTCCCGGATGATGTCACTTTTGACGACGAGCCCCGTGATGAGTGCGACAAGGTCCCTGATTCATACAAACCCGTGGAATTCGTGACCAATGCCCTGCAGAGTTCCAAGGTCAAATTGACCTGGGACATGCACCCTGAGGAGACTTCACGTAAGGAATCCATTAATAGGGCATTCACTGGCAGCCGAGCAAATATCGAAGAAAATGATCTCCAGGCTTATCTCGCCAGCGACAGCGAAGACGATGAAGACGGCTCGGAAGAAGACAATGGCGAGGACGGGGAAGATGCAGCGGATGAACCCAAGTTATCTAAGAAAGAACTAGTCCGCAAGAAGATGCGGGAAGCTCTGGGACTAGCAAACGAACCGATCCCTAAAGAGGCCAAGAACGGCCCTGTAGGCGATATGCAAATCACATTCACCTCAGCCCTATCCGAAAGCAAGCCCAAAGACGTCGACCAAGAGGAGACGACAATTGCAAAATACAAGCGAAAAGAAAAGGAGCGCAAAGAGAAGAAACGACAAGCCCACAAGGCCAAGCGCGAAGCCGACTCAGGCGAACCCCGGGACAATGAAGAAGAGCATCCCGCCGCCGCCGCCGACGACGAGCTCGGTTTCGACGACCCCTTCTTCACGACCGAAGGCACGTCCGCACCTTCCAAAACCTCCATCCGCAAGGAAGAGCGCCTTAAAAAGCGCCAGGCCCGCGAGGCAGCCGAAGCGGAATCAGCCGCGGCAAAGGCCCGCCTCACAAAGGTCATGGCCCAAGATGCCCTCGACAACCAAGCCGAGCACCTGGATCACTTTGACATGAATGAAATCATGCGTGCTGAGAAGAAGAAGAACAAGAAGGGAAAGAAGAGCAAGAAGGAGGCTGGCAACAGCGAAGATAGAGGCGGACTACAAGAGGACTTCACCATGGATGTGGAGGATGATCGGTTCAAGGCCGTCTTTGACAGCCATGAGTTTGCGATTGATCCATCCAATCCCAAATTCAAGGCGACGGCTGGCATGAAGCAACTGCTAGAAGTGGGCAGGAGGAAGAGGCAGGTAGGGGACGGGGAGGACGAACCGAGCAAGAAGAAGGTGAAGAAGGGGCGGAGGTGATGTCGAGGACGGATTGTATATATTGTGAACGTTTAAGATGTCATAGTTGATTGGTGTTATGGTTCATGTGAATCTCAAGGCTTAATGATTTCCTACGAAGGGACGAGCAATCTCGTTTAGCTACCGATCTGTGTAGATAACACATACCGCTGCGCGAGTAGTAAGAAAGTTGCAATATCAAGCAGCTCGCGGGGAAAATAAAAGGGGTTCCAACGACTTGCGGGATGCACGTCTCGGTGAAGTTGGGCATGTGCACGTTGACGGTCAAGCTCGGGGTTGACGCGAGAGGTCCGAGTAACGCTTTTCGTATCCAAAATGGGCGTGGAAGAGGATTTGAATTTTTCGTCGTACGCCTACGTCTACGTCTAAGCATCCCGTGTACGCCGTACGAGACTGCAAGTTTCTAGTATAGGCATCGTGTAGCCACGGTTGCTAAGGACACTTATCAATGTAAAAACTTGCATCCCATGAGATGAAGGCCCAATCAAGACTCTGGGCAGTGCATTGACGGCTTCTCATGCAAATGTCACGTGTTGTTATTGTGCGCAGCTCCCAAGGACATGAAGATTCATGTCGTACGCTGGCTCGCGTGAGATGTCGGGGTGATTGTGGTGCCTATTACAGTCAGTCACACTCGGAGCCAAGATGGGCGTCAAAAATTCCCTAGCTCCCGCCGCCAATCGAATAAACGAATTGGCCGTCCGCTGGCTGCCCGTGATGCGCGTTATCATCACCCACGGGTCGCACATGGAGATACGCGCCGTTGCACAACCTAATCTCAGATGGTTGCACTACCTGAAGAGGTCTGCCACACTCCGCATTCCCCTTCGCATGGCATGGCCTGCCGGCAACACAAATCGACGGTGACTGGCAGAACACGACGGATCGAAAACTCCGGCCGGCACACCGAAGAAAAAAAAAGCCGGCTGGGTGGTTGCACGGTCGACGCATCACGGTGTTTGGCGCGTCACCCACCCCCGCACGCCAGTGACATCAGGACAGACCAGACCAAAGTCAAGTTGATTGGTGTCGGCGACCAACAGGCGTCTGCACCATCTCGTACATACTCGGTGATACTGGTATGGAAGGCGAAGAAAAATAAAGGAAAGAGAAAAGGCCGCCATTCATTTCGCGCACCAGATGACTTCTCTCCGGCGGAGGCTGTCCTGAAGCTCGGATCAGCAGAATGCTCATGCGGATGAGGATTGGAAGCTCAGTGGGTGGAGATAAGCGGCAACAACGCTGGTACTATTTCACCCATGCACGTTTGATTTTCTCCATGACGGTGTTGAAATGGCATTGCAATCGCAATCATGACCGAGTGGCATGATGTAAGTGTTGCATCCGATCGACACGACACCCGTATACCGGCCGGGTCGATATTCGCTCACGCGGCTTGGAGAGTCGCAATCGTCGACTAGATAGCACGCTACCGAGGCGATCGACGCGACATTTGCACTTTTTGGTGGCCCTTGGCGCACACCCATTCTGAGCTTTGCTGCTGAGCGTGTGAGCGAAGGGAGACGAATTTCATGACGCTTGGAGGGGGAAAGTCGCATGCTTGTCTGCGGGAGAGGCGCCAAAGGTTTGTATATGGTGGTTTGCTTGCGCACACCACATCTTTGTAGACCGCCTTTTCATCTCACGACGGCCATGATAAAAGGGCAGGGAGTGGCACCATCATGGATTGCCCGGGCCGGAATATTGTTTCTTTGTCTTCCTCTTGTCGGCGGCGGCGGTCTTGTTTTTTTTCTTTTCTGGATAACTTTTCATCTCTCATCCGTGCTTGCGAGATGCTGGCTCTCATCTAGCTCGCATCGCACCTTCGTGTGCTGATTCGTGAGCAAGAAACTCCCCTTTCTTTCTGCCCCCCAAAACACGAGCCTCTTCCACCGTCGAATGGGCAGTCTAGCCGGCTGAAATACCCGTTCACCATGGAGGAAGCATCCCCGACAACTCCCCTCATCCGACGAGAGGAGCCGAAACCCCAGGTCCTGCCTGCAGTGACGAGGCTGCAGTATATCGCAACGGCTGTCATTGCGGTACTGCACATCGTTCGGGGCTTTGCGCTTCTCGTCTGTCCAGCCGTCGCATTGTCAAGTTTTGCAGAGCCGACATCCAGCACAGCTCTCTTCTTTACAAGCTTGCTTGGTGTACGCGATATTATCCTGGGGGGCTTGTTGACCCTGGCCGATTCCCGACGAAGTTATGAAATCCACAGAGCACTGGGCATCGCGCTCTTTAGTGATTCCGTGGACACTTTCGTCTTGATATTTGTGGTGGCTTGCTCGGCCCGTCTCAAAAATCCTGCTCCGGAGATCATTTCTGTGGTATTGCTGGCTGTTCTTGAACATCTGACCTTGTGGAGCTTTGACGAGGAGGATGACGATGGTCTGAGTCCTTCCCAGCAGGCAACCATCCAGGTCACGAGACTCGATGATAAGAGGTTGAGACTGGGCATGTGGCTTGAAGAATTGAAACAGGCAGAGTCACTGCAGGAGGATTCACTTTCAACCCCTGAATCGCCAGCCTCGTAAGAGTGGTTCGGAGCTTTGGGGAGCAACAATCCAACTAACTGAAGAGGCTGGATGATGCTCTGCCCGACTGGCAGCAGATAAACGGGTATAACACATACTATCATGGAACGCCTCGACATGCATAGTACAAACACTTTCATCTCCGCCACATGTTTGAGACAATATGTGAAAGCAGAGAGCCACTATTGCATACTCCGTACAAAAAGCAGCAGAAGGATCGCAACGTATGGCCGGAAAAGCTGCAAATTGAGAAAAAAAAAGAATACCGAATACGTCGAGACTGCGGAATAGTCGACAATGACTTTGGGACAGCTGTGTCGCAAATGTGAGACTCAACTTCCAGTAATACGCGGTGGATCCAACAACGCCTTCGTCCCGATTCAGCTTCAAGAATTGCTTCTTTCAGTGACCTGTCAGGGGCCGTATTCCGTCTCATCCAACAATCGGGTTGCAGACGGCGCAAAAGTCAAGCTAGCAAGCCCAGAAATCGGAGCCCTGCCATCTGCATTTCCAGAACGAGTCTCATTCTGAGCATTATTACTTCCTCCAACTTTAGTGTCTGGGGTGACTATGGATGCATGAAGCAAGTACGGAGTAGCGGTAACAGATATTGACCAGATGCATAACAACGCCACAGGATACCGAGGGCAGATGAATAAATGCATTTTGCACGTCATTATCGGAATCTAGAGATTACGCCCGCCGAGAATATTGACAGGTGAAATATGACGATTTACACAAGCCAAATTTCCGATGTTTTAGATCCAATTGATTGGTTGCATGGTTCCGAGTCTATCGGGAGCAGCGTCAGAATATTGATAATATTTGATACATCCCGCCAGGGGCCTTGTCACTTTTAAGCAGCCTTCACTTTGCTGTAGTAGTACTGACTTTTCTGGTGAGGAAACGTCCAAATTATGTCTTGTTCCCCAATTTGTCCATGCTCTCTGGCCCGCGCTTCCTTCCTTTCGAACCGGGCCGAGAAGGGCCTCCTCAGCTGAACCAAAACCTGGGCAGCTGAGTAAAGCCGGTAAATTGTGCAATTATCCGGTTCAAACGTAGTGGATACGACAGAGGAGACCATTTTACCTCCACAAAAGAAGGTGAAAAAAAGTTCGATGAAAGTTAATTTGAGAGCACCCGAAGCACTATTGCCTCAGCTTGTCATGAAATCAGATGATCTGGTAAGCCACAGCGCCGCTTCATAGTTTGTAGTATCTCGCAACGTCTAGGGAACTGTCAGTCTGTACCATTCTTCTCGTTCGCGTAGATCATAATATTCAGACTCCGGGGGCTCACAGGAGTAACGGTCGAATTTGAGAGTATCATGAGCTAACCCAGCGCTTGGCCGAAATGCCGCCACCATAGTCGTCTTTATCAGCATGGTTGCCAGCTGAGGAGCCTCAGAGCTGAGCACCCTACCCATGAGCTGCATATCAAGCGATGATCATGTACTGGTAGTACGGAGTACTACATACTCCATGCGAAGTAGTACTGCCGTGGCCATTCGCATCCTAGGAAAGACCCAGTTCCAAATTTCCGGGAACCACTGCGATGGGACATCGTCATGCCTATTACGGAGTAGACAGGCTTGGCCATGGAAGCTTCTAACAACTATGGAGTACAACAAGCAGAGTTCTTGGCAGATAGAGCTTGCACTCATTTCCTTTGTTGCCGCCGGACCTAGTGATTGTGAACTTGAGCCATGCCTGACGGTCCGAAAAGCAACGGGAAGTGAGTTGAGGTGAGGGAAAATTTCCAGAGATTGCTTTAATTCAAGTATGGACCGTTGAGATGGGGATATTCCGATCTTGTCGTTTCTCCGCGTGGGCTCCCACACAAGATCCCAGTAACAATTACTAGTAGAATGTTGCTGCGGAGTACGGAGTACTGCTGCAAGATCTTGCTTCTTAGGCAAGGGATATGCAGTACTTTTCCTTGTGTGAGAGGTAGAAAATGAGTTATGAGCAGCCAACGAGGGCGCCTCCAACCGCAACCCAAAAGTGTGTGGCACGGCCTTCGACATCGCAGAAGGAAGGTCTCCCTTCACTGGCAACACTAGGAAACTAGTACATCACCGTCCCAACTTTCTTCTGGGGTTGTGGCAACCGTCCCATGTCCGTGCACCGGCAAGGGCCGGCAAGACTCACGTCCGAATAGCTTGCCCCCCAGCAGAACCGTGCCGTGCCCACAATCAGTGGTGTCAAGTGTCGTCAAGCTTAATTAGCTTTCGAAGCTGGGGCCGCCCTAACATATGTACCCAGTGTCAATGCTGATTAGTGATGGATTTCAGCGCGTATTGTCAAACGGGACTGGTGTCGATTTTCTGCGGCGGGTTTATATTGTACTATAATCCCATGGCTGTGGCCTAGGCTGTGATGATGAGAAACATTTTCATGGCCCAACCTTGGATTGTAAAATTAAGGAGAGGAATTCGCGCGCACCAGCATTTATTGCTTTTTGATTTTTGATGCTGCATCCCAATGTACGGGGTGCCATGATTGCCGCCCGTTTCCAGCCACAAAAAGCAAAGTCAACGACGCACTGTGGCAGTCGACATGGCTGTACTAAACCACCGCCGCTGCAGAGACAGAAGAAAATAAGTTGCTCATTGCCGGCATGAGGTACTCCGTACTGCACAGCACTCCGCAATAGGAGTAACAACGAGACAAGTCGTCAAAGATTGACATGAGCCGCGTAGAATACTACAATGTTAGCATCGCCCACATCGGAGCAAAGGTGTGATTGCCAGTCGAAGGAGCTCTCGAGTACGAGGTACGGAGTATACGGCCGCCACTACTACCTCGCTCGTCGGCATTTTGGGAGTCTGGGCGGATCCCGTGAATATTCGCTGCCGCCCTGTTAGCTTCTACTCCAATGATATTAGTCCTGGGCTCGGACTGCCAACAAGTTGCTTTGCAAAGTACAATATTCGACAAGACCAGACGCCACTAACTAGTACTCAGCAGTATGTTGATGCTACAGTAGTAGTGGTGTGATGCAGCAGGTTGTGTCGTTGATTCGGGGCCTCTGCACGCCGGCAGCTTGATGCAGTGTTTTCGTCGATGGGCATTGAAGTGATGGCTCAGGTGTCACCTGCAAAAGCCGGCGGCTCAGGTCCCAAACCGACGGGCTAGCAGACTTGGCGCTCGCTGCTTTTGCCTTGCCTGGCTTTGGCAAACTCTGAGCTTAGCGGAGAGGATGCAATGATGGCATGACACAGCATCGCCGGCCCTGCTGAGATTGTTTGTTCCAACAATTTTTGAAGGTCGGGACTCGTCGAATGCAATGTCTCCGTCAAGGTCCAACGGCCTTGGGAGTTGGGAAAGAGCGTTCCACTGGGCCTGACGATTGGCTCCTGCTCATAGATGTATCCTTCTTGCCTTTCAGCACGGACCAACAGGCACGTCTCTGCAAAGACGATTTACGAGGATTTACGAGGGGGAGGGGAACAGTGATGAATGCTCCGTCGTCGTCTCAATTGTCTAGGTGAGAAATCACAACTGATCAACTTGTATTCGCTTCTACTGCTGTGTGGCTCACTTACGAGTTCAGGCTGAATAATGAAAGCCACCGGTAAACAAGCCACGGGTTCCTCGCTGCCGCCCGCCGCCATCCTGGTCCCCGCCGCCTCGGCATCGTCAACTAGTATTGCCCTCCCATTGCGTTTCGAGCCACACTCCGTACTCCGTACTCTGTACCGAGTATGGAGTTATGAACCATGAATCTGGGTCTCAGCTGCCACCAAGTCACGGGCCAGTCATGTCATGAGCTCGTCACCTCGCACAGGGTACGGATGTCAAGTGGAATAGTCCCCTAGGCCTGTCGCCTCCGTTCTCTCCACCCTCGCGCACGGTGATAGCGGGCGGGTTAAACACGCAGCCGCAAAACTTGTTTTGTTTACTCTTCATACTCGAATTGGAAAAGGAAGAGGGAAATCGCAATAGTTTGCCAATCGGCCGATAAAGAAGCATGCGTAAGTCGCCACCCCAGCCATGGAAGAAAAAGCATGTGGCCTCCCTCACTTGGCCCGCCTCAAGCTTCACGCCTCAAGTTTCAACGGCCGCAGCAAAACTGCTGAACCGTTGAGGGGCGCCGCATTGACGACACCCAAACGGGTTTGGATCTGTCTATCTTTTCGTCTAGCTGCGACTCTAGCTGCGACTCTAGCTCTTTCGTCTCGTCCAACCAGCCCAGTCTTCAAAAGCGGGATCCACCACCCCTTGCGGCACCTAAATCGGACCCAGGAAGCAAAATTCGTCCAAAGACAGGCCGCTCTGGGCGAGGTCTGGGCTCGGTGGTTGGCGGGCCAGAGGAACAAGTAACTGCACGTGGCGCCTTGATTACTTGGCTTCCTTCGCTGACGAAACCCTAAATCATGGTGGACTTCGGTATCGCCGACTCTGGGGGGAAAGGGGGCAACGATGCGAACTCGCCCATGAAATCGTTGTTCGACTCCTCCGTCCAGAACGAGTACCCGGATATCCGGACCAGCTCTGGACTGGCCAACAAGCGCGCAAAGTAAGGGCAAGTTGATCTCGTACAACATGTTGACGGTGCCCTATGGCACATGCGGGACGGCTCCCAGCCCTGTCTTGGTTGCCACACGACCTGCCAATGATCTACATTACAGCTCCCTGGAAGAGGTAATTGCTTCAGGGCCCTGCGTCCTCTCCTGGGCCCAAAAGCAAAAATGGAGTTCCCACCCCTGACTCGCTGTAGTACTAGCACCGTCACCCCAAGTCGTCCCACGAACATGCGGATACTAAGTGGCCCCTACCAAGATATGCCCACTCGTCACGTTTTTAACAGCAAGATTGCTTTTCCCTCCTCCGAAAAAGCAGTTCCTGGTGAAATCCCAGCGATGGAGATCGGCACATTCAACAACTGGGCTTGATGTCCACCCCCGCTGTCAAGTCAGTGCCATCCTCATTGCACGGTCTTTGCAACACCTGGTAGAGCTTTCCGGGTGGCTTGCCGGCCGGTTGAATGGATTCGAATATTTATCAAGCCAAGCCCCCCATTTCCCCATTGCTCAATCCCGTCGTCCAGTGTCTTTGCTTGACAGGATACCACCATCAGGACTCGTGCGTTCTGGTGTTGACAAACTCCGGGCATCGACACGCACGTCCTTTCACTCCCCATATCCTTTAACCTCCATCCCGTCCCTTCTGGCCGTGAGGCGTGTGCCGTTCCTATCCTCAGACATATCTCGAGCTGTGAGAACACAACAGACACAATGGGCTCAGAGTTTGGGATCACCCCCGACACCAAGCCGGAGGTTCGGCTTGATGGCGTAGGCATCTTTTGGATTGTCTTCGCCGTGACATGGACTGTTATCCTTATTAGCGGCATGGCATTCTTGTGGACGAAGCGGGATATGCCTATTCTCCGAATCAGAGGCCTGGGCTTATCATTCACAGCTATTGCATTTCTTCATTGTTACTGGGTTGCCGTCACCACAGGCTACGTGTACGGTCCTTTGATGCCAGAAGTTGCCGAATTCTGGATCATGAGCATCTGGTTCCCCTTTGGCATCGCGCTGTTCCACGCCTCCAACAGTCGGTTCTTGTACGTCGCCAACGCTCAAAAACAATACGTCAAAAAGACGGGTGACTTGGGGTGGGATGGCCAGCGTCCTCGGATCCGCAAGACGCTTGTCGCCAGATGGAAGATGCTCCCTTATACGCAGAGAGTTTTGATATTCGTCGGCTTGGGCATGGTAGCTCACGTAAGTATTCCCGTCGCAGAAAGTAACCAAGCAAGCATGCATCACAGCCAATTGCTCACAAGAAGTAGCTTTCCCTCACCATCTTCATGTTCCTTATTTCTCGTAAATTTCACTCTGGCTGGGGCATCTCCGGAACTGAAGTTACCGGCACTGCTATGGAGCAAAAGGCTGAGCAGGGTCGTGGCTGGGAGTGGTATGTTGCAGCTCCCTCTACCCAAAGGCGAATGGGATTTGATGAGACTAATCCGTGGTATCATGAAGGTGGCCGTCTATCTTTTGGCAACTATTCTGGGCTTGGATCGTTGCTCCCGTCATTCTATGGCGCTCTCGGAACCTGCGTGACACCCAAGGTTGGCGAACGCAGACCATTGCTTGCTGCTTGTCCGGGTAAGGAGACTCGTCTCATTGTAATATCTCCCAATCATCTTCAAAATTGTGCTAACTGTGATATAGTCTTCATGCCTCCCCAATGTGGCTCATTGCGCTCTATGTTCCCGGCATGGCTCCTGTCAACAATTACTTTATCCCTCCGCAATGGTAGGTACGCCACCGGTTTGGCCGACGTGTCATATAGCTAATCTGTCTCTTCAGGATCGCCATTGCAATGATGATGCTCGAAATCTTCACCGTGTTCATTCCCGTCTGGGAAGTTCGGAGGCAACAATCCCTTTGCCAGGAGACCCTCGACTCCATTGCACGCTGGGAGTCCCGACAGAAGTCCGTTCAGCATAGTGGGAAATCTCTGCACTCTGGCACTAGTTCATCTTCATGGATGGGTCGTACCAAAGCTGGTTCAGTGTCTACCACTGGTGGCAGTATCTTAACCATGGACGCCCTGGAGCACACGTTGGCAAAGAACCCCGAGCCTCTGCAGGAGTTCTCTGCTCTTCGAGATTTCTCCGGTGAGAACATTGCCTTCCTCACCCGGGTTCGTGAGTGGCGTGCCCAGTACATTGTCAACCCCAGCCTCAGGGAACCGGTTAGGGACGAGAAGGACAGCGAGAAAACCTTGACTCTGTCGCGAGAGTGCTTCGAGAGCGCCCTTCGCATTTACATCGACTTCATCAGCAGCAACAGTGCCGAATTTCAGGTCAACCTGTCATCACACGACTTCAAGAACCTCAAAGCAATCTTCGAAGGGGCCGCCCGCGTTGTCTGTGGCGAATGCAGCACGCCAGACCCCGCCACTCCCTTTGCTGACGTACCTAAACCGCAGAGTGAATCGGGTGAGACTGCTCGATACTGGGGCGACATTCCTGAAGCTTTCAATGAGGGTGTCTTCGACGATTCCGAAATGAGCATCAAGTACCTTGTGCTCACCAACACATGGCCCAAGTTTATCAGGGAGAGACGCTCATTTGACGGTGCCAGCAGCGCGGAGGCTGGTAAATAAGGACTGCAAAAAACACCCGACTGATCCGAGGTTTATGTATCTGATGTGTCAACTACTACTATATGGGTAAGGGGAAAACGAGCACGCGTTTTATATTGCTACTGTATCTATTTAATCGCCACAAGCGAAATATATCCACTTCATTTCCCGAACCTCGTATGAGGTCGAGAATTCTTGTTGTATATGTATATATATAATAGTCAGACTCAGGATCATGTTCTGTATCAAGTGTGTACTTACCTCTGCTGTAAGCGTGCCCCATATTAAAGCATAACCGTGAAGTGTGGGCTGAACTCGAACAGACCAAGTCCATTGTCATCACACAGCCATATTATATATCATACACCAGTATCCTGGTGTACTCTTGACAGAGCGCGAAGATTATCCTACCATGGGCCATATGTCTATATAGAATTGTTGACTTACCCAAGAGATGCTTGCTGATAAGACCGATAGACGTCATCCTGCATCCAAAGACAAGCCGGATCCCAGATATCCTTGAGCAGCCACATCAATTGACCAACGGCTTAGGCAGGAGGTATTCCATATCACTGATCGAAGCCCCCGAGAGGGTATCGGTAAGAAGACCTGCCAAACATGAGGCCATTGTGGGAAAAGCATGTACGAAATAAACCCGTCCTGTTTTTCATAGACACAGTCTGTCGACTAACCCGTAAGTGATACGGTGACTTTTTTGTTCGCGTCTGTATCATACTTCGCCTTACTAGGCATATTTGGCAATGGTTCATGGTTTCATCCGTACTCATTCGGCAGCTTCTGTAGGGTAGCGAATCTGAAACGAGCCCAAGTTCCGTGGTGTTGACGGGATGTGAGGATCCAGGGCGTGCGACGGCAGTCAATAGCTAGGTGAGATGAAATAGTCCCCGAGAAGAGTGTCAGTTTCAGAATCACGATTCTAGTTTCCATTTGAGTAAATGGAATCAATGCTAGAGTCGGCTCTTAGCACTGCAGAGTGTCGACGTACGTACCGGTGTTGTTTCGGCTGAAATGCCCCTACAGTCGAATCCATGTTCCCCATGCTCATTCCGACGTGGAGCAATAAGGTGCGAAAATAGGCTTAATATTGCAAACACGGATCAACGGCGGATGGGCAGGCATGCGAAGCCAAGACGGTAGTTGTTACGCCTAGTTTCAAGTTTTCAACTAACCATGTTGATTGTTCCAAGGCACTACTGCTGGCCATGTATGCTGTGTCCCGTAGCGTACCTTAAATAAAGATGCAAGTGTCAACGGTCTTTACAATGGCTGGACGGTGTACCAAAACAAGCAGAGGGAGTTTCGGGGGGGGAGAAAGAGAAAGAGAGAGAGATAGAGAGAGAGAGAGAGAAAAGAGGGAGAAAAGAACACAACGGAGGAAGGAGAGAGAGAGTAGATGAAATCCCCACGCTACGTCAAACCCACCCCCGCCTGTCTCTCCAACTGGCAACACCAGCATCACACATCATTAGACTCGCATAGAGACTCCTCGCAAGGGCAAAACACTCCCCACAAACGCGTACGAACACGCTCAACGATCAACAATCGATCGCACAGCATTTCAAGTTTGAAACCCCCGCAATCATCGCCGCCGTCCCGCTCCTCTTCCCCGTTTTATCACGGCATGTCCTCGCGCGGAGAAGCCCAAACCCCAAACCCCAAACCCCAAACATGCCGTGTTCCTAGTCGCACATCACACAAGGCCAGTCAATGCCCTTGACGCGACTACAAAAGACCCCAAAACAGCCGCCGCACCAAATAAGGTCAAACATGCATATGGTAATCTCAGACTCTCAGACCATTGGGGGAAATAACATGAAAGAAGGACTAACACAAAAATCCAGGGACACCAGAACAAGAGCAGGAAAATCCACTTTTTGGTGACGACGAAGACACGGGCGGCGTGCCTCCATTTTCCCCGCGTTGTCTGTACGACGTTGCGCAAAGACAGGAAAGTGGACTGATGGGTGCGAATGTGAAAAAGAAGGGTGATATTGATAGAACGAATGCGGTTTCAGTTTTCTTTTTGGTTGTCGCTGAGACGGTACGGGTAATTTGCATGGAGGCTCAGTCTTTTTCCCCCGCGTGTTTCTGTTTCCCGCTACAGCTGCCAAAGCATCCGTTGGGGGCGGCAGGTTCATCAGTTGTGTCGCTTTTTTTTTTCGTCCAAACAAAAAGGGCGTACCGCACAGATGAAAACGAAGTACGGCTCGCGGCTCAGGAGGGAATTTTGGATGAAAATCGGGAGTCCGGGACAAATGAGGCAGGCTGATTGTGTATCATCGACCGGCGTGACGGGTTTCCGCGTGAACAGGCCCAGGTGGACAGAGAAGGAGAGTACGTGATACCACGTCACAATGACCGACGTCACCTCTCTCTCTCTTTCTCTCTATCCTTCTTTCCTTCTTTCCTTCTTTTCTTCGCTCTTATTTCGTTTGTTGGTGTGTTGATGCAGGACAGACATCAAACACGGGCTTGGCTGTGTCATGCCCCAGGCAAGGAAAGGGTATCATCACGTGTAGGGCGGCCCCGGATCGCACAAGCAGCGATCTGGAAGATTGACAATCCGGGGCTTTGACCATCCGGGGTTTGGACCGTCCGGGGTTTGGACGTCTGCCGAAATGAGCTGGAAGATACTATTCCCAGCATCACGAGCATCCCTGCCTCGCTGAAAGGAGAGAAAAAAAAATATGAAAGGCAAATCTCCGATATTGGTGTGCTTCTCTTTTTGCAGGTCCCCGGAGGAGCCCGTCCTTTGAAACATTCTTCAACTCTTGGTACTCGGTACGGAGTACCGTAATCCTGGATGCGCTTGGGCAAATCTCTCTTCTCTCTTTCTCATCCTCGCCCTTTTGTTTCCCAAAAGTCGCCCACTAATTAAACGGGCTTTCTCATCACAATCCTCCTACTCATCACCACCTCCCCCCTTCCCCGTAATCCCTTCCCTCCGGTCCCGTCCACCCACCCGGTCTGTCACCAGGAGGAATACAACCATTTTGCATCTGAGACAAGACCATGCATACCGATCTTTGGGTAGCCTACCCTATGGCCTTGGAGTCGCCCTTGAGGAAAACCCCGGGGGAGCAGGACTTTCAAGAAGGGAAACGACGGGAGAAGGGGAGCGGACTCAAATGGCAAGAAAAAGAAAGGAAGCAGCGCCGGCGGCGATAGAGTTTCGCTGTTGAGGCCGTTTACGGTGTAAGTAGAAACAAGAATGTATCCCTTTTGTTTACCGCTACAGAATTCCAAGACAAGGGCGTGTGCGTCGAGCAGGAGAGACCCTGGCCGTTTGCACGTGGATACGGAATCATGGCCATGACTTGCAAGGCATGGACTACAAGCTAATAAGGCATACGTCGCGAGGCTCGTGAGGCTTGAGAAGCTGGGGGGCGTTTCAAGGAAAAGGGAGACAGAAAGGCGGCGAGGTAGAGAGAGGCGAGAGAAACGAGAGATTTGGCTTGGCTTGCTCGAGGACACGAGGCAACGTGGTGAAGCAGAATCAGACTCCCCGAGCGGCGTGTGTACCTGATTGTACCTGTTTGTTTTCGCCACTGGTGCCGCGATTGTCTTGCAGGGTTTTGCTTCTACCGAGTTCCGCAGCAATGGGAGAGCCGGGATGTGAATACTAGCTCCGTGCTGGATTGGGGATTTATTTTTTCTTGTCTTCGGTTTCTGACTTCCCTTTGTTTGCCCCAGGGCGAAACCTAGCAGCCCGTCCTGCCGGTTCGCCCTGAATTTGACATGTCAGTTTACATTGGTACTTGGGAGAATTGTACCGAGAGCTTCTTGTTCGTCTTGGGGCTGATGCATTTCAAGCCGTCTTTATCACATTCACATTTTTTTTTGGGGCTATCTGCGTCAATTCCAGAAGGCATTGAAAAATTTTCTCAATCTTTTTTCTTTTTCTCTTTTGTCCTGTTCAATTTTCCATTGGGGAGCATTACATTTCAGGCACGGGAGCAAGGCCCAGCTGCGCCGTGGCAGACTGTGTTGGAATGTCGTGCCAAAATTGTGTCTCTTCGAAATGGTAACCCACCCAGGGGGGGGGGGGTGCGAGCACTGAGCACTGAGCACTGGGCACTGGACAGCATCTCGGATCCAGGCTTTTGGACAATGCTCGGTTGCATGTTTGCTGCTGTCTACCCTATTGCACGTTTCCTTGGCTGGTTTTACTTGCCTCAAGTAAATGGCCAAGCAAGGCGATGACATTCCGATGACATTTCAAGGCATGGCCGGCGTAAAGACAAAGCCATGACGTTTCAGTTGCAGGTTTGGCATGTCCACGTCGGTTCCCCACGATGTTACTCGGTACTCCGTACCTCGACACGCATCGCTCAATGCCAGCAGGCCAAGACGGACATGGAGCATGGGATCGATAAAGTAGATAATAATAGCCAGACAGGTAGTACTGGCTGCATGGGCTGCACGCTGCGGCCAGCGCAATCGAACCGGGCCCTGCCCCCTTTGGTTCTAGAGTGGCCATGCGTTGGCGAACTTCTGAGCCTCGATCTGCAATCATGCCACAGTCGTCGTGCTGCATGAAGACGACTGGACGCGCAGAAGTTCCCACTCCCTCCCCCTCCCCCCCCCGTTGACACATGTTGTACTCCGTACATGCGTGGATTTCTCGTGCAACCAGACTCTCTCTGCCTGGCGGACACGGGGGGAGCCTGCACAGTCTTCCGCCGCAGACGCAGACGCAGACGCACAAACTGCTGTAGGGCCTCTTCTCCTCATCCCTCGACGTGTTTTTGGAGTCCGGTCTCCCGCCACCTTCTCTTCACCACGCGCACGCCGCCCCATGTGACGGACGGACGGACGGGTCGATGGAAGGAGAAACTCGCGCTCGCGTCCCGGGCCCCCCCGTCTCGAGCCCGGTTCGTGCGAACCGATGAACCCCTCGAGTTTGCTGCCCAGCCCGGACAGTGCCGTGGATGCCGGCCGGGAAAAAGGTCTGGTCGCAGTGCACCACCACAGAGAGGGCGGCTTGGCCTTGTCCCGCGGCATTTTTTCTCCCAGTCGCCCTTCACACGCCATCATTTGACTTGGTCATTCGCCGCGGCCAGCCTATCTATCTATCTGCCTGTCTGCCGCCCTGCCACGTGGACGGGGGGCCATGCGACACTTTCCGTCGATGCCAGCATCGGCCACTGACCCTTGCTTGACTGCTCGGTATGACATGCTGCGTCTGTGCGGCCGTAGACCTATGCAGCAGGCGTATTTTCTAACATCCTTCTTTCTTTCTTTCTTTTTTCTAAAACAAACCTTTTTTCTAAAAAAAAAAAGTTTATTCTATTTTATGACTACTGCTACTATTATTATTGGTATATATCCATGTGCATGTGAACATATATAAAAGACTCTTTTCCTGCCTGTTGCATGGTCCCATTGTGTTGCATCGCGAGTTGACGATCCGAACCAGACTACCATTGGGGTTGGTTTGTTGTCCTTGCCAGCGCAACATCGCTTACCATCCGGAGTAACTTGGGGGGACGGACTGAGTGCCTTCAACAGCAAAGGCAGGAAATCTGTCACTTCGGACGAGTTGCCCTGCTGAGTTCGGCCCAGGATTCAAAGTTCAAATGTTACACTGGGCTCCATATCACCCTGAGCTGAGTTGGACGAGTTGGACGAGTTGCCAAGCACTTGCCTCAGTTGGTTGCCTCAGTTGGTTGCCAGCTTATCTAGCTGTACCCAGCGACGGCAACTCCCTATACGAGCACGGCTTACATAAATAAACATGGACGGTATGTTTTACGAGCCGGAGCCAGAGCCAGAGCCAGAGCCGCGCGGCGAGGTTGGACGTTTCTTGCATCATCGGCGCAATGGGGGGCGCAATACACGGTGCACTCTGACAGGACGGGCAGGCGGGTTCAAGCGGTCTTGTTGATTTGACTATTGCCTTTCAATGGCTCTATGCACATGCAGCCTCGCGTAGCGTCATGCGGGTTTTTCTTCAATGGTAAGCTGATGCATGTCGTTGTTGTCAAGCCCACCCCGGTTTCCTGGTAACCGCCCCCAGCCACTCACTCGCATGCAGCCTAAACTGGGCTCCTGATGTCGGCTTTTTTTGGACCTTTCTCAGATCCTTAACGCTTAACGCTTAACGCTTAACCAGCCACACCAGACAAGCGCAAACCCTCGTTGTTCCTTGCTGAGTTAACGGCCCCGCTTGGCCAGGAACTCATCCACACCCTTCCGCTTCTCTTCCGTGCCGAACGTGGTGTAGTACAGCTGTCGTTCAAATAGGTCGTCTCTGCATAAGCCGTCGGCTGGAAGGCAGGCGAGAGAACCATTAGTTTTACACAAGTATTCGGTGAATCAAGGCGGAAACAAGGGAAAAGGGAAGAGGCCAAAAATGTTGAAGAAAAAAAAAAAATCAGTGCCATACAGCACTGGGTCAAAAACTCGTCTTAGCAACGATTGATTCTCACCTCTGCAGATGGCCTCCTTGGCCAATTCAAGCGCCTCTGCCCCATGCGTCGTCAGCGCCGTCGCGGCTACAATGGTTTGCTGGAGCAAGACACCGTCTTCCATGAGCTCGCATAACAGGCCCCATGACAATGCCTCCTCGCTCGTAATTGGTTTGCCCGTAAGAATGGTTCGCATAGCCTAAAAACGTGAGCAAGAAGAAGCAGCGCTTAGTACTCTTGGCTGCCTCCCAATCGCTGGGGCTCGAACGAGATGCCTCCCCACCAAAGGACAGGCATCCGTCTGGTTGATCGGAGTACTACTACTTACTCGAAACTTGCCAACCGCAGCGGTTAATCGCTGGGTGCCACCCGCACCGGGGATAAGTCCGCGTTTCGTTTCTGGAAGCGCGAAATATGCAGACTTTGCGGCGAAAATCAGGTCACACTAGATATCGATGCTCCTTGCATTAGCCACATGGTGGTTGACTGCCAACGCGGCGGAGACGACCCAAAATGGCCGGATTCGCTGCAGCATCGGGAACGGGGTAAAGGTGTTTTTTCTCTCTCACCATCAAGGCCACCTCGAATCCGCCGCCAAGCTATGATAGACGCAGAGTTCATGTAAGTTTAAGTCTCCAAGAAGGCTTGGAGCGGGCCGACGATCCCGTTGAGTAGTCGGCCGCGCTAACAAGCCATGGCTGGGGTGACATGTCCTCACCGCTGGTCCATTGACGGCTGCGATCAATGGTTTGCGAACAGCGGTCATGCCGACGCACAAATTCTCCAGGTATCGACATGATCGGGCACCAGCGGAGTCAAGGTCGGCAATGTCTTTGAGATCGGCGCCGGCTACAAGAGAGAGAAGAAGCACCAGAACATTAGTCGTCGTTGGAATCTTCGGACGCCAAGGTAGCCAGGGTGGAGCAACAGGAGTGAGACGGGTAAGCCAGTGAGTGGTGAGGACGCCTGGCCAAGTGGCTCACCTGAAAAGAAGGTCCCGGTGCCGGTTATGACGATGGCTTTAACTGCCGGATCTGTTGAGGCCGCCTCCAGCTCAACAAGGAACTCGTCGAGAAGCTGTCGGGAAAGGGCGTTCCGCTTCTCGGGCCTAGTGAAGGTGATGAGCCTGACACCTTGGGCAGGTGACGTGGCTTGGACAAGACCAGACGCAGACATGTTGGTTGGCGATGGATGCCTTCTCCGTTATGGATGTGGGCGTTGAACCTAGAAGGGTGACGGAAGCGATGAATGGATGATGAACAGCGATACGGTGGATCGGTACAACCAATTACCTTGTCAAAAGATGTAGATTGGGTCTCTCTTCGTTTTTCCTTGCCTGGATGCAGGCAAAGGGAGAGCGAGGCGACAGGGAGATGGTGATGAATGACGCCGTCAATGAGCTGTCCTGTTGCACACACGGATGACCAGCACCGTGGGGGAGGAGACGTAGCTTTGTATGTAGACGGACGGGGGCAGGGATGGTCAACAGCAGCAGCGATAGCGCTTGCAATGGGAAACGGGGAGCGGACAATGGGCAATGGGCAATGGGCAATGGGCAATGTGTGACGGGAGACGATGGGATTGGTGATGGGGCTGGGTCAATGACTTGAATTGTTGGAGAGGTCGTCAAGAGGTCAACGGTGGTGAGGCGTGGTGGAGTCGACAGGATGCGGTTATATGTAGCATGTTCAGGTATTGGACCAGCCACCTGCAAGGCGGCGATTGGCCGGGATCCAGCGTCTCTGTGAACGATGCTCGACTGCTTCTGCGAACCGATGCGGGAGAGAGGAACAATTGTTTCTGCCACAGGTCATCTGGGCCTGAAAGGGGAAAAGTCTAATGCCACTTCCTACGGTATACGAGTACATACGACAAGCAGCTGACGCCAAGGATGCTGATGAATGCCAGCAACTGTGAAACAATATGGAAGCTGAAATAGGAGAGAACATTGACAAGAGACAAGTTGAACATTTAGAATCAATGGGTGACGCCCGGTGGTGCTTGGCGGCGCCTGGTAACACCTGGGGTAAGTTGTCCAACATTTGAACCTGGGCCATCAAACACGAGGGCAGATCCAACCAAGGATCCAACCAAGGATGCAACGAAACAGTTCGCTCCTGCCTCTGTGTTTGCACTTACACGTGAGAGCAGGCTCGTAACTGCGACTGCGGGGTCTATCTGGAATCACAGACAAACAGGCATTAATGATATGATATTGTCCAGTTGGGCAGTGCTCCGTACGGAGTAGTACTAGCCGTATCGAGTACGTACTCTGCTCGCAGGTGCCGCCGTAATGGGAAGACCGACAAGGACAGGTGCGAGTCTCAAAGTGGGGTGTGGATGGCATCTTTGTTGAATATGGCAGGAGCAGGAGCCTACCAGAGCAGTCTGGTCTCAGAAGGCAGGACCTGGTGCCTGGTATCTGGCGTCTAACGCCTGACGTTCGGGTGTCAGGTCTATGCCCATGTCCATGTCCATGCCCATCTCCGTATGCGAGCCTTTTGAACATGGCCATGGCATCAAACATTGCCTTTGGCTCTTGGACCTTGGTATAATAATGCAAACGCGGTGTTACGGCTTCTTCCTGGAACGACCCAGGTACGTACTCGGCAGTCCGCCCCAAGTGTCAACCTGTGTGGCAACCTTTGTTTGGCATCACCTTTTGATCTCAGTTGGCATCGGCTGGACCTGCATCGATTGTTCCACCGGCCACATCTCTTTCTCCTGGAGGGGTTCGCGCCGCAGGAACAAAACAAAACAATACGCACAATATCTCGAGTGTGTTATTTTGAGCATCTCGAAACCTTGACGCAGAGCCGCATCATGCTCGCCGCGCCCTATGCCCCCGTTGTCCGTCGTCGTACGCACGGCCTCGCACTGCTTCGGATTGCTTGACCTTAACTCGAGCAACCCGGCACTTATTGATACCTAAGCAATGGCGTCGTCTCATCCCGCTTCTTTACTTTGCATGGGTATCTGCAAAAGGAAAGCCAGACCGGGCCAGAAAAGCCAAGGCCACGAGCGCATAATCAGTCACCCAAGGGTCAACCAAGTTGCAAGGGCCAACTCCAGGATCATCAAGATAACCGAAACAGTTTTTGGTCTGATTGCCTCACCGTGTGTCAGAACCCACGCTGACTGTATGGGACAGCGCGAAAGCCACGTTTGATCGCCCGATGGATCCTGTCATGGCTACTTTCTTCAAGTACGAGCAGAGATCATGCAGGCCGGGCGCCACACACGCCTCGACGTCTGTAAGCTGTGCCTTGGTACATGACATGGCGCTTCTTCTTGTCCTACGCACATTGTGCACACATCTTGCGTACATTTTGCATATGCTGTGGCTACAGAAATCTGCTTCCATGGGGGGCTTCCCATGTGCGCCCGCCTCAGGCCACACGCCTGTTCGGTCAACTCTAGTTACGAATTACTTTGGCCAGCGTCCATGGTGACAAACTTACTTCTGCTACGTCTGGTGCTACCGGCCGAGTGGACCTCTCCGTCACTGGCTCTTCCAACAAGCCACACTCTCACACCCGGCGTCTGCTGTCTACTCGGAGACGTGGAGCATTGATTGAGTGGTGGTGGGGACGAGGTGCAACTGACTGAGACTTGAAGACTCTCTCTCTGTCTGCCGAGTACATGAACGGAACAACTGCCAAGGACGAGGAAGATGTTGCACACAAGGAAATAGAAAGGAGCCGGCCTAGACCTCTTCTCACATGTGCAATCTGGCATGGATCCCTCTAGAGTGCCAGCGTGAGAGCCGTCTCCATCTCACTTGAGCTTACCTCGACGCACCTCTCCATCGGATGGCAAAGGCCGCCATCCCATCCTCACCTGAAGATACCTGGGCTGTCTCACCAGGAGAGACTGCGCGATCGAGTTTGTGAATTATCAGCTCGGCAAGAACCCTTGTGTTTTGGCGAGTCTCAATGAGCCCTCTACTGTACTTCTGGCCAAAGTACCAATCTCTCTTACCCTTTATGGCGCTCCCGTCTCCCGTGGCGGCATTCCACAAGAGAATGGCGCTCCGGCCTGTAGTATTGCTATCCGATACAGGCCCGACCCTGCTTGAAGTCACCCCCCGCCTTGCGCCGTGAACACACGCCCCGGGCCGGGCTATTATCGCTTGCCGCGAAAGCGCTTTTCAATTCATTTATTTATTGAATCTTTTCTAGACAAAGTTGCGACTACCTGGGACTTGGCAAACGTGCCTACACACAGAGGGTATTGTCCGCGGTTGTATTATCCAACCTTTGGTGCTGAGCGAGTGCCTGCATCTGCCCAAGGAGCGGGAGACTGCGCTCTGCCAGAGCCTGGATCTGGAGAGCGGCGACCAGAATTGAAAGCCTCAATAGCAAACTTTATAAGGCCAAATGGCAAATAATGACTCCACGCCGAGCGCCAAGCATTCAAAGCATCGCAAAACCCTGCTCAGCTCCCTCCATGCTGATGCGCAGCGGGCAAACTCTTCTTTTTCGATGGCCTATTATTTCACACCATCGACACCCCGGAATGATATGCCCAGTGGCCGACTTGACCCGCCCACACCCCCGGGTGCCCCCACCCCTCCCCAAAGTTGACAGGGGTGTGTCTGCATTAAACATTGAAGTACTTGGCCCATGGCCCATGGCCCATGGCCCAATATGCCTCGAGTGTATGCATTATTGTGAGGCGTATGGCAGGCCATTTTCCCGGCGCCGGTTCTCTATGCTCACATCTCCAAGAACCATCGGTAGTCGTTGGGACCCATAGGTGTTCACGCTCCCTGAGTTCAAGTGGTTCAGCATTGGCTCCAATTCAAGTACCCTGGTCCAGCAAACATGCGTTCTCTAATGTAGCATGTAGCATGTAGCATGTAGTTAGCATCCGGCATCTTTGTCGGCGGGCCTAGTATCAGACTAGGATGTGCGATGCAAAGCTTCCCACAAGCCTACCCCAATGACCCCGTTGATATGGCCGAGTTGCCCGGGGACGCAGTGTACTTGGTGAGGAGAAGCATGGCAAACGAGCTCAGGGAATGTACTGGCAAAACTATTTAAAGGGCCATTCCCCTTCCTTTGCCGCAGTGAAAGTTGGAAGCCCAAGTTTTCTTCTCCAACTACTACTCTGTCTTTCACCTGCGAGTTGGCCTCGGAGTTGACCTCAGCCCTCATCATGAACGACTCAAGGAAACCTCACACCATGGTCTTGCCTACTAGGGACTTTACCCATGGTGAAGCATCTTATTGTCCCTTCCCTACCGTCACTGCAGCCTTCCTTCACCATGCTGCGGCTATTCCCTCAGCCAAGGCTGTTAGAGACTTGTCTGCTAATATAGAAAGGGTGCTTACATATCGGGAGCTAGCCATCCATGCGCAGTCACTTGCGTCACGGCTGCGAAGGTTGGGCGTGGGCCCTCACCAAACAGTCCCACTGGTTGTCAAGCGGGGGGCTGAGATGGTAATTGGTATATTGGCCATATTGTCCTGTGGTGCACAGTATGTGCCGCTTGATGGTGGAGTCGTCCCGGATTCTACAATCAAGCTTGTTGCGGAGCAGTGCGGCGGACAGAATGTTGTCTGCATAACTTCAACCCAAGACCGCATCAAAAAGCTCCTGCCTACGCATAGCCCCGTAGTTATTGAGCAGACTCCAATTGAGGATCAAGAATATGATGCTCCAGAGTCTTGGGTTGATCATGCGTCTGCTGACGGTGGATGCTACGTCATCTATACATCTGGTTCGTTCAAACGCTTCTTTTTGTAACCTTGTCGCTTTTCCACATAGGGCGAGGCTAACAGCTTTTTTTCCCCAGGAACCACTGGAAAGCCAAAAGGCGTGGATGTTACGCATAAAAACGTGACCAACCTTGTGTGCCTGTCTCCCGGTGGGCTGGGCGTCCAGCCGGGAATGTCTGTTGGACAAGTGCTCAACATCAGCTTCGATATGGGTATGTTCTGCCGTCATTTTACAGTAGAGGACTGAAGCTGTCCTGTTCAATGGCCGTCCGTGTACTAACTGGTTACGTAGCTGCGTGGGAGATTTTCTCCTGTCTTTGCAATGGCGGCACGCTCGTTCTCAGAGGCTCCAAGTGGGAGCCTACAGTTCGACAGGTAAGAGTTCCCGCGCCGATTGTAGCCAATTCTTGAAACCCAGAATTTTGACTGACGGCAACACTTGTCGTGTCTTACTAGCTTGATGTATTCATTTGCACACCCACAATCTTGTCAAAGTACCACCCAAAACTATATCCCAACATCAAAGTTGTCGCAACCGCTGGAGAACCTACCTCTCAGGACCTGGCCGATCTCTGGGCAACATATGCAACATATTGGAACTGTTGTGGACCCACCGAAACCACCATTGTCAACACAATGTCGAAGCATGTCGCTGGCGACCCTATTTCCATTGGCCGGCCGACTCCCAACAACTCGGTTTACATTTTAGACAATGACGGCAGACCCGCGCCCGTGGGTGTGGCTGGTGTAATGTGGGCTGGCGGCCACGGCGTAACTCGTGGCTACGTGGGGCTTGAATCCAAGACAAAGGAAACGTACATTCCAGATCCGTTCGCAAATGACGGGTAAGTGACCGAAAATCACCCACACGGTTGGTATGAGGCAAGACCGCTAATTGGTGTCTCACATACAGATCCAACATGTACTGCACGGGCGACCTGGGCAGGTGGAGAGAAGACGGGAACATTGACATCTTGGGCAGAGTGGACGATCAGGTCAAGGTCAAGGTATGCGAATCTGAATATCGGCCCAGCGTCGTTCCCATTGATTGGTTTCAAAAACTGACTTGGTCCCTTCCCAACAACTCCAGGGTTTCCGAGTGGAACTTGATGGAATATCATCTTCGCTGGCTTCCGCACCTGGAGTTACCCGTGCAACCGCCCTTCTCATCGAGGGAGACATCCATGGGTTCACAACGCCATCGGGTCAAGACGAGCAATCGATCCTTGCCCACACGAAGAAATTGCAGCCGTACTATGCCATTCCGTCCAAGCTTCACCAGCTTCAAACGTTCCCCACTACAGCCAATGGCAAGATTGACAAGAACGCTCTCCGTCTCATGGCTCTTGCGCCTGAACCAAAGCACGAGACACAGAATTACGACGAGGAGGCTGCCATCGGCAGCGACCAGAGCACTCTGGCCGAGGTTAGGTCCATATCGACTTCGTCCACACTGACAGAACTAGAGAAGCCCAAGCTCGACATTTCCAAGGAGGTTCCGGACAAGAAACTGCCCAAGCATTTGCGAGGGTTCCGACACCGTATTGCCATCGTCTATCGATTTCTATTTAGTCTCATTGGCCTGCTCAATGTTGGTGCGCTCATTGCCCTGCTCTTGGTCAACCCAGGAGCCGAGTGGCTCGCCACCCTCACGGCGGCCAACCTGGTCCTTGCGGTTCTGGTCCGCCAGGACGTCGTCATCAACACGCTCTACACTATTACTTGTTCTCTCCCCAAGTCGGCTCCCCTCTGGATGCGAAAGCGTTTTGCAAAGATCTACCACCTGGGAGGTGTTCATTCCGGTGCTGGAGTGTGTGCCACCGCGTGGCTTCTCGGGTCCACATTCCGGTCAACAGTGGCTTATACACAGAACAAGACGAATGATTCAATTGCAACCATCATGGTTTCATGGATGCTGTGTGTATTGTGCTGTGGTCTGGTGGGATTTGCGTACCCTACATTCCGGAAGAAGTACCACGACCAATTTGAGGGAATTCATCGGTTTGTTGGCTGGACAGCGCTGGGTCTGTTTTGGGTACGCACCATGTTCTCCGTGCGAGATGTCACGCCGGCTGGTGAAGACTTTGGACTTGCACTCGTGAAAACGCCAGGATTCTGGATGCTTGGTGTGGCCACCTGCAGCGTCGCCTCCTCATGGTTTTGGCTGCGCAAGGTACCTGTCAATACTGTGCCGCTTTCGGACCACGCCGTCGTTCTTTCGTTTGACTATACGGTTCCCGTGAATGGCAGCTTCACGAGAATCTCAAAACGCCCACTTTTCGAATGGCACTCATTTGCCACGATTCCAGCTCCGAAGCCGTCAGCTATTGCCGAGAAGCCTGGTTATTCTCTCGTTGTTTCGAATGCCGGTGACTGGACCAGGGATTGCATCCAGAACCCGCCCACTCAGCTATGGGTGCGTGGCCTTCCCACTTGTGGTGTTATGCGAATTGCTACTTTGTTCAACCGCATTGTTGTTATCGCCACGGGCTCCGGAATCGGCCCTCTGCTCGGACACATTGGCCAGCCCAGCTGCCCGACTCAGCTCATCTGGTCAACACCAAATCCTGAGCAGACGTTTGGCAAAAAGGTTCTTGACACGATTTACGACTCTATCCCAGATGCCGTCATTCACGATACCAAGAAGCTGGGTCGCCCCGATCTGGTCAAAATGGGCTACAATCTAGCCAAAGACTTTGGAGCCGAAGCTGTTATTATTATTGCAAACGAGAAGATCACCAAAAAGGTGGTCTACGGCCTCGAGACTCGAGGACTTCCCGCATACGGAGCCATCTGGGATAGTTGAAATGGTGTCGCTCAACAGTCGTTGCACCCCTCATCCTGCGCTCTCTTTTTTTTTTTTTCCCTCTTTTTGTCGATTCTGGCCTGCGAGAGGCAGATCTCCGGGCCGCAAACTCTATCCAATTGATACCCTACCACTCTCTGTATAATGCCCCAATGCTATTTTTGCATATATCAACGGCGGTTGAAATATGGGCGGTCTAGTCATTTTTTTGTTCTCTCTCATTGTTTTTGGAGTCATTGTCATCGACAGTCAACAGCATGTGAACATGGAGCACGGAGGGAAATTTGATCTGATATAGAACTTTTGCTCTCTCTTTTATTTTTCCTTTGTCCTCTTTTTCGTTTTTTCATTTTTATTTTTACGGCATGGTGGCAACTTTCGTTTTGTTCTTTGTTTAGACGCGTATAGTATTTACAATGCAATGAACCTGCCACGGTGGCGGACAGTTATTGCTACGTTTTGTTTTGTTGGCCGTTTGTGTTGTCCTTGCCGCAAGAAGTAGTATCGGGGACGGCATTTGGGGTCCCATCAGATCTGGATCTAATCTGGAAATCTGAAGCGGCCCCACTCTTCGGCGATGTGCGGCTCTGTCCGGCCCGGTGCTAAGCTAGTGGACCTGCCACACCGGCGGCCCGTTTTGTGCATGATATCGCATGGTACGTACGCGTATGTAGTGACTAGTATCCACACGCACCCATCACGCTGGTCCCAGGAAAAGAAAGCTCTCTAGCATCTGGCGGCGGCTAGCTGCATGGGAGAGGGCGTGGCTTCAAACTGGATCGATCTCGTCCCATGCACGAATGCGTTGCCCTAGGCCGCCATGGCACGTGGCTTGCAGCAAAGAAGGCCCCGACGGGTCCAACGCGGGTCCAACGGGGGGGGTTCCATCGGTGTAGCTGGGACCAGAATAGCACGGGAGCTGTGTACGCCGAGTTGTAGTGGTACCATGTCGCAACCTGGTGCCCGTGATAGGGCTGCCAGGACGAGGTACGGCGCCGGCCTGGCCTTGCCGCATGCTGTGTCTGTGTCAGTCCTGGACCGGTCTCGTCACATACATGTTTGCTGCTAGAGTGGGAGGACAGCCGGCCGTCAAGAGATGAGTGACACTTGGGATACTGGAGGCTGGGGTGCGGATACGCCCCCCCTTTTTTTCCCTTTGGGTGAGGGGGTTTTTCTGGCCCGGCGCTCTGTGGCCTGGTGTATTCTCGCGACGGGCGTCTTCTGATGGGATGGGAGGGGAGGGCTTGCGTGCCTTGGGGCAGCGGTAGGATATACGTTGGCTGGTGTTGAGGTGCGTCCGCGGCATGTTGCGGTCAATGAATGGGGTGTAGTGCGCGTCTGGGGGCTGGCTGTGCCATGCTGTGTTGTGTCTGGGGCGGGATGCGTGCCTGGATCTTGAGACGTGCGTCGACGTACGCGGGGTAGAATGGCGGGAATGGCTTGACTATCTGGGTCATTGGGGGGAGTAACGGGTAACGGTTCCTGAATCCTGGGATGCTGTCGAAATAAGTGTGGCGGGTGGGTGTATAAGCCTACGAGTGATGGCACAAGTTTGTTGCTTTGTACGAACGAGTGCGTATATGGCAATGCTTCTCAGTGTGTATATTGTGATTTGTGAAGGCGGAACTTGGGATCCCGCACAAACCAATTTCCAGATATCTTGCCAGTGTGCGGAAGGGCAGCGTTGAGCGTGTCTTGCTGCAACATGAAGGTTTGTACGATTCAGAGGCGAGTTAGTTGGCTCTTTCTCTTGATGATGCGTGGCTGGGATGCTGGGTAGTTTGTTTGCTACCCCGTCCTGTTGTGGTAGGATCCGGGGGCGGAAAAGGAAACAGTTTGACAAATCTTTAGAGCTTAGCTGTGGTTATACAAGGTTTTTCTTTTTTTGTTCACTTCTCTATATATACATGGACGCGTCGTACGGAATAAGATGCGGTAGGACAAAGACGGTAGAATGTCTTGCATGCGGCCCGGGGGACTTTTATCAAGGATGCCAAGCCAGAATGAGGTTGGAGGGAAACCGGGGACTCTAATTAGACTGTTTATTTGCTGAGCCGAGCGACGTCATATGCAACATTCAACGGTGGCACGTTGCTGCTCGCAGCAGGAAGGGATACGTAGTCCAAGGAGTTGACGTTGCTTGTCACGTGCAATGCTTATGCAAGCTGTTGCCATTACCACAGATTGAGTTTGTGCGTTTCATTGTGTTTCGACTCTGGTGGTCATCTTCATGTGGCGACGCCGACTTGATTGGTGCGTCGAGTTACTTGCGCCAGGCTGCGTTTCTGGAACCCAGGCCTGCCGCTCGTCCTGTGTAGATTGTGAATAACTCTGTTTTATGCGTGTTTCTCTGGCGCGCCGCAGTTGATGTGGTTTGCTGTGCGTCACGGACTCACGGTCCGGGTAACGTTGCAGCATTGCCGAGCATTATGAGAGAATAGGGTTCGAGATTACACGTTACAAAAGAGGAGCCTATTCGCCATGTGTCCTCCCTATGGTACCATGACAACAGGCTAAGAGGGCTTGTCTCTCATCCTCGCCGAGTCGAGCCACTTGCACGTCTCGGCTGCCAGGCAATGCACACCAGGCCTCTCGGCTAATACGCGCACTCCTCTCTTGCCGAGAGGGTAATTTATCTAACCAGATGGCAAGATAGATGAGGAAAAAAGAAACGACTCATGTGTGCATGGTCCCAGCCGGAATTTGCATCATGGCCGCTTCGGTGCTACGGGTGAGAAAGTCGGCAGTTGCGAGGCGCAGGGCGGAGAAGACGACATCTGGAGCTCGTCGACTTGAGATTCAGCCCGTCGGAACTAAGATTGCCTCTCCGCTGTGCGTGCTGCCAACGGCGTGCGTTTCTCATGCTGTGTTTGCCCGGATGGTTGGTTGGGAGCGTGTATTCGGGGGGAGATGGGGGGAGTGTGGCGGATGCGCTTCTTTCTGCACCGGCTTGTGTTACCGATGATGGATCGATGGATCGATTCGTGTCGATGTACATGCAAGGAGCCGCGTACTACGCCCTCGTTGCCGGCCATGTCCGCTGCGGGCTGAGGCATTGCAGCGCGTACGACCGGCTCTGCGTGTGCGGACGTATGGGTTACTACCGAGTACTCCGTATAGTTTTGATGTATCTATTAATATGTCTGGAGACACTGCTGGCGTCGTACACGGCCGCGGACTGGCTGCGCTTGGTGCCATGGACGCACATTTTGTTATTATACTGCACATGTCGACCAACTACATCTATCATCTTACACGTCGCCACACACGTCGCCTCCAACGCGCATGTCCCAGACGGCCACCCCCCTCTGGCCTATCTGGGCAAACGGCCAAAGTCAATTCTCGCGTCTAGTCGACATTGGGCCTCTTTTGCCGCGGTGCACCAGGCCCAACAAGGCAGGCCGCCTTCACCGACACATGGCTGGTCCTAGTTCATGACACACAGCGGGCGGTTCATGCGCCTGGGACAGAATAGGAAATGCCCGCATGGGATCAAGAAGCTTAGGGAGAAGAGGGGGAGGGGGCGTGGCTGCGTCTGCGTTTTCAATATGGTCATCGATGTGGTCATGTTCGGAGGGGGAAGCCAGTCAGGTTCAAATGGCGGTCACAAATTCACCATGGCTGAAAGGTTGTCGCCAGTCGGACCCGGGATAAGCGTCACGGCCAGATGAGGATGGCGTGGGGAGACATGAATCGCGTCGACATGCTGCCTCGGCGGCCCATATCATCGACATGTGTGGCTTGAACTCCGGCCTTGTTGTCTGGACATGTATCCTCGGGGGGATCCTAGGAGTCGTTTCCTTCTTACGCCCCCGGGGGTTTCTGCACACCTGTCAACGCACCAAGTGGAGTCTCAAACGGGTGACATGTGTCCCAAGTATATTGTGTAAATTCATGCCCTCATGTTGAGTGTACATGTGGTTCGAGTTGAATGACACAGTATGCAGTGATGCACGGTTGTTGCAGATATATGACTGTGGAACTGAACCGTTGTCCTAATCATGCGCGAATCTCTGGTGCCACCGAGCACACAATAAAAAAGGTTTACATAGAAATAAGCAAAAACAACATACAAACCGAGTGGAATAATGGAATCAATACACCGAGACTCGACTCGGCGCCGGCGGCAAAAATGCCATCCGGCGCCGGAACCTCGCCAAATGCGGCAATGGACCCCGGCGCTCCGGCCACAATTAACCTCCGATGCCCGACGACAGCTCGACAACAGCTCGCCTTGGTCCATGTCAGCCAACGCACCCTCGAAACCTGTCATCACTCAAGACGAACAATCTCCCCGAAGAACAGCACGGCTCTAGTAGCATGAAGAAGCGACCGTAGCCATCGTCGCTGTTCCCCCGACCACGATGAGCGCACCAAGCCCACCCCGGCGTACGTCGTCGGCTCCCAAGACTCGCGCATGCAGCAATTGCGCTCGACTAAAGATGAAGTGCGCCTGGCCGAGGGACGACTCTGGCCGTTTGTCGACGACATGTACAAGGTGAACATGTAGTCAACCCCCGTCGCCTGCGGAAATAGGGGCCGTCAAAACTCACAGTGGCTGCGTTGTCTAGATGCGCGCGGCTGAAGATGACGTGCGACGTTCCCGCGCCGTCACAACGGCGGAAACGAGGCAAATCGAGGTACGCGTACGCCCAAGTCCAATCACTCGGTATACAAAGTGTGGTACACTGACGAAACCAAAAACACAAACACAGTCGAGTCGCCCTGCTCGAGCAAAAGATAGACGGCATCATGTCCTTGCTCGCCGAGAACCAACATGGACAGCGGCAGCCAGGTCCATCACCAATGACTCCCGAAAGCCAACTCGCGCACAAAACCGGCCCTGCAATCCCCCAAGTCCTTCAAACCGAGCCGCCCCGTTCAACGGGGTCCGGCAACCAAGCTCTCTTCCGCCTCATCCCCGACTTCCAGGTAACCGACCGCGAAGCATCACGCTTCCTCTCCATATACGCCTCCGAATACGCGCCCAACTTTCCCTTCGTCATGGTCCCCTCCGCCGCCACCGCCCACGGCCTACACGACCGCAGCCCAGGCCTATTCTGGGCCATCATGACCGCCGTGGCGCCGCAGTCCTTGGCCGTCCAGCAGCGCGTCAAGACGTGGTTCCGGCAGTACGTGGCAGACCATGTCATTGTCCGGCAGGAAAAGACCCTGCAGCTACTGCAGGCCATTCTCGTGCATCTCGCGTGGTCAGTACCCCCGCCGCCTCAAGCATACATGTGCAGCTGTGACATCGGGGGCGGGAGGCCAACAGCTGAAATAGGGGCGACTTCCACTTCTACATCAACGCCGAAGCAACAAACCTCCTACACCTCGCCCTGGCGCTGGCCACGGACCTCCGGCTCGACAAGTCGCCCGAATCCAGCGCCGCCACGATACGCTCCCAGCTCGGCGAGGCCTGGACGGCCCTCCATCAGGGGGGCCCCAGCCGACTCGGCATCCCGCACACCCTCGACGACCAGAGAGCCGTCCTGGGCCTCTACCACCTGTCTTCACTGTAGGCAAAACAAAGCCGAAGCATGCTCGAAAGGAGAACCAAAGCTCACACACCCCGCCTCGCCAGAATCTCGGCACTGTTCAAGCGCGGCCCCCGATTCCCCTGGACGCCCTACCTCTCCCAATGCTGCGACGCGCTCACCAGCGCCCGCGAGCACCCATCAGACGCCCTCCTCGCCGCGCTCATCCGTATCCAGCACATCGCCGACGGAGCGTACAGCATCCTCCCCACGCCGGGCGGCACGGCGCGCACATACACCGCCCCCCTCGACATGGCCGTCGCCCACGCCCGGCGCCAACTCGACGCCTTTGCCGGCGCGCAGCCCGAGACCGTCCAACAAGACAGTAAGAAAGCCCTCCCCCCTGCCCCGAAATCCGCATCTCAAAGCCCCAGCGCGCCGCTCACGCCCCCTCCCTTCCCTGCAGGACTCTTCACCACCTGCCACCGCGTGCTCACAACGCGCCTCTACGAGCCGGCCCTGGCCACGGCGGCCCCCGCCCCGACCGACCCCGACGCCCTCCCCGGCGAGCCCTTCCTCCGCGCCGACTCGCTAGCCAAGTGTCTCGACTCGTCGCGCGACTCCCTCGCCGCGCTGCTCTCCGTGCCCCCCGAACACCTGTGCCGCCTGCCGCTGACGGCCTCCGCCGCCCTCGCCTTCACCGTCGCAACCACCTGCCGGCTGCTGCTGCTCGACGCCGCGCCCGACTGGCAGCCCGACGCGGCCCGGGCCACGCTCGACTTCGCAACCACCCTCGAGGGGCTGCAGGACAACTTTGCCCGCGCGGACGAGTGGGCGGCGGAGAATGCCCGCAGGAGGAGGCTCGGGGGGGACGGCGGCGGCGGCGGCGGCGGCGAAAACACCAGGCCGGACCAGTATACGAGCAAGCTGGGGTGGATCCGGCAGTGGTACATGGCAAAGACGGGGCAGGCGGAGCAGCGGCCGGCCGGGGCGCGGGCCCAAGAGGGCACTTTGATGCCGGCGGCACATGCTGAGCCGTGGCCCCATGATGTGACGCTCGACTTTGACTTTTGGCCGGATTTGATATCCATGTCTGACATGGCCGTGCAGACATTCTCGGGAAACACATGCACCGATGGTTGAGTCAAACTAGTTTCGGAATATATCTATATTTGAATAGCAATAATATCTCTCCAACGATTGTATCCATTACGCCTCGTGGTATCATGACAAAAAATGCTTATGATCATGCCTGTAATCCTGAAAAATCTTGCCTCTGGCCTAATCTAACCAAGCCCAAACAGTTGCAAATGCCGCATCACAGTGTAGCCTTTCCCCCTTAGTTTATGGCTGAGGCTGCTGTCCTGGACCCCATAAACTATGCGATACGGCTGCCTGTGCCCGTGTCGGTGCGGCTAGCCCACTGCCAGTGCCGTCATACGGATTGTAACGCCCTTGCATTACACCAGTCTGCTGCCGAGTGTCGTGGTGTTGGAATTCGCGAGACTGGTTCGCCCCAAATGCCTGGTACGGCGACGCATCTCGTTGCAGTTGCGGAGGTGCTGTGGAATAGTCACGAGCCTCCGGATTGGGCTGAGCGTTATCCATCAAGCCAGCCCTTTCTTCAACTCTAGAAGAGTAATATGGGTTTGCCTGCTGAGAGGGCTGCCCGTATGCTTGCGTGACTGAGCCATATTCGTCGTGCTGACCTGGATGGCCGGCTCCAGATCGCCCGGGTTCGTGGGAGCCACCGCCTTCTTTATTGTCAGGGAGGTTATCCATGTCAAGGCCGTCGCCCCGATTCCGGCGGTAACTGATATCCTCCTTGCGGCGCTTGACTCCACAGCAGAGCCATCTCATGCCTCGGCCGAATGCTTTGATGAAATCCCATAGATTCAGTGCATCATACAACGCCATGAGTCCCATGGAACCACCCGAGGGCGCCTGGCGCTCGTTTTCGACGGCGGGAGAGGCCTTGTCTGCGATGGGGTTGGGATAATATGTTCGGGGTGCGCCGACAATATACGGCGCATACGGAAAGGCCCAAAGGTGGAGTATCGCAAACATGGCCATCTCGACGCAAAGGAGTAAAGCCGGGATGCCGACTTTTAGATCGGGATATGCGATAACCTCATTAGGATGAACAATCCTGAGAGTCGATGTGCCAACCGAGATGGCTGATGCCTGCCAGAAAGACAAGAAAACGACCAATTTGATGGCAACAATTTTGACAAAAAGCTTGTGCTCGGCTAACGGCTCTTTGAGTTGGACGTAGAATTGGATAAGGCAGTACATTGCGATTGTAACAGCTATTGCGTTAATCACAATGATCTGTAAAAAAAGAAGATATTAGCTCCCCATAGCAAGAATAAATCAAGCCATGTTACATACCCAAATGTGACCAAATACTGGGCTGTTGGAACTTTCGCAGTATCTTTTGAAGTACTGTGACACAACTGCAGATATGGTCATGGCGACACGAATGAAGCAGTAGTGATATACACCAATCCAGATGATATTAAACCACGTCAAGCCACTCTTCGGTAATCTCCAAATACCTCGCTCGCCGCCACAGCATTTGGCAAACCAATTGACTGGCATAACCCATGGCTTAATTGGGTATAACTCGCGAAAGAAGGATTTTTGACTTCGTATATCCGGTGCCACGTAGTGACACAGCAGCGCGAAGAAGGACGCAATAGCAAAGGCTTCGTAACAATCCGCGATGACCTGAAAGTAGATGGCATGCCAGTACCACTCAAGTTGCAAATATGACGAGATGGCGTACACGGGAACCATGAAAAGAATACGAATGATGCTAAAAGGCTCATGGTTAAAGTTGAAGTCGGCAGAAAATGGCTCTTCAATCACTTACTATCGCTGCTCACGAGGCTGGGTGTAGTGCAGAGCGTGCATCCAAATAAGGTACAAACTGAGCGCTGTGGCAATGAGGGTACTCGATGCGGAGATGACTCGAGCGAGGTCATGGAAGTTGAGGCGACCGGCAATGAGGCGCTCTGAGCCAGGCGATACTGTGTCGAGTAGCGTTAGTATTAGATGCCGTAGCTACATGCATGGACAAGACGTCGCCTCAAAAGTCATGGCATCAGGCAGCATGGCCGCCTCAGAAATGAACGACAGCTATATCGCAAACCCAAGAGAGAAAAAACATACTTTTCATATCCTCCAGCGTAGTGTTGCAAGTCAGATTCATGGTTGTGGCTGCAGCTCACGGCTGTGCGTTGTCTTGGCACCGTCTTGGTCTTGGCCCTCCAGGGGCAACGAGTATCCAACCTCGGCCGATTGTAGAGATGTAAGCTGATAAGAAAAGGCGAGTCAACCTTTAGATCTAAATGTTGAGCTATGGTTGTATGTTCTCGGCATTGAAGGCTGCCCGAGGATATCTTGCGCCCACGAGGTCGGGGATCTTTCCTGGGGTTGTCGCAAAGGAACGAGCGGAGCTGCTGACGACCGAAGGATCCTCGAAATGGCTCGTAGAGGCGGATGGGTCCGCCTGAGTATGCAGTATGTTTTTATGCTGGTTGTAGCAGGCTCTATTCGATGCTCCCGTGTTCGAACTCTCGACTGGGCTCGCTGGCTTCGAAGGACTGGATATGAATGTACCCTGCGGGAATGGCGCAGAAATGTCTTGGTCGCACGCTATACAGTTTAGGATCGGGTCAAATACACATTAAAAACGATGTGAAAGGGCAAAGTCAGGCTACAAAGGAAAACAATCGCAAGGCGAGCAAACTCTCGGTCGAGGAGTTATGAATGCAGTAAGTCATGCACACAGTGAATGGTGAATGAAAGAAGGTGATCGCAATCCCAGGGGGATAAAACGGACCAAGGCGCTTGGAAGGGCGGGAAGGCGCGACAGAGTGACGGAATGCTAGTGGGGAGAGTCAAGTGCCATTGGTGGCCTGGGGGTGGTCGGTGCGAGGATGTCACCTGTTCCTGGCCTATTCCCTTCTTGTCTGCGTCCCTGTCAGATTGGAAGGGTCGGCGGCTGGTCGTTCCTGCTGGTTGTTGCCTTTTTGTTCAAAGGCGCTCCGCTTGGCCTCCTTATATCTTCTTTATTTCCATGCAGCACCACCGGCGACCAAATTCTCTTTCTTCGTTGGGAGTTTGAAATGACGTTCAGCGCGTGCTTCTCTGGCGCCCAACACCATTGCTTGCGGAACAAATTCTGCCTCGCCACCCCTGAAAAGCCACGACATTAATTACAAGACCAACCCGACTTGCATGTGCTTAGGCTAGAATGCGACCCATGTCGCCTGGTTCAATTCGATGTGGAGTGAAAATGGATGGCGGGATGTGCTACCAACGGAATGGATCTGGTGGGAAACTTCAACGTCTCAGGTCTCACTTGCAACGATCTACTCCGTACGGCCAGCATAGCCTCCTCCGCTGGGACCCTACCAACTGCCACGCCACTTGGTGGACACTCGATTCTCTTGCCAGCAATCGCCTACTTGACCCCTTTCTAGCGTGTTTCAGCAAGGCATCATCTTTAGCACGACAAAGAATAGTGATTTCAACGGGGCTACATCACGGGGCCTCTGAGGCCCTGACTGCCTCTCCCAGGGGGCATCGCAGATTTATCGAATACGTACGGTTGTCCCGCGACCCTTTTGGTCCGAATTTTGTGTTGCGACACACCAAGCACACAATGCTGTTTGTTGGTCATTCAACACGGTAGTGTTAGCTGTACGGAGTACGTGGCCGTGCCCGGGATGATGCAGATGCTCATGTCGCACGGAAGTAGGGGCTTTGGCCAGACTGGCCAGCTCAGGCTCACTGAGCCACGCTTTTTGTGTTTGCATCGTCGGAATACGGATCCGAAAGCTGGAGAGAAATACGCACAGCAAATTACCTAGCGGGAACAGATCGGGGTGTGCTCTGTAAGAGACCGAGAAACCCGGTGACACGGTTGCTTCTGCGTGCGGCTCGGGACCGAGCGACAGTGGGGGTCGTGACTCGTTTCTGTAAGTTGCTGATGGCGTCACGATCTGACTTAAAGGTGAACTTCTCAACCGGCAGAGCGATTCGTTTTGGGACACGACCTGAAGAAATTTCTCTCTTTCTTTCCTTTGTGCACCGTCAGCTGGCTATGCCAACTCCAGGAACCCTTAGACGGGGGATCGCACTTCGGGGTCTCCAGATGTCATTGTTTTTTGTTCACTAATGTGACCTGTCAACAGGCTTTTTTGGTTACCTATTGTCCAGCCTTGCCCAAAGAGAAAATGCAACAGACCATGCTGGAGGCCGTCAGCCGCCGCACTGTCATGGTTCTCTCCAGTGGCTTCCATGGCCGGAATCCGGATACTTTTCATGTGCCTGCTACGGTGCTACCTTTAAGGCGATCAATCAAACCTAACACGCCGTCTTCCGTGTCTTCCTCTTCCGGATTACAGTTTTCCTATGCGACGAATCTTGGCTCTTCTTCTTTGAAGGAAAACCCCTTTGGTTGATCCCCACGCCAGAATCAAGAAGAGTGCGCGGCCACTGCCTGCCGGCGGAGATCGTTCCCGGAATAGCCTCTCCTGGTACTTCACTATTGAGAAATCATCCTACCGGACTGTAGGACTTAGGGCAATGATTGTGTCAAAGTGAGTTGAATCTGTGTACAACGAACAAAACGAAAAGAGACCGCCGTGGGAATGGCCATAGAGAGCTCTCCTCGTGTGGTGTCCAGCTAGAAATAGATGCGAGAGCGATTTATCTTCCACGAATGCCATGACATATTCACGAATGAATACAGGAACTGGTCCGCGTAACACTCGCAGTTTAGCAAAGGCTTATAGTAGTCATCTTCAGATGGAGCTCCGATATCAGGCTCGCGGCGCAACAAGTTGTGCACACACGAACGCTGAGGATATCCGACGCCAAAGACAATGACTTTGCAACCATCAGTAGCGAAGTGTAGTCTGCGGGCCATGTCGAGTGCGGCGAAGAAGTACTCATTGCCATCTACAAGATACCAGAGAAGAAGAATTAGCTTTGGTGCTCAATGGGCAACGTGAGAGTATCTTACGGGGGAGGACAAAATCTGAACTCAAACGAGAGATGCTGAATCGTCAGCTTCTGCAGGTATTCGATGTTGGCTCCAGCTCAGCGGCCAGGCCACCTGGACAAGATGGGTTTCTCTTCTGGACTTGGCTGTGAATTGGCCGGTATTTCGAAAGTGGCCTGGCTTCAAGGCTTTCATCATGCTCACCATTTTTGAAGATGATAGGCTATACCCTCGATTTGTGAGGTTTCTCGTTGTCGTGGGTTCTGAAGAGGAAATGGTGGTTGTTTTCCGATGTAGCCACACACTGCACATATTGTGTTTTCCCGGAGGCCCCCTCTCTAGAAACAACTTAGTTAAGACCCGCCAACATCATGCTCCGATGGGATCAATACCTTAGATCAGATAAAATGGCGTCATAGTAGTATATTTATTAGTGATTGATAACATCACTCTGCATACCACATCCCTCTAAGAATACTTTCTGCCCCATGGGCGAACTAGCGACAACTTCACATTCTTCAGGCATAAGACTTGAATGGGTGACGTCAGGATAGTCTGCCATATCACGAGTAAAACTGTAGTGGTCACTCCAATGTTGAACTGGAGGGTCGAACAACTTACTTGCCTAGCTTAGGATTACAGGCGAGTTAAGACGCCGACCTGTGCATGTCATCAGGGGCTTCATTAAGTTAGGAACTTGAACATTTCAAACCAGATTCACCAAACTGAAGATCTGTGTCTAAGATGTACATATATTGTGATATACGAGTGTACACAAACTCTTGCATCCATAGGGTGTTTCTTGTAACAGGCGATACAACTGCCGCCTCCAATATATGTGGTAACAAGCGTGATATAGTTTTCACGCTCGCCAGACTCCTTTTCTACAACCAAGCTATGAGGATACAAATATGACTCAAGTGCAACGTCCTTTGCAATCAATCCATAGAGGAGATCCAAGTTACAAACTAGTGTGATAGTCCGTAAACACATGTGCAATCATCTACAGACCGTACAGAACAAATTCTTATATACGGGAAATACCTGGTAGCAATGGACGTGATTGCCAATTTCCATCACGAAGAGCATATGAGTCCCCCCAGATTATTAATCGCCCCAACTCCATGCCAATGCTGTTCTAAATGGCCCAAAACAATCCGACAGTCCTATCAATGCATCGCTTACATCCAGCCTTCTGGCATTTCGTTTAACCAACTCGCTATTTTCCCATACAAACACTAGAAATACATGTATGACTTCACATCGAATTATACAGTGGTAGGTGCAATGCAGCATACCATCAACGACACCCAGAACAACGCCTTGGGCCACCATGAGATAATGAGCCCCTGTTGGCAGCATATATAGTCTTCTGAGACATCTTCCACAGGGTATTGTGCAAAAGTTGACAATAAAATAGAGCCAGTTGAAGTTGAATGCAGTTGTTTTGTAATGGTACCAATCGTAAATAAAGAGAAACAAAAATGCGAGATGATGTCGACCAAATAAACGCCCAAAATTATGGCATATTGGCTCAAGACTTTGCCGCCCCTCCCGTCGCCCCTGCCTTGCTTTCTTGGCACCCGTTGCTTCGCGTACACGTTGAATACATGTTGCAAAATAGTTTTCCGCTCATTCATTTTGCGATCTGATCTTGTCGGCCCACCATGGTTTGAGAAACAACACCGTTTGTCTACCGTTGACTTCCTGCGACATCCTCTGTGACTCCCTGCGCTTTATCGCCGAGGCCGTTTCTCGCGGTCGCTTGTCAAATTGCCTACACCCTCCTCGCTTCGTCTCTTGCGTCCGCGGTCTTCCCTGTGATCTCTCCTGTTACTCGCCTGGTTTGCGCCGTCTCGTGGCCCCGTTCCCCGACTACCACTGCTTGAACCCCTATGACCACCTCGGTCTTCGCCGCCCCAGTTGCCTCCAGCAGGCTGACCGTCGGCCCGATGTCGGCTGTCCCGTCCGCCAGCTGGTAGAGGCGGGCCCATTGAGTCCCTCAGTTGGCGACGAGATTCGCGCTCCTCCCTGTTGCCGCCGGCATCTGGGCCGCCCATGGATCGTCTTTCTCTGCTTTCGTTGGGATCCTTCCCATCTCGATCACGTTCACGACTGCTTCGGCGTGACGTGCGATTGGATCTATCGGACCGTCCTTCGCGCTCATTCCTGGAGCGATCGTGATCGCGTCGCGCTTG